TCTTCAATATCTTCTATTCCTGGTTGAACAAGGCAAGTTTTAGCAACCATCATTTCGGATCTAAGGTTTTTTTCACAAATATTTAAACAAGGTATATCCTAAAATTATATTTATATCTATTAATAGAATTTTTGTTGACGTTACAATGAGCTATTACACGGATTCAAAGTTTGGCCGGAGTCACACTCGCGGAATATACGCGCAGAGATTCGCAATTGTGACACCGACCTAATAAAGTTGTAGACTTATCATGGTATTTGAATAATTTTTTTTTTTTGACATTTTTATGTCTTTGCTATGACACACACACACGGAAAATCGACACCGATCCCTGTTATCGTAACAAAAAAACAGACACCGGTTATCATAACGAAAAATAACAGCTGGTTTATCTGATAAGAGATAAGGTGTTTACTTTAGAACCATGGTTATAGATAAACCGTTATCTATAACCGTGTTTGTAACATAGCCCGACACGGGAGCACGACACGGAGCCACTCGACAAGGAGCCACTCGACAAACAGCCACTGAAAATCGAAACGGAGCCACTCGACAAACAGCCACCCGAAGAGATACCAACATGTACAATATTTATGTAAAATGTACGATTATTATTTGTGTATGTTGTGCGGCCGACACCACATATTATAACGGAGTAATAGCAAAAAATGTAATTTCCAAATTGTATATCAATAAAAATAAAAACAGTAATTTTGTAGAAAATATTATATTTTTATTAAAACCCCTATTGTATAGTAGACATTGTTACTATGTTCATTGTAAACATTTCAATTTACTCAACAGGATTTATTGTTAACTTATGCTATTAATAATAATTATTGTTTCTAAATACTTTTACTCTATTATTATAAATAATTATACATTTTTATATTATTGATACTTATTTATTAATATAATACATAGGTAAAAAAATTATGTATATTGCAACGATATTAATTGAATAATATTTTAACTTGCTTTCATGTATTCCAATTAAATTACAAATATATTTTAAATATAAAACAAATGAAGTTATTGAACATTGTTTAATTTGTGTGCATTTTCATGAGTATCGGAATGAACGATCCATGTATATATTATATATATACAACTAAAAAGTATTTGATAAAGGTTTTTACTTTTTATTGACTTAGAACTAATTATTAAAAACTCAGAAGCAGAGGGAATTAGATAAATACCGATATAAAAATCCCAAAAAAGTACATTTTTAGCTAATTGGCAAATGTGTATATTTTCCACCCATTTGGCTTATGCTATAGGCCAACTATATTAATTGGATTTTTTATCTGATTAATTATTTCTATTTTTATTATCTATATATATATATAAATTAATGTATGTGTCCTTTACAATTTTCATCAGAGTTTGTAGAAAAACAGCATTATATATTTATTTTGTGTTAATATATGTAGAATCATAAAATATAAATGAATAACCAAATTATTAAAAATAATTAACATGTATTGCTTTATAATAGCCCGCAATACTTTATAATATTAGCGGGGCGCGATAAAACATTAATATTTACTACTAAGTCATTCTCAAGTCTCAACAATGTGCATCGGGCGAGCCAAAAATTGTTCATTGTTCGCTATAGCAAAATCCCAAACAAGTCAAATATTAGCGTGATGAAATTATGATGCAAAAAAAAAAGGACCACGACGGGCGGGAGGCAGGTAGACGAGGAATCCGATGATAATTAAGCGGCGATCGACGGACGAAGTACCCAGCGGGCGCGGGTAGACGTGCAGTGCCGGGCGCGCACGTATGACGATTTCGGCGAACTTTAAAAGTCTGTAACTTCCAAACTAAGTGCGAGCGGCGCAAATTTTTTACATATTCGTAATCAATATTAAAACTAATGTCGATTTAAAAAAATAATCGAAAAAAAGGGTGCCCGGTAAAGTAGATTTATACCATAATTATTTGTAATGTTCTAACTATATTTTGTTATTTTTCCAACTATGTTCAAAATTTAAAAACTGTAAGCCAAGTGGAAATAATTTAATAAACATTTTTTATAAACTTGATTATATTAATTTAGTATTTTTCTTTAATAATGCACAATTGTTTCTAACTTTAATACTAAAATAACTTGTATGAAATCCGTTGTGTTCATAATATGTACACTATTAGTTTTTATTCAACAAATGATTAATATTATATGTTTATTACTGCTGATAATAACTTTTAAAAATAAACATGTACATAATCATTTTATGTCATGTGAATTTACTACTCATAAATTCGTATAGTTTGACTTGGTTTATATTTATTTTAATATAGATTGTATTATAAACTATTAACTATTAACTCCAGCCTTCCCCTTGTATCTGACCTTGTTTACACATAAACTGGAGTGATCTGTTTTATATATTAGCTGGACATTAGTGGTAAGTCTGGTGAGTGTATCATATCTAGATCCAAAAGAACCATACCGGTTATTTTAGACCCCAAAAAACTACTGCCGGCTTAATAATATATAAACATTTTATTCAGCATCAGCAAGGCGCCAGTCTACCATAGGTTGTCCCTGTTTGAATTTACTATTGTGTAGCTAAGTATAAACAAATACTAACAATTAAGCATTGGTAGTATATATGGAAAAAAAATGTCAACCTCAAAATAAAAAATAGCTGTATATTTCAATAACAAATGGAACTTATCACAGATGTTATAAAAATAGCGTAGACAGTAGACACAACGCGGTCACACGGCGCGCGTAACACTGTTTTTGTATACTATTATAATTTATAACTTATAAGGTTCTATTCAAATAATAAGTGTCAGCTAAAATACGTTCGATGACATTATTTTCGACTGAAATATTTTTCGGCTATTATATTTTCGGTTAATATATGTTTTGGTTCTAAATTTTTTCGGAATTATTATTTTCGGCATATATATAACATGATAACTAATACACAGATATGAAAATATATAATACAAAATTAAATAATATTTAACTGTAACTTATTATTGTGTTATTGCCTATTGGAAGTTGTAAAGTATTTAAGTAAATGTGTTTAATTTTATTGTCGGGTATCGAATAGTTTCGTATGAGGTATTCACGATGTATTGTTTTAAATAGATAGGTATAATACATCGTGTAACGGAGCAACACACCACACGGCCGTACCGAACAGTAAACACAACGACAGAAAACCAGTAACAAAAAATCGACCAATGGGATTGCGGGGTTTTTATGAGAACAGCATAAATACCGACCGCAATCCCATAATCAGTACAGTCTTCTAACCATCCGGGTATCTTATACACTGGATCAATTGGAAGCCGACACCTATACTATCAACCGCCAGCGTCTACCAGCAGTAACCACAGCGGCCCCAGCAGCAGCGGAACCGACAGAAGCGGCACCCGCAGCAGATGTGCCGACAGCTCCCACGGCTCCACCGACGATTCCACATCGAAGGCCGTCCTTCTTAAAATACAGAGTCACTTATTAAAGTTGCGCTCTCCTCCCGGTGACTAGAGTCCGTAGGCGCTTATTCAAGCTGCCCTACCTTCCTCCTAGTCATCCCAACACATCCCCCACACTTCTGTAAGCCCGGTAGGATAATATAGTACTATAACTGTGAGGTACATAGTGCCCGTTTCCCCAGCGTGAGAGGCGAACTTATGCGAGTCCCGCCCTCACCGTTACTTATTGTATTACCTAAAACCTCTGAATAATAAAGAACAACCGTAATATCAAGCATCCGTTTTATTATTCAACACACGACACGGCGAGCCACCCGCCACCCGTATCAATCGGTATTAAATAATTTAAAAAAAAAAACTATAATTTCATTGAAATTTGATCAATGAACATTCTGCTTTACTTATTATAAAACGTGTAAGTATGTTTTCAAAAACATTTTTTTTTACAAACTCAAGAGACAATTTATTGTTGGTAAATTATCACTATAATATAATATTGTAAATATTGTTTCATATACTTTCAGTTTTTTTTTTTATATAAATTACAATAATAGAAACTGATTTGATTATAACTTAAATAAAAAAACTCAAAACAGGAGACAGGTTACACAGTGAATTAAAAATAGTTCAAGCCTTATTGCATTAATTATGAAATGTACAAGTTTTCCCCTTTAAATAAACAATACTAGCCGCACAACATACACGAATAATAATCGTGCATTTTTTATAAATATTGTATATGTTGGTACCCCTTTGAGTGGCTCCGTGTCGATTTTCGGTGATTGTTTGTCGAGTGGCTCCTTGAGGTGTTACCGAAAAAATCGACACCGGTTATCATAACGAAAAATAACAGGTGATTTAACTGATAAGAGAGATAAAAGATAAGGGAAGGAGATAGTGGTGAGAGATGAGGGATGGGGGTAGGGGTGATTACAAGGATGAGTGTGGAAATGGGAATGAGGATGAGATCGTAAGGGTGAGGTCAAGGATGAAGATGACGGTGGGGAGGGGATGTTAAATTTTTTTAATTACGTGTTGTTTTCACAACGAACAAACTTAAATGAATGGTTAATGAATTACTAGCCAAGTAAATGTTTTGCCAATAAATTGATTAAGGCCAATTATTAAAATACTACTAAAAAACTTTAGGTCACAACATAAAACTAATTATAACATAAACTAATTATCACCTACCATTCGAGTACCATAAAATTCATATTTATGTATAAAAGTCAACTATAATATAGAAAACTGTATAAACTATATTGACATTGTAAACAGTGTCAGTTTGACTTATGATCTGGCCTCCGCCAAAGTGAATTGCAATAGGCCTCTACATTTAAATATTACATGTATTTTCTCCCTTATGACTATGGGCCCCAATATTGAAAAATATTAAGGGTCCCTGGCGATCACTGGGTAACTGGGTGGACCGACACTGATGGTAAATAATAAACAGTATTACAAATTAATTCTTATGAATTTAATTTCAACAGTCAGTTAAAGAAGCTTTCTTGTTTTTTAAGTTGAAAATACAAAAAGACTTCCAGCTAAACAGTTAACTCTGAATGAGAGTTAATTTCTATTTAATTAATATTATTCAATATCAAAATAAACATTTTATAAACTACTGTTTAAATAATAAGTAAAATATATGTTATTTAAAATTCACAAATAAATAAATCACAGCAATACTTTAACATTATAAGGAGCTTCTTTAAACAATTTCGATTGTCCATAACCAGTCAACGAAATTTTTTCAAGATCGATACTATCAACTAATGAAACATTCACTGGTTTACAACCCGCCAAATAAACAAACTTAACGCTCAAATGTTTAATTCTATCCAAGCTCATCTGAGTTACTCTAGGATTGTTCGCCAGCCACAAATGCTGCAAGTTCCCTGCAGATTCCAAACAACTACAGAGTATGTCTATGTCTTCGTCGTCTAAGTCTAGGCTTGATAAATCAATTGAATGTAGTTGATCAGCTTGACTTCGTTCCAAAAACAATGCGCACTCACGTAATACTGTTGATGTACCAGTATTACGGATATTCAAATACTTCAAGCACGTGGGATCCAATCGTGTAAAGAACCCAGATATTCCAGTACGTCCCAAGTTGTTAAAACTCAAATCTAGATCTTCGATGTTGTCCAAGTACAGTTCAGACGCATAATCGCAACAGTCCTGGTCAATGTCTATGTCTCTTAGCCATAACGACCGCAGACTAATGCAGTGTTGTGTTATTGCACGCAAATGTATTAGACCGGCATTGGTTATAGGGTTATGGCTAATATCCAATGATTCTAGGCTAGCCAGGCTTTTATTGTCGGGTGCAGTTAAACTCCAATGTTTAAGACCTATCCAACTAATATTGTTGCAACTCAAATCTATTTTGGATAATTGTTGTAGGTTTGAACGATTTTCCGATAGCACTTTCATTCCACTGTCTTCAAGGGCCACACCGGACAAACACAATACTTGTAAACCTTGATAACGGCAAGCGATGTTCAATGCAATACTTAATACATTTTTGTCCACAATACAGTCAGACATATTCAAACAACTGGTGGCTTGTAAAACATCTAAATATTGTGAAACTCGTTCATCAAAAGCGGTATTTGAATCAACTGAAGACTTTTTGTACATCTCCGTTAATGTTTCGGTACTCCAATTGACGATAGTGCCTACTATTTCTTGAAAACCAAATACTAAATTAATTGGATCATTTTCGTCCAACAAAGCTCCGTCTTCAGTTGATAAATTCAAAATTGGCTTTACACCTTCTAGCTTTTGATAACGTCGTGAAGCTTCAGTTGCCAACCACTTTAAATTCACACTTTCTTCGTTTGACGGTATAGGTATAAGAAACAGACGATTATCAACTCGAACCTTAATCGTACAATTCACTTGTTTTGTAGGTTCATCTCGTTTAGTGGAATTAAAAACCGATGCCGATACATGTTCATCTTCTTTTTGGAAATTACTTTTCACCCTTAAAAATCCTTGTTTTTCTAGCTTACTTTGCTGACTTTTCTTTTTACTAGTCGATAACATCAGTGGCTTGTATCTTTTTTTATCAAAATCAATATTCTTGTCATTATTGAATAATAAAATATTATCAGAATCTTCATCTGAAATTGTTAATGGACTTTTTGAATTACTTTTCAATTCAGCTTCAGACACCAGATCCGGAAGTAGGTCATCATTGAACCAATCATCGCTATCATCAATAGGAGAATAAATGTTAACAGATGTTTCAGTACAATGTTTTTTTTTTGGTTTTAATATTATATCGTTGTCCAACCAGTCATCGGCTGAATTTTCAACCAACGGTGTTTGGGTTTTTTCAAAATGTTTAATATCTTCAATTTCGTCCCGCCTTCTCTTGTTACTGTTCCTTAATTGACTAATTGTATTTTTGTAATCTTTGGCCGCTGTAGTGTTCTCTGTTTCTTTTAAGTTTTCTTTAACTTTACAAGCTTTTTTATTTCTCCTGCGGTCGTTTTCAGGTACCGTTCCTAAATAATTATCTACAGGTTTTTCCTCATTTTTTAAAATTTCTTCTACATCAGTCAAAGGAACCGGAGGGGTATGACCTGCTTTACGCAAACAATCACTAAGGCGGTCAACAATCGCCCAGAAATGAGCCAACCGATCTGGACTTAGTTCTCGTCGTTCTTCCAGAATAACTCGATTGCGACAAGCTATTAAACAATCCAAGGGAGTTTCACCTTGATTAGTCCTAACCAAGGGATTTGCCCCTCTGTCCAATAAACAATCTATAACTTCTAAATTTCCGCAAGCTGCAGCATCGTGCAATGGAGTTATACCTTCACAGCAAGGTCCACCTCGATTATTAATATCGGCCCCGTGATCTAAAAGGACATTAACAACATCGACATAACCATAATTGCTAGCTTCATGCAATGCCGTCCAACCGAGAGTATCGCCAGCATTAACAGAATGTCCTTGTTTTAATAGGCTCAAAACTAACTTGACGTTACCCTTAGCACAAGCGGGAATAATAGGGGTTTCTCCTTTCTCGTTTCTTTTTTCTGGAATTGCTGTTATTTTTTGTCTCTTTCTTCTTTTGTCTTCTTCATCTTCAAAATCAGAAATTTCGTTTAAAGAAATTTCATCCCAAATCTCAGGTACATCATTTTCAGTTTCAACAGAATCCGCTTCATACTCCATAAGTGAATTTAACTCGCTGGACAAACCATTGATCAGTTCAGTCTGTTCTCTGTCTTCGGCTAGGCATTTCATTCCTTTTACCTAAAACAATATTTATGAAATTAGATAAATACAAGTATAATTTAAGTTATTATTATGCACTCTATGCCTATTTACATACAGCAGCCAACTGAAGTTGTCCATTGTTATTTTTTTTTGCTATCGATTTAACTTTTTCGTATATCAACCAAATTTTTTCAAAAGGATCGTACTGAGCTTCCATAACATCAGCGATATTTAACAATGTTTTACACGCCTCAATACTGTTTTCATCATACACGTTCAATTCTTTATTGAAGTATTCTAGCGCCTGATAAAATTGTCCATTGTCTTTATAAGTATGTGCCAATGAAACATAACAAGGTATCAAGCTCTTCCCAGACATGCTGCAATGTTCAGAATTTTCCAACATTTTCTCATAATAAGAAATCGCTTTTGAATATTTTTTCAACGCAATACAAGCGTCGCCCAATTTTTCATTTAACTGTCTTCGTTGATCATAGTCCACCTGTGACACAACTAAAAGACTGTTTTCAGTTTTACACATTAGGCTTATAATTTTTAGCTTTTTTTCCACCTCCTTAAACTCACTTATAGAATGTACTTTCAATTTATACGCCTTAACCATAGCACTTTTGGCCGTCTGATAATCGTTGATATCGATTAATAGATCTGCTTTAAGCGATAAAAGTTCCGTACCTATGTCTTTTTTGTTTTGAAGCCTCGATGCTATTTGAAGACCTTGATCAACACACTGAATTGCTTTGGAAAAATTATCCTGTTTAGAATACAATGTACTTTTAATGGAATAACATTTGCACAGCTCTTCAATTAACTCAGCATCAGAACATATTTTCATCGCTTTATTTATATACTCCATGGACTTATTTAGTTCATCAGCTGATTCTTCACATAGACTTAAATTAATATAGAGTCTAGCTTTCATTTCAGACAAAGTTTTGGCGCCAACTTCTTTTCCAAGTTTGTTACATACTTCTAAACTCTTTAAATAATATTTAACTGACGTTTTTAAGGCCTCGCTTTTTTTAAACAACTCATGACTTTCACACATTTCAGAACATAAGAATTGTGTCCGACCTAAAGTGGCTAAAGCTCTTTGCTGTTCTACAATATCATTTTTTGTTTGAGATATTTTTAAATGAATTTTTTGATGTTTTACAGCATTATCAAAATCATTAAGGTAGCAATACATTTCACCAATCATTCTGTTAGCCACTGCTAAACGAATATCATCGCCACAGCGACGAGCCGCATCTTCACACTGTTCGTATTGACTTAAAGCATGCTCGTAGTCTTCTTTCTCAAAATAAATGTCAGCCAACTCTTTACAAGCATAATACAAATTGTCAAAATTGTTTTCCAACAAAGCTTTTTCTTTTTTCTTAAGCCATTTTCTTTCTTCTATTTGACAGGCCATTTCTTATATAATCTAAAAAAAATTAAAAAATAAAGATTAAATTCTAGAAAATAAACTTACTATCTCGAATTCATGTACTTTATTAGAGGATAGAAAACAACTATATTTTGATACAAAGGTTTTGACAGAAGTAGGTAGTGTTATTTAGTTTTTCTTAATTTTAGTGTAAACATTTTTTTAATAAAAATATATACACCCAACGCATTATAATGTTTCTTTTTTAATTTTTTTTTATTTATACGCCAATCGGCTTTTTAAGAATAATACAAATAATTTAGATTTACGTCTACGGAATTTACGTAGGTATTTAGTGAGGTTTGTAGGTATTACTATGATTAAAAGTGATGGAAAAGCAAGGGAGTACACAGGGGTGATTATGAGAGATGTACCCAAGTATATTTTTAATACTATTATAATCTTTTTTTTTTTTTCAAAGAATAAGTATTTTATATAAAGAAACTTAGAATTAGCGAACAATAGAGCTGAAGGGTAACGAGCTGACTACCCCAGTATAATCTTAATAATTGATTTTTGCACTACCAGAAAGATGTTGATTGTAGTACTGCACCCTCCACCCCATATTACAATACAGTATTCTAATGGTGATTGGCCATAGCATAATAAACTGTTCTCAGTGTTTTGATTAAAAGAAAAGATTTTGTTTTTCTAAAAAATGCAATAATTTGCGGAGTCTAACATTTAAGCTGTTTATATGTGTATTCCATCTAAGATGCTGATCAATCGTCACACCTAAGAAATTTTTACTATAAACCTTGTTGATTAATAGAGCAGCAGCAATGTGATGTGTTATATCAATTTGTAGTATGCATTATTATATCATTTTTATTAATTAATAGTACAATTTTTCATTCACTAACCATAACTACTGCGTCCACCTACGTTATTACATTTTAATCTCATTTTAATCATCATTTCTCTCAATCCAAAGGTAATTATGATATTATTTTCCCAAAACTGTAGTCATTATCAAAATTTTAAATAATTTTTTTGTTTATTAAATTAGTTTAATAACTATATGCAAATTATTTTAGACTTGAAATAAACTGATATAACTTAGATAAATTATTGTTTTCCATTCATTGAAATTGAGCATGTAAAATTTATATTGAAAATAATAGAATTTTGTTTTAACCATAAAATATTATAATTCTTTTCAAATGATAATACTAACAGTTTTAAATATTTATATATTCATAATATTACGTTAAAAAAACAATGTTAACATTGTACTTACTCCAAACTGTTACTAACAGGAAAGTAATCTCTCCGCTAACATTAAATAAGCAAAATATTTATTTAGTACATTCATCGTAGAATATATTATATTATATTTTAAAAAAACTACTATTAGTGGCGGGTGTTTTTAGTGGTTAATACAGAAAATTTGAACTGTAAAATGCAATAAAATGATTTCCAAATTACAAAATCGAATTACAATTAACTAGGGATAACTGATAAGACAGAAAACAAAATTTTATCTTATCGAGTAGAATTAAAAATTTACCCGCCAAATGTTTTGTTGTTGTAGACAACAGTATCATGCTTTAAAGGGTGTCTTGGAAGAAAAACTAAAGAATTATATAGCTGCTACTGTTGTAGTTTTGACTGTTTTGGTTACACCGCAAAACGTCGCCCGACAAAACGCCGCCGGACAAAAAATCGACAAAACGCCGCCCCTAAAAGGACCGCCTCCCAGTAATGCCAACACTAACAATATGTGTATACAATATACGATTATTAATGGTGCTAGCTGTGCTGTCAGAGTGACATATTATTAAGGAGTAATCATCCATCTGATTTGATCATATTAATTTTTAAACATTTATTATTATAGTTAAATGACGATTGTTAATAGCATATACCTGTGCTGTTACAAACATTTTAGGTTACATTTGACTTATAAATTAAAAATTTAGTACAGGTAAACCGTACGTATAATGCCCTAAATCAGAATTCGTCTTGGGTAGCTTTTTCCACTGCATTCACGGTAACCACGCCACAGCGTTGAACATATATCTCTACGACTCCATATCGACGCTAAAAAACTGGATTGGACAGTATTTAAATAATTTACCAGGCAACATAAAAACGTTTTACAGAAATACAGAATATCTGAATATGCTACCGTTTGTGCTTCAAAAAATGAAAGTGTTGAACAAAAGTTACTTTGCATAGTGAAGATGGATTATGAAAGTGATAATCAATTATCCGAAACAGTAGGTTTGAATAAATGTAACAATTGATTTGTTCTTTAAAAATCTCTCACTGTAATAGTAATTCTTGTGTCATTCACTGTAAAAGTGAATTATCTCTTTGTATTTTTGAATTGAATTTTGAAACAACGAGCTTTTTGAAAACTAATGTACAGCCAAAAAAAAAAAATAGAAAACACTGAACTAATACTTGTACCTACTTTTAATGTTTATTACAAACCAAAGGTTATACAAATTTATAGTGACTTGGAAAATGAAACCAAAACTAATGCAATAAATTAACTTAAACCTTTTTTTTCTTTTTTGTAGCTACACCACTTTTACAACGAACGAACCAATTTGTAATACGGTAGAGTAAAATAATAGTATGCAGATTTCGTGTAAATGAACAGTCTTTATCAAATTTAATCAATAGTCTGACAACTACTCCCACCTTAAATAAGTACATTATATTTACACTATTTACATGGCTTGAGGTTACTCCCACTTGAATGTCTTGACTAGTTCGCCAACGTTTCATAATATTATATCACACTAAATAATATTGTATCACACTGTCGATCACAGATACAATGGGTTGATAATTTACCTTTTATATAAATATATAATATTATTATGTACCTTACATAAGGTATTGAATGTTAACTACACATTATTATTAACAATATTATTACCCATAGATTGTCATCTATACAAACCGAAAACCGTTTTGGTCGTTAAACGGCGACGATCATTGAGTATGGATAGTTTCTATACTCAATGATATTATATTAACAAGTTGTGTACAATTTAAATGGGTTTCACGCTCAGTGTTGAGAGTGAACTTGACAAACGATCTAAGCGCAAAAACTGAAAAATTAGTTTTATACTTTAGGTATACCAATATAAAAACAATCTGATGTATTTTTTATAGACGATTTTTAATTAAAATAAACTGAAGAACTAAATTAATCCGTGCTCGCAACTTCCCCCAGACTTTTTGTTTATTAAGAAAAAAAAATACTTAAGAGTATACAAAAAACGGCAAGTCTTATGTGAATAATACAACTATTAAAGCATAGCGTGCGGGCTGATCACAAATTCGAATTTCCGGTATGTCTCATCTGTTGTCTTCGCAGAACCACAAAGACTGTGGACCGAAAAGTTAATAACAATTAAACAATGGCTATTATATTCCAATTCTCTATTGAAAAAAGAATACACGTTGAAATGCAGTGGCGCTGAAATCGTTTTAAGACGAAAACATCACATTTAAAGAGTAACGTGTGTTGTCCGAAACGTTAAAGGATGATCGAATTAACCCCTTAGATAATTCCCTTTTAGGGATACAATAGTCCACTAAAAAACAAAATATTTATAAAATTGAAAATTTATAATAACAGCTAAAACAAATTATGATTATATTCCAAATGTTTACTTATTAATACTTATTTTGACTTAATCTATCACAAACCAGACATATTTTACTACACTTGATAAAAAAATGCTATCATTTAAATACAAATCGCGTTTGATTTAATACAATCATCATTTGGTATTGGGCATATACATTTTTTCATTAATATCAAGAATTTTTAATAAACTGACACATTATTTATACACTTGATGAAACATTTAACACGTTAATTAATATTACATACCTACACTTTATAGTAATATACCTACTACTAATTTGTTTAGATTGCAATATGAATAGCTTAGACGATAAAATTATACGTACAAATAATACGTGTGTATTTATTATTTTAAGCAAACCGACAATACAAAATTAATTGTGTTGCTAAAATGCGTAAATTGAAAAATATAAATTTGATAAATATTTTACTCGACATAACACAAATAATTGGGCATATGAATAAAATGTTTATTAATTAAAACATATTATAGTGGGTTGAAAAAATTGATAAATAATTTTATACTGGGTATGTGTTATTATAGTATAATATAAGGTATGTTGGCTCTTAAGCTTATGGCCATACAACAGGCAGGGGTTAAAGTGGGGGGGACGCAGGGGGACTCAGTCCCTCTACCTCTAATGGTGGTTAAAAAGCGTCCCCTTTAACAAATTATTCGTAAGGTACACCGTACTGCTCCAATTATAACCAAATATTAGTCAATATAATTCAGAATTCCGTTGAGATTAAATCTTGGTTTTTATTTTTTTATCGATTGTTACTTTACTTTTATCAAATGCATTTAATACAAATTATGAACTATGTAATATATGTGTAAAAATAATTGATTTTATTAGTTATTGTAAATGGCTATACTGGGATAAATAGGTAGGTTAGGTTAGGTATTCGATTAGCCCATAAGTGATAACATATATACAGGTAAAGTGTGAATGTGTGATTTTTTAAGCATGCTCACCCCACCATGCGTAGAATTTGAATTTTTTCTTGTACAATTTAAAGCACTAAAAACACTACATTTTTATGATGTATATATTTTTTGTCTGGGCGATTTTTTTAGTTTTCTTAAAAGACAACCACTACTTACAACTTAATATTATATGAAAAAATATTCTCTTTCAAAATGTTAAATTTTTATAAAACACGAGTTATTCTTAAAAATGTTGTATTATTTGTGATTTAAATTTTTTATGAAATAAATTACAAATTTGAACATTATTCAGGGATAAAAGTGGGATGAGTATGTTACACAATCACTGTTTCTATATTACATATACTATATGCATTAGACATTATACATAAAATTATATATGGAACGCTTTAAGCTATATGGAGACATTAGTCCCCCCTGTAATTTTTTCCCACTTTAAGCCCTGACAAAAGGTGATGACTGTTTTTTAATATCGGATTACATACATTAATTGACCGATTACTAAGGCTAGTAATATTGACTATCACATGATATTATTATAAGAATATGTAATTATAAACTTGTATTATGAATTGTGCTGTTCTTAAAGTAAGATAACCTTGTTCTGATGCTATTCTATTAGTTTTTATTATAAAATATAAACTAATATAAGTATTTATACTTTTTAAAAAACTGTACGATTGACGAATTCTAAATTTATTAAGAAAATAGACTTTAATTTTAATAATCTGAAATAATTGTTCAAAAATAATGTATAAAAATATTTTTTACTAAAATAATTTAATAAAACAAGTCTAATGGTGTACGATTTGGTATAAAATCCTAATACATGTAGGTATATGTATAAAATTCGCATCGGTTACCGACGAAATTTTGGAGATTTATTATTGTTCTAGTCAAAACAATTTGCGGACACCCGTAGCCACTCCTCGCCCTTCCGTCTGTCCGTATGCTCTGGTGCCGGTGGTGGCTTTTATTTTTTGTTTTGGTTACGAAGATGATATAATATACAGAGTGTGCCAAACACCTATTGACAACCGAATATTTAAAACTCAATTACTAAAAAAAAATATTTTCGGGGGCTCAATTTCAAACCAAAAATTAACTTATAGAAATTAAAAAAAAAAATACGCGCTAACTAACAATAATATATAACTTTTATTCAAATAAACACCAAATATTTTTGGGTCTTTTTGTGCACGTTTTGTATACTATTATTAGATATTTCGTATCTTGTACGTACCCTATATTTTTAATCTTTTGTCCCTCACTATATACATATATTAACTACAACTATAACTAATTCCTGGTATTTCAGTGGTATAAATAACGCTTCTAATATAAATATAAGCCATTTTACATTACATTAAAAAAAGTAAATCAATTTTATAGAGTTTAAGTTGAATGAGCTTTTTACACTAATAAAATACTTCTTTGTATAATAGGATAATCTTGAAATATTTTACAAAATAAATAAAATATATTATATTATTTTTATATCCACTGTAATACTGTGTATTTACTATCGGAATTTAATTCTATCAGCTTAAACGATTACGCTGTAAAGCAAAGGAAATGTAATGGTGTATATAGTAGCTCAAAAGGGATGAATGGGGTAGCCTAGTAATACCAAAGAGTTACTGTAGTGTCGAATGTGTAATGTATGCAGTGTGTTTATACACTGTTGATAATTTGAAAACTTTAATAATTTAAAAAAGTTCCTTTTTCGGTTATCATTAGTACTTAAACTAGAATTGCCTCACGGGTGCAACAAACAGTTAACTAAACAAAATACAATTGTAAATAAAATTCACACACAACAAATTAACTTAATTTCTGGCCAGGGGTGTAGCGACGTCATTGTTCCCAAGTCCATTCGGCCGACTGACTTTACAAAAACAAAATGTACACGCACATGAACTAATTAGTAATTTTTTTTTCCATACTTTTTAATTTTCTCAATGTTTTTATGTTAAAATTTTAAAACTATTATTATATATATACGAAAAAATAAGAATACTTTTAAATGGATAAATTTATAAAAAAAATGCAATGGATACAAAAAATGGTTAAATGTTATTTCATATTTTTTTTTAGAACCGCCATTGTTAAGACCATTTTTTTAATAAATAATAATATAATTTTACTTAATACTAATGACGAATAACAAATATACGAAGTAAAACAGGGCTGAGTATACTTTCGTCCCTAAGAAGGTATATTTGGCAGGTAGTTAATTCAACCGGCGCGGCTACTCGAATGTTATTTTCTCTACCTGCCATTAGTCTTTTTTTATTTTTATTTTTTCAAACAATACGGACAAATATCTAATTAACAATGAGAAATATAACATGGTAAATCTGAATAAAAAGATAACATAGACACTATATAACAGGGGTTGAATGAACCGGTTACAGCCAAAAACCGCACATTTCATCGGTTGCCAGGTAAGTACCGGTGCCAGGTGAATACCGCACACTTATATTGGGTAAAAAGAGGTACAAGAGGTACGTAATAAATGAATTGTAAACGCAAGGCTTCTAATGACATTCAAGAGACACTGCAAAAAATAATACGCTGAGAGATGTCATCCATAGAAAATAATACGATAATAGGAAGTAATGACGTCAACTTAATAAGAGTATTCAAAATATTGTCCGTCCAATTAAAAAACAAGTTAGTTAATAGGCACATTTTAATATTTTTAATACATCATTTTGAATGAAATTGGGTTCATTTTTAGGAACACTTGTTTAAATGTCGGGAAGAATTTTTTAAGTACGGGGATCGTTTGAAATTTCTAAAAAACGTTAGAAATCGATTTCAGCAAATAAAATTTAAATCATTTTTTTTAAATTTTATATCTTAAATTTTTCACCATATAAATTGTACCAAAAAAATGTTTTTTGAATATATATATAAATAATAGTTTATAGTTTATACGTCATTATAAAATGTGCGGTTTTGCCCTGTGTTTTATCATCTATATTTTGAAGTCAATGAATGAACCAGTTAACTGTTATTAATAAAAGTAAAAAATTTAACTTTATTTATACATATTTATGTATAAGTTTTTTTTGAACTTTTACGTTTATTGATGGATGTTATTTTTTTAAACTTTTTTGTGAACATTTCCATCGAATGGAATGTACTAGTATGTGTTGTTTGGTATACGAATAATTATTGTGTATAATTTTTTTGCCTTCCTATAAACATTAACACCATTTTACACCTATACACTTTGCAATAAGTACTAAAAATATATAGGTAATACCTACATGCTTTAATAAAATAATCAAAGATAATAGTTCAATAATAGGTAAACAGTTTTCTAGAGATAATAAAATATCGTTTTTTTTTGTGGTGAAAAATATACATTCGGACTTCTTATCCGACTTTCAAAATGTCATCTGGAAATATTTTTTAAAAACAGCCTCGTTTGAGTCGTTAGCTCATTAATGAATAAAATGTGAAATAATTACTCCTTAATAATATGTGATTCTAGCAGCACAGCTAACACCATTAATACTCGTATATTGTATACAAGTATTGTTAGTGTTGGCGTTACTGAGAGGCGGTTTTTTTAGGGGCGGCGATTTGTTCGGCGGCGTTTTCTCGATTTTTTGTCCGGCGGCGTTTTGTCGGGCGACCTTTTGTCGTGTTTCCACTGTTTTGCTAAAATATTGTTATTTGTTTGTTGCTAGCAGCAACAAAAAGCAAGTCTTGCTGCTGTCTATAGCACCTAACCTAACCTAACCTAACCTGTCTATAGCATGTCATGGACGTGGGCAATCTATTTGTATTTAGACATATATATATATAAATTAGGAACAACCCTGATACTCTATCCTAAGAAAATAAGGTTTTTGTATTGTATTTCTCTTTTCACTCTATGTTGTATATAATGTTTATCATAATAATATATAAGCTAAATCTACAATCTATGATAGAGATTTCATGTAGATTAAAAAAATTAAATTTTAAAATAAATAAGCGAATCGAAATAAATTAAACCACAATGCATTTTATCATCTTAATTAAACATAAATTAAGAATACAATAATCGAAAATAGTAATTATTAGTTTTTTGTTTTTTTCTATTCAACTGTTATTGGAGCATGTTAATAACAAAGACGTCTTAATTTTAAAAAATATATATATATTTTTTTTAAATAAATTTTAAAAGGTATTCGTGTATAAATATAACAAAAATAATTATTGGTTACTGTTGGATTCGGCCAACACTTTTTGCTTGTACTCGATGGCTTTCATGAAGGCGCGGTAGTTAAAGGCCTGTGGATAGTCTTCTTTGCTGAAACCTTTGATTAAGGACTTAATCTCGAACAGCGATATAAGCATGTTAAGTTTGGATACGGTAAGGGCGCCTAAAAACGCTTCTTCGGTCACGATACCTTGTCGGTACTTGTCGTAGTCCTTGAACAAATCGTCTAAGCCGTTGTTGGGCGTACTGCACAATTTAGATAGTGCTGAATCCACGGAAATTTTTTGTTCCTCTGTCAGATAATTACTAGGCCCTTCGTACGTTATCAGATATTCTTTAGGATTAGCCGACGGATTTTGTTCCAACCCCAACGTGGTGAACGCCTCCTCAATAATGTTGCAAAACCGTCGGTAATCCACATAACCCGGATTTTCTTTGGACGAAAATCTAATATCATGGAAATAATGATTTAACCACGTATAGAAAAAAACTGGTTGTATCATATCTTTGTCAAGTCCAGTATTTTAGTGAAAATTATATTTTAACTGTTCTAAATACAATTTCTTTTACCAGAAAAACACTTTTTATGCACTCAATTTTTCATTTTTTGCAAAATAAATTGGACTTATTTGATTATGACTGCCCTCCGAAGATATATACAGAAATAAATGTGTTTTACAAATGCAAGGGTTGTTATTCATAGGCCAGTCCTAAGTTAATATTTTACATTATTTACCAAAGACTAAATCTATATAGTTCATGTTTTCTTCCGTCCTGACGACTAATAAAAGAAGACTAAAAAATAATTTATTTACTCGTCGCATAATAAATTTAGTTCAGCCGATTCAAGACGAATGCCCGACATGGCAATTCCTCGCAGAAAATTATCTGCAGCTATAATCCTGTGATTTGTCGTATCAAACTGTCTTAAAAACTGATCAACTTTGATACGTCCTCTTTTCACCTGTCAGTTATTAAATTAATAACAATAGTATTATTTTACTTCTATTATAATATTCACTATTATTTGTATCTTGGATATCAGCGAAGCGAGTGTGAGCTTTTTTAGATTTGACGATATTTGTTCTGTATTTTTAGTATCTTCATCAGTGCTCGATTTTTCCTTAGATTCAGGTTCCTATTTAAAGATACGTAGCTTATTAACATATTAAATAATTTCGAATAACGAAATGTTTTTATTTGCACAGGAGACTATAATACTTTATTTAGTATTATTTAAACAATATGAAGCCGATATTTTAATGAAAATGTATTATGTGGATATGTGATTAATGCATTTCCATTTGTATGTGGTTATGTGCTTAGCGTGAGCCGGTGAGCGTTCATCTGACAAAATAGGACATTTTCTTATGCAACATGCATTAACAATATATTTTCAAACAACGTTGTTTAAATAAGTCGCAATTATTAGGTATCATTGATTTTTAAAATATCAATGTTCTTGGTCGAACAGAAATTTTAAAGTCAAAGAGTATATCCATGTATCATGTTTTTTTTAGCATGGAACATGCTTTAGCCTTGGCCTCCCAGCTCGAAAACGACACAAAAAATCGACACGAAATAATAGCGTGTGCGGTTAGGATTGATTTGAATGCACCGGATCAGTTTGATGTGGTCGGTCCCTGTGCCCCTTACCTCAGCACCTCTATACTCATATTATGCTGCACGACTGAAATGGGTGTAGCGGTCCCCATTGCGTTTCTGATGCGGCGCTCATATACACTGTGTAATATATAACATATAAGATGCCATCGAAATAATAACGAGTCGTCGTCGTCATGCAAACGTTTTGGCCAGAACATATAATTATGACTACATTATCGTCTTAAATCGCAAGCGCAAGGAGACTATAGATCAGAAATAATTTATATTCAGGAGCCAGCCGGCTAGAGCATGTTTTATAGTTTTAGCCGTTAGGCTCTAAGTAGACTAAATATTTTTGAATAGATTTTATTTAAATAAAATATTTAGTATCTATCATGTTAGATAGGAATTTTTATGGTGATAAATCTATTCAAATTTACATATAAAAGATATCTGAGATTGAAAACTATTGAAAAACACAGCTTAGAGCTTGAATATTGTACTCACAATATCTTCCTCTTGTAGATCTTTTATCATCACTAAAAATTCCAAATAATTAAACCCGTCAACGTTCATAAACCGTTTTTCTAGTAAGCGAAGCTCTTCATCCGAACATTGTATGTCAGCGGTGGACAATGCCCGGCGAAAAGTAGATCTCGGTATGTGTCCATGATTATTTCTTTAACGGGACGCAAATACATAAATATTATAATAAGTATCAGTTATAACATAACAAAATTAAATGTTACTTGTCAAACACTTTAAAATAAGGTTCCAATAGAATTCGTCTCTGACGTAAATAATTTCTGATGTTGGTAACCGTTCGATCAAATAATTGTCGCGAGTGTAATTGTACAGACTCCCAATCTTTACCTCCTTTTCGATGCATTTCTTTAACATCTCGAGGGGGACATTCTACTTCAAGTTCCGGAGTCTTTTCCAAATTTTTTCTTACAAACACTATATTTTCAAAAATACACTCGTATGCCGTAATTTTGGGTGAATATAATTTGTACTGTTTTAATTAACCCCTTTATGACCTACAATCAGTGTGTGCAAATTCTTTTTTGAATATTTGTTTTACAATTTATTCAAAAAACATTTTTCTTTCTATATCTACATACTGTTGTATATATTTTGTAAAAGTAGTATATATATATATATATTATATTGATACGAAATAATGTTTTAAAATATAATTACTTAAAAAGTACTTACAAATTGTTTAAATATGATTAAAAATTATTCGAATAAAAATTTGAAACTATTTTTTAAATTGTTTAAATAATTATTTTTTAAATTATTCTAATAACTATTACTTGAGTAATATGTTTATGCAATACCTAGTTGATTATATAGATAGGTGATAACGTTTTATTCGAATGATCAATGATGCACAACTCTGAATACAATTAATATTGAGCCTATTAGTCGATTAGAAGCGTTATAGGGCAATTAATAGTTGCACATGATTAAAATATTATGACCATAATATTAGTAATAATATTATTACTCTTCAGAATTTCATATAATATTAGTTAATAGTTAACAACATTAGTTTTTTCTATGGATTTTTTGGCAAGATTTTGGTTTATTTTACGCAGTAAGAAATTGGATCATGGATGCAGTCACAACACAAATATATAATATATTAGATAACTATCAGTTGTGTCTTTATTTTCTACTATTTCCGTGGATTATATTGATATACATACCTAGTAACTAGATAGCAAACTACGCATAATAGCTTAAGAGGCCTCTTACACCTGCGTATTTTGGTCGAAAACAACTCATTGCAATTCAAACATACGTTCCTAAGAATACTCCGATTTAAGTATTGAAAAAATATTTGAGTTCTTCAAAACATTTTCAAGACATCGGTCGAAGCACAATTTTAAAATTATTTTTAGTTAACTAATTATTTCAGTAAAAAAAAGTTTAAAGTTTAAAATTACATTTTTTTCATATTGAAATAATTAAATAACTGAAAATAATTTTAAAATTCTGCCACGACCGATACCTTGAAAATATTGTGAAGAATTCAAACGTTTTTTAAAAACTTAAATAGATGTATTCTTAAAGACAGTACGTTTGAAGTAGAAACATGTGTTTCTGTACAAAAATAGATCCTATGTGCGTTATACAAATTAAAAACAAAAAATAATTATCAATATAGATATTTCTTTCCTATGGTAGTATGTATGTTTAAACATTTTAGCTTAATATTAAGTTTTAGCGAAAAATTGCCTATATAATGCGCCTGAATAGAGCTAGTGTAGAGAATTTCAAAAAACCCGTCTTTCGTAGATTAATTTTACGAAGGCTGTAATCAAAACTAAGAAACCAAATATTCACATAATATAGACAACAACATTGTCTGTACTCTACCATAGCCTTTTTTAAATATTTCAACCAGTTAATGAATAATTAATTAAGAAAGGACTTTTTAAAAAATGATATAGCGTCGGTAGTATATTAGGTATATCGAAAAAATACGGATGCTAGGGCACAGATAATTTTGTCATATTATATTATATTTATGAATTTCTTTCCTTAACTATGTATAAAGCCTGAGAAAAATTAATCCGCGTAAAACTCAACTCGATAGAATTTTTTTTTTTAATTGCTGTCATGAATGCTGTGATAGTCAAATATTGAATTGTAAATTGTAATTATTTTTATCATGGTTTAACAATGGTTAATACGTTCCTGCAAAACTACGACCTAAATATTTGCAGCGATAATCATTTTAATGTTTTACAACAAACAATTGACGATCTTGTTGAGTAATAGCTGGGTACATTGTTCGAAAGCTAAGAAAAAAGATTAATTGTAATAAATGTATCGAAGCTTTATAGGTCTATGGTTAAGAGTTTCATATCTTGTTACTATGTATATCTATGATTATATTATATTACCTATCAAGAATAGTTTTGATCACGGCCTTAGTAAAATGTATCCGATAAGAAGATCTTCTACGGTCGTGGTTTTGATCATAGCCATTTATTTTTTTATTCATATGGAAAAAAAATATAGACATATCATGGTATCAGGTATGATATGTTTTTGGCACAGATATATATATAATAAACTAGATTGCTAACTAGCGATAAGAATTGAAGCCCACGGTCCGCCATTCTAGTGGGATTTATGTGTGTTATCAATGCATATAATATATATCTGTATATATTATTATATCAATATTATATATATATCGTGTGATAAGGTTCTAATTCCCACCAAGGTGGCGGAAAGTGGCTGCTTATACTTCTCTATTGGTGGCATGTACGGTTAGCAATCTAGTATATTATATATATCTATGGTTTTTGGTTATGACTTGTTGATTTTGATTTTTTGTGGTTGGCCTTATCGGTCAGTCAGATATTAGTTTTCTTCCATGACTGATTCGCGTATTTATCAAAGTCGTTATCATTTGAATTTACGAAATTCCTGAACGTAAACAAAACTAGTAGGTAATAGGTATAAGTACGGCATGATTTAGCCATTGACTCGTTTCATTTAAATTTTAAGGTAATAGTCTCAGGTAAATTCATAATAAGTTTAATCGTTTAATTTATTTATTTATAATTTGATATAATTATTTAAATTTAACACTAAAATGAAAACAATTGAAATTATTAATCAAAACAGCATTTAAAGATAACAGGTATTTAACATATTATTAGTTGTATTAACTTGTTAATTATTAAGGTATATAAAATAATAATTTTATTAGCTACTACATGGAATTTACCTGTGTTAATTTCGTCTTCAAACTTTCTCCACCTTATATTTTCTGGATGCTCTTCATCCTTGAACATGAGCAATAGTAAGGCAAGTTCTGGTTCCGAATAATATAAACGATGTAATGAGCTAACCCCAATTGAGTCTAAACATCTGCGAAACTGATCTTCAGTAACAAATCCCTTGTTGTATGGATCAAATGGCTATAAATAAAAAAATTTGCTATTAACATGCATGACTCATTAACAATATTTTAAACAAATACTTTAAAAAATTGTCCGATATTAATTTGATTTTGAAGTACATGTTTTTGAACATTCCTCAAGACTGTTATGACATTATCTTTTTTGTTTGTCTTATGTTCCAATACTGGATGAAATACGTTTTTGTTAGTGTATTTTCTAGACTTACTTTCTGTTGATTTATTTTCTTGTGATTCCTAGGTCATATTAAATTGAACAATTTTTAAGTAATTGTGATTCTTATTTCTTAATATTAGAACACCTAAGATATTTCAAATCTGTACCTATACTCTTTATATAAATTTACACTACTCACTTTCAACTTGGATAGTTAGTAATTCCTGTATTTAATTAAACATTTTTTTTTTAATTTTAACATTGTAAAAAAAATAAAGCTTGTAATTGACATTATATTATATTTATTCATTAAATGACTAAAGTATAAAAATAGTATATTTCAGTTTCACTAGAGTTACCTGTGAAATTAAAAAACATACCTAATTATTAATAAACAATACAATAAAAATGTAATAAACATTACATATTTTTTTTTAGAAATGTTGCCTTACAAGATTAACCAGTTGTCTGACAGCATTGATGGTTATGAAAAGCTGGAACTTTTGGGTAAAGGTGGCTTTGCTTGTGTATATAGAGCACAATGTCGTCAAACTGGGCGTCAAGTTGCCATCAAAGAAATCGATGTATGGATGATGAAAAAACAGAATATGATTGACCGTGTTCGACAAGAAGTTAAAATACATAGTCAGCTTAAGCATCCGTCAATATTGGAGTTGTATACATTCTTTGAAGATTGCCAACATGTTTATTTGGTGTTAGAACTTTGTTATAATGGTGAATTACTTCAGTATTTAAAGCGAAACGGTAATAAATTATCAGAAATAGAAGCTAGATATTTAATAAGGCAAGTTGTTGAAGGTCTTCTGTACTTGCACAGACATAATATTGTACATAGGGATATGACGTTAACTAATTTGTTATTGACAAAAGACATGCGAATTAAAATTGCTGATTTTGGTCTTGCCACCCAGTTAAATTCCAGGGATGAAAAACATATGACAATGTGTGGTACTCCGAATTATATATCGCCAGAAGTTGCTACTCGAAGTTCTCACGGCTTGGAAACAGATTTATGGGGATTAGGATGTTTACTATACACGCTGTTGGTGGGTTATCCTCCGTTTGACACTGATGCTATAAAAAGTACATTGACAAAAGTTGTCATGAGTGATTTTACATTACCACATTATTTATCTAACAACGCTAAAGATTTAATCAATAGCCTATTGAGGAAAAATCCAAGAGACCGTATTGATTTACAAGGTGTGTTAAATCATGACTTTATGAAAGAGAAAATTCTCAACGATGGAACGTCTATATGGGTGCATCAATCACATTTTACTGAAGATAGCGGTTTTAACACACTCTCATTCAATAAAGACCGACTGTGTAATACATCCAACGGCTTAAGATCAAAGATCAATCCAAATTATAACCAAAATTATCAAACAAATTGTGGTAATTCAAACTTAAATATGGTACCAACGTGTCATAATTTCCATGTAAATTCGGATGTAAATAGGCATGAATGTTGTCAGACATCAAGTGTAATGCATAGTTTTCACAACCACAGTAAAAATAACCAACCTAACCGGTACCCCATTGTGTCGTCACAACATTCTGAAAGAAAACAGTTTTCTGTGTTTGATGATCAATTTTTGCAATCATTTAAAACACTTCCTGAAATGAGCTCTACTAATAAAATGGCTAGTTGTTTGACGACAGCACGCTTACAGAAACACAGACATAAAACTAAAAATAAAGTATTAAGTATTTTGGACAATGGTGAAATTTGTGTAGAGTTCATTAAAATCAAATCGAAATCGAAAGAGGAACGAGTTGTAGAAGTTATTCGTATATCGTCTGATGGCCAACACATGGTTATTTACAAACCAAATCGAGATAGAGGTGTTACACTTCAAGACACACCACCTCCTATACCTGAAAAAGGAGCCGATGAGGTGTACAGTTACGAATCGCTTCCTCAACATCACTGGAAAAAATATGCCTACGCAGCTCAGTTTGTTAATCTAATTGCTTCGAAAACTGCAAAAGTTGTATTATATAGTGATAAAGCAAAATGCTTACTAATGGAAGATGGTAAATCATTTGAAGCTCACTTTTACAATGGAACTTTAGTATCAAGTATTGGAAACGGTGCCATCAAGTTAGTAATCAACGGACAGTCAAAATCGTTTATTAGGCCTGAATGTTTAGATGAAACTGGAAAGATGATTTACATTCAATTCAAACAATATTATGAACACTGTTGTTTAGTTGAGAAAACATTAGCAGCCCTTGATACAAACTCTAATGGTATAGCAGTTTTTCCAGTTACATTAGGAAGAAGACCTAACATAAAGGAAAAATCATCCGATAATATATCTACAAATTGTAAGGTAAAAAATTCATTTTTAGTCAAATCTGGTGAAGTATGCATTACTTACGGTGACGGATCACAAGTCACGCTTGATACGACTACAGGCAAAGTGAAATGTGAAACAGTTCAGGGTGTTATAATGGTATATGACCAGAAAGACAGACATCTTTTGCCGGAATGGGCAAAAAGCTGTCTAAAAGAAATTCCACATCTACTAAAACCTAATGAAAGACCAACAGAAAATTGGAAGTGGCCAAATAGATGATAATGACTTATTATAACTTCATGTAAATAACTATTTATAATTTTATACTAAAAAAAATGTCATATTTTATTTAATGGACAAGTTATTTAATAGTCAGCTTTCTTCCATATTCTCATTTAGGTAATTGATTACCTAATCACAATAAAGTCTATATTAGACACTATAACTGTTGTGTTTATTTCTTTTATAATTTTATGTTAAAATATTAATTTATAAAAATATTTTTTTAATATATATGTATATATTTAACAACTTAATATATATATATATATATATATTTTTTTTTTTTAATTTAGTGAAACAACAGTATTATAGTTATTGTAGTAAAATTTATATTTTGTTATATATATATATATTAAGTAGTAGGTATTTATTTAAAAAATGTACACTTTATATTGATTATATTATGCAAAATTCTGTAAACAAAATACACATATGTATAATAAGTGTACTTGCATGTGAAAACCAAGTTTGTGGATTATTATTTTGTCTCTGAATCCAATTAATTTCTTCTAAAAATTGATTTTTGTTAATCATATAACTATACACCATACATTTTTTGATAATCAACTGTATTTCAAGTTGAGAAATATTTATCTTCAATGTGTAAATCATATCCATAAACTGTTTAGTTGTCATTAGACCAGTGTTTCCTGTCACCTTTGAAAAATTAAAGCTGATACATAATATTAAACATTATGACATGTTATAATTGTGTAATTTATTTTATATAGACACCTAAATTAATAGCATGCCCCAAATATTGTTTCTCATAATTTAAAGAAATCAAGAGATATAATTTATATTACAGTTATAACATATACAGGGTGATCCACTTATCGTGAACCACTCAATATCTCATAGGGTTTAATAAGAAATTAAAATTTTTTATTCCATATTGTTTTTATACTATTTGATCTCAAATTTTCAAAAAATTATTTGTTTTTACCCCCCTACCAACTTAGTTTTTTTGATAGCAACTTTCAAAACTTAAATGGTAACATATATATTTTATTAACTTTTCAAATTGAGAATAATGTATTAAACATTTTGACTTGTCGATAAATAGTTTCGGATAACTATTTTTGAAGTTTCAAGTTTAGGACAGGAGAAAAAATGGAGTGTAGTATTATTTTTATCTGCGCGCATTCCCCAACCGCACTTCTCCCATCCTAACTTTAAACTCTTATAACTTCAAAAATAGTTATCCGAAACTATTTATCGACCAGTCAAAATGTTTAATACATTATTCTCAATTAGAAAAGTTAATAAAATATATACGTTACCATTTAAGTTTTAAAAGTTGCTATCAAAAAAACTAAGTTGTGAGGGGGGTAAAAACAAAAAAAAATGTGAAAAATTGAGATCACATTATATAAAAAAAATATGAAAACAAAAATTTTAATTTCTTATTAAACCCTATGAGATATTGAGTGGTTCACGATAAGTGGATCACCTGTACAACAATTTACTACAAATGTATTAATACGTATCATAATAAACCAAGTCTTTTACCTGTTCGTAATCGTCAAAATAAGGTTCTAATTCAATACTTCGTAGTTTTAAATCGTTAGCAATCTTTTTCATTGCTATTAATCGAGGTATATCTTTTTCGGTGTATTTTGATGTTTCATTGTTTCTATTGTCGCTCTGTGACTCTAAATTATAGTTAGACAATTAAAACATATAGTTAAACATTACAATTTTTTATTAAAATAAATAATAGTAATATATTGTAAATACGTTTATATTTATCTGTATGAACACAGTTAAATACTGTAAAAAAAAACCGTCGCTTAACATTGGTTGTTAAGTGTCGTCAAAGTATTAATATTCTATACGACCACTACAGACAAAAAAAACACTGTTAATAACTGACCAATAATCATGATTCATGAAGGAAACTAGAAAAAACTTTCCAAACGCTGTCTTAAAGTAATCAAAAAATTAATTAATTAGTCATAACCCACAAAAACTCTTAATCACTGTACTAATAAATTTAATCTTTTAATAATTTATTAGCTTTTTACAAAAACTGCCTACACCAAACCCCTTTATAAATTGAAAAGTACAGTCGGTGCGGTAAATTTATTAAAGGGGCAAAACGTTAGGTAATCAAATAAACATTAGCTACATTGAAACTCGTTTTTGACAATTTTTAGCTGTACGCGATCTGTATTATTATCTTTTTTTTTTATACAAGAATATAATTATAAAATATTTTTAGTTAAGTAGCCTATTCAAAATGTTTAAAATGAAAAATCGCTTATGTTATGCTTTTCATATTTTTGTGTCATCTTCTCAAGATATAGTCTATAATTACCTACTGTTGATTTCATTTAAAAAACAATTTACAAATGCAATTATTATAGTTTGAAAAAGGTGAACCTTCATTTGGACCGGATTCGTGGACCATTTGACAAAATTCTCCGTATCGCACGTGATCTTGTGATTCACAAAAACGTAAAACCAATAATTGGATTTCTTCATAATTTAAATCGATTGTAGTTTTCAAAGGTCCCGATAGTACATTTTCGAACTGAGATTCTAACAACATTATATTAATATTGTTATAAAAATAAAATTGTGATTTTATTACGTCTATTTAATTTAAACCAGTAGTACAAACAAAATAATATACTTGATATAAAACCGGTGTTCTTTGGATCATATATTAAATAATATTCCCAAAAATTAAATTTTATTCGATTTACAACATTTCGAATTTTAGAGCAAATCTTCCATAGGTCCCGCTGAGTCTTGGCCGTGTGCTGAAAGTGAAAATTATTACCTACTCATTTTCAATACTTTGTAAAGGTGTTAATAGTATTTACGTGTAGAAATAATAAAATACATTTTAAGTCAATAATAGTTAATACGTTTATATTTTAGGTATTCATGTAGGTTTAATTACCTGCATTTTCTCTAATTTATGAGATATATTTCCTCCGTTCTTATTTTATAGTGTTGTTGTTTACTGTAACTATGTCTATAGGCACAACTAAATAGATAAACTTGTTACATGTAGTTGTTCAGTTTAAACATATGTTTTATTCCATTAGCTAAATTTAATATTTTTAAATATAGTAATTTTTTGTACAATAGTTGTTAGGCTTATTAATTGTTTGACGTCTCCGTTTCTTGCCATCGTCCTTAGTGCGGACCTTTTCATTCATTTTCGTTTTTAGTAAAACGTAAGCATATGAGCTGAAATAAATGAGATTATGAAATTCGTCAGAACTCACCAGTTCTAACATTTTAGGTCTAGGAAAATGTCAGTTTTAAAAATAAATAAAATTAATATTACGTTTATTTTAAAAATTCTTGAACTTATATTGCATATATCTAAATCTTTGGCATTATAAATAAATTATTTATCGAATTTATAACTCTATAATGTGAGCTCCCTCGTAGTTGATATCAGAATATCACCTAATAATATCTGACAGACCATTTATTTTGTCCATAAATCTTGTAATATTTTTTAAAAATCTTTTTATCCATATTAGAAATTGTTTTTAGGAATTTTTGAAGTATTCTAGTCACATTGTAAGTGACACAAAGCAGTTATTCGCAATTTTAAAACTTATTAAGTTATTTTTATACATATTATAAAGTGAGTGTAATGTGATTATAATTACTACAAAACAGTATACTATTTCAAAGCATAATATACTATAAATGAAATATATAACATGTCATGTGACTATTGACTAAAACTCATTGTGATATACAATAGTCAATTAATAGATGTACAATATAATACATTATAACTTGATAGTGTAGACGCTCGTCGCTAACCCATAGACCTTTTACTAACTACTAAGGTTTATTAGCGCCGAGCGCGGCATTAGCTTACCGGTTTACGGCATAGCATAATCACAATATATATATATTATATTCAAATCAATAATCATAAAACATCGGCGTTTGTCAGTGACTACAGAGGTCGCTGGATGATGACTACTAAAATATCAAATAAAATAAAAAATAATAACAAAAAATAAGGAATCCTGCAAACAAACTTATGAATACTCTTCACAGTTCACTTATTTATTACCCGTCTCTTTAATCTTTATTATCAATTTTTATTAATATGCATTTGAGTCTTGCTCATAGACCTATAAAGAATCTTTATAGGTCTATGGTCTTGCTCCTTTAATTCGTGATCAAACATTATTAAGTTGTCACTACTTGCGCGCAAGGGATTAATTTGATATGGTCACACTGTTAGTGTTTAGCGTTACCCCGCTCTCCACTACCAGTGTACACAGTTGGCGGTAGCCATTTTCCAAACTCTCACCGTTCTACACCTCTGGTCCTGGTCCACGGTTTCTCCAGCTTTTGCTAGCGTTTTGAAACCTCCATTTATCCACTCACCTTGCACATTTTGTTTTATTTACAATTTTATTAACTCTGTTAGTGGTTAAATAATCGAATCTAGTCTTTCTTACGGTATTCTACGCATCACACGAAGTACGCAACAATGTCTGACGATCAGCAAAAAGAACAACAAACCAACGGAACCAACGACAATAATGGCGTCGAACAAACAAACAGCCAAGATGAAGTCAAAGAAGATGACAGGTAACTTACAAATTTGTTAAGACCTGCTAAAATTATTTATCTTTTAACAATATGTTTAATCGGTATATAACTATAATATCAACGTATGAAATTTTTACTAATGACGCAGGGTTGTTTTGTTAATCATACAAATCGCAATATATTTACATACTTTTTCTTGGGTAGCATTAATTAATTGGATATTCGAAAACTTCAACGAAATTATTCTATTACGATTAATAATGTTTATAGTTTGAACTTGAAAATAGTACTTCATGACTTCATTCGCTTATCTTAGGTAGCTCAGTACTTAATTCAGTTAGTATCTGTTCGTTAAATTGTATTAAGGTTGCAAACGTATTTAAATGTGATTTGTATTCAAATAATTAATATAAATTACTTCATACTACAACCAAACTATAAACATTAATAATTGTTAAATAATAATGATGTGGTACATAACATCTAAATAATATTTTTATTATAGTAGACAATGCAATGAATGGTTTTAGTTTACCATTATAGGTAAGATAAAGTTCAATGACCTGAAGGAAAATTTAATATAACCAATTTTTTTATCAATTACTCTTGTGTTGTCTTTACTAAATTAACAGTAATTAATGGGTAATAATTTAATACATTGTACAGTTAGTACAAATTAAATGATTCTGTAATCATTTAATTTGCTAGGTATAATTTACAATTTATATAAATGTAATAGAATGTTATAGAATTACTTAATGCTACATACTATAAATCAATCTTTCTCAAGACTAAAAAATATGAGTAATTTGAATAAATACGGGTTTTCACATTTTAATTTTTTTAAGGGGATTCGATACTGACCATTTTTAAGGAGTTTTGTATAGGCAATATTTAAGAAAAAAGTAGCTTTAATAAATTTCAACCATGTCAATTAATTGGCAGACAGGGCGGACTCCGGGGGGAACGCTAATCACACTGGGTGCCGCGCGGAGATGCGCAGAACAGCCAATTTTTGACGGGTCGCGGCATGCTCTCTCTGCGAACAGGATATAGTAATTTTTGTCCATCGCAGAGGTCGAACCAGTGATCCAATTAGTAATCTGAAAACAGATTTGAATTCATTATGAAGTTTACTTGGGATCCTACAAGGTACTTTTTTTGATATCTTTTTCATACTATGAATAAGAAACGTTTGAACATTTTATAAAAAATTTAAATTCAAATTTGTAAAGTGTTAAAATTTAAAATTGAAAAAAGTGCTTTGTAGGATCTCAAGTAAACTTCATGAAAAATTAAAATCGGTTTTCAAATTATCGGATTACTGGTTTAGCTTGTGCAATAGACAAAACATGATGTGTTTTGAATGAAAAAAACGGCCGGTATCGAATCCCCTAAAGGTATAGGTTTCTAAGTAAAAAAAGTAATATTTGAATTGTAATTTAACATTTATTTTTCTAGATTAAATGGGATATCTCATATTTTATGTTACCTTTATTAATCATAAATTATTTTATATATTCAATTTAGTTGCAGCTAATCTAAAAAAATATTGCATGTTTAAGTTTAAAGCTGTATTTAACTAGTAACTCTTTTATGGTTAATATGATTATTAGATGTAAATTGATTTAGTACAAAGTATTATTGTATATATTTATAGTTTTTTAGGGATTTATTTTTGGAAATGTTGGTTTATTTTTTTTAAAATTAATAACATTATTTTTCAATTTAATAAATAATAAATTATGAGAAGGATAATTTGTTTAAATGTCTTTTCAGGATGTTTAAAATGTTTTGATACATTTATATTTCTGTGTGTAATATTATAATTACTATTAAACACCATTTTTTGAGGGTTTGTTTTTTCTAAATGTAATATTTTGTAGTAGGTGTGTTCAATGCTTTCAAATGTTTTAACAAATTTATAAATTATACGTTTTTGTAAAAAAAGAACTTTAAGTGGATATTTTTAGGCTCCAGACAGTAGTGGGTAGATATACTAAAATAAAAATATTATATAATACGATCCCTGTTTATTGATTCCTAAAGAATTATCTAATAAATAATATGTAAGTATACACCTGTTTCTATTTTGGTCATAAAGAGACGCTTTTTAAATAGAGCATCTTAACTTTAATCTCCATTGATCCTTTAAAAAAAATATTGCTTTAATTTATGTTAATAAGTACAATTACCTTAATATGTACCTTATATACTACTCATTAATTGAATTCAGTACTTATCATGTAACTTACAATTAGTAAAATCAATTTGTACCTTTTTGTTTTTTTTTTTATAAATTATATATACATATTTATGTATTTAAATAATAACTATAATGTGTTGTATTGGTAAATTTGTAAACTTAACGAAGATGTACCATTTGACTTGTCTACTTCTCAAGGGTTTCAAATTGTGTTTTCAATGGGAATTCTGAAGATACTTAACTTTGGATGAAAAAATTCCTTTAACTATTAAGCAATTTGTACATGCAGTCAATTCATGTAAATAATTTTTCATGATATCTGCGTCTCTTCAGGACCACCGTGTAGGCCTATTTATCGATTACCATTCAACCTGGTGTATAACTATTGCGCAGGTGACGATTATGTCATTTCATTGAAGAATGAAATAATGGATTCATTGTACAACAGGTATACATTTGACAATAGCTGAATGTCATTAGTGCAGAAAGTTGAAGCAGACTACAAAACACGTCACCTACCAAATGGTAGGAATCATTAAGTATTTAACAATATATAATTGGAGAATGAACTGTTTATAAAAATAAATAATTCTACATAATTTAAAATAAATAATATTTATTAAGTTTCAGTAAAAAATTCTGATTCGTCTTTAAAACCATAAGGATGTCGTGAAAAATATTTATGCATTTCATTATGTTTACAGTTGTACAGTCGCTAAAAAATAAACACATGATACATTGCAGATTTGGCCTAATGTTCTAGTATGAACAGGACTTAATAGCCTATTTGTACATAATTTAAATTACTATAATTTTGTTTTTAATTCATAATGTAACATTTATTACATTTTTGTACTTAAATATTTTTGTAAAATCACATTTATTTATAATTATTTTTTATACTTTTTTTTCAAACTTTCTGTAGTGAAAATTTCCTCATTCTCCTAAAATATATATTTATAAATTACATATATATTACCTTTGTTTGACTAAATTAAAACGAACGAACAATGCATGGTTATTGAAAATTGACTTAATAAGTATTGAAGTAAAAAATTCAATTTGTGCTATTATACATAGTAAATTATAATGTTACAAAAATATTAGTAGGTATATTATGTTTATTATTATTTTAACGTGTTTGTAAAATTATATTTGAAAAATATAGTTTAACGAGCATATTTTGGATTTTTTACTTCATAGTTGTTATGGCCTTACTATTAGCTGCATTTTTTTATAGTATAAAAAAACTATGATAAAAAAATATAAAAATATATTTAATATACGTTTTAATGTTACCAATTTTTTAAATGCCTGCTTCAGATTGAAACTTAAAATATGCATAATAATTTATTAAGAAATAAATTTGCTAAATTATTATCAAAAAATTCAAAATTGCAGCTATTAGATTTACACATTTAGTTAATTCGTTGGAACTTTCAATTGTATTTTATTCTTAAGTTTACTAATAAAAATAAATATAATTGAAAGTTCATTAATTTAAAGAAGGAAAAAAATCCTAAATTCCATCACTTCTTAGTTTTTCCTTCCAACTATAAATGATTTTTATTTGATTATTCAAGTTGATTAATTACTATTACTTTTAAACTTAAAATTATATTGTTTTAGATTTAATGTGTATTTTTTTTTATTTATACAAATTTATGGGAAATAAAGTTTTAATTATTTTTAAGGTTGAATGTAGTGTTATTTTAAATAAAAATTAAAAACAACAGTTTTATAAAAAAAATTAATTGTTAATATAGAAATTTTATTACATTAATTACTTATTGGGTTATATATATATATATACTATTTTATTTTGTGTGGGAACTCTGAACATTTTTTTATGTGCAGACTTTTTTATTGGTCCAATTTCCTCGTCTTTATTACTTCCATTTTTTTTTTTAATTTTTTTTTATTCATGCATACTATTTATAGTTAATCTCAAAAATAATTTAATCAATATCTTTTAATTTTTAAAAAAAAACTTTTTTTTAGGAAATTATTTGTTGGTGGTTTGAGCTGGGAAACAACAGAAAGTAAGAATTATCATGTTATTGGTTTTTTATTATATTTTTTTTTATTTAAATTTTACTTGAATTGTTTCCAGAGGAATTAAAAGAACATTTCATTCAATATGGAGAAATTACAAACATTAGCTTGAAAACAGATCCTGCGACTGGTCGTTCCAGAGGATTTGCTTTTATTATCTTTAAAAGTGTCGATGCCTTAAATAATGTAAACTACATTTTATAATAATTATTATTTTATATGTTTATATTTATTTTAAAAAAATGTCTTTCTCTTAATTTAGGCATTTGCAGCGGGAGATCACGTAATTAATGGCAAAAAGATTGATCCTAAAAAAGCTAAGGCCAAACAAGAAAAAGTGTTTGTCGGAGGATTGCCTTCTGATGTTACCAATGATGAGATCAAAGAGTTTTTCGGAAAGTGGGGTGTTATTGTTAACTTAGAAGTTCCCTTTGACAAAATGAAAAATCAGCGTAAAGGCTATTGTTTTATCACTTACGAATCTAGTGACAAAGTTCAAGATCTATTCAAGACTGCAAAACAAACAATTAAAGGCAAAGAAGTATGTAGGAGTTTTATAACTTGTCTGGTTGTACAAACATTAAAACAAATTATTGTTATTGTCATAAAAATGTGTTAAATTTAGGTTGATGTGAAAAAAGCTGCGCCGAAACCAGCAAACCCTTATGCTAATCCCAAAACAATGAGGGGTCGAGGTGCTGCTCGTGGAGGTAAATAATATGATTAAGTGGTAGTTTCAAAAATAATTTTAAGCAAATAACTAACCTAACACCCTGAAAATTAAATAAATAGATATGGTAGAAAATATTAAGATAAATGAGACTAATAGATAGATATTAATATATTATGATTATGCTGAAACAAAATATCAATATTATTTCACTAGAAAGTTACCATTTAAAAATATTAGTATGACTAATGAAAACTTTATATGATAAATTAATTAAAAATTTAAAAAAATAACAAGACATTTTATTTAATTTTTTCTTAAAATAAATTTTTTTTTTAAATTTTTTGTTTCAGCATATGGGCCGTATGCTGCACCATATGGAGGTAAGGCATAAGTTTTGCTTCTTTAACATTTAATTCTCTAATTAATATAAAATATTATTTAATTTGAGAGTAATATAAATATGAAATAAATCGTTTTTTAAAGTTAAATTTTAAATTATTGAAACATAAATCTTGAATTTCCATGTCATTGAGTTAGAAGTTATTAAACATATAAATACATACCACATACTTTCATAGTATTGTGATATTATTTAGACAATAATAATAAAAAAAAACGTTTTTTTTTAAATTGAATCAATTTATTAGATATAGTTGGTTCTGTTTTACTAAATAAATACTTTTTCATTTTTTTAGTCAGTTCTTTAAATATAATTTTTTTTATGTTTATTTTTAGTTTCAATTTTTATTTAGTACCTTAAAATGGTTCATTATCACTAAAAGAATTCTATTGAAATGTACTATTAATCATTACTGCACAATATGATGAGTACTTTTTAGTCAGTTCTGCTACTGATAGAATTTGATGAAAACTATTATTCTGATATTTTTTTAAAGAAAAATAAGAACTAATTTCAGACAATTACGTCGTTTTTTATTACTAGTCTTTTTTTTTAGTCAGTTTTGCAGCTGATTACATTTAAAAAACAATCATTATGTCTGAATGTAATTTATTAAGCTAAAGTAATATTATTATATATCTGTCATAACTGCAAATTATGATGAGTACTTTTTAGTCAGTTCTGCTACTGAGAAAATTTGATGAAATTGTTATTCTGACATTTATTTTAAGTAAAATAATAACTTATTTCTGTTAAGTATATTTTTATGACTAATCTTTTGTAGTATATTCTACTACTAATTACATTTGACAAACTTATTATGGCAGTATGGGATTAATTAAAGCAAGGACATTTTTTCCCTGATATAACTGCATAATTGCATAATATGATGAGTACTTTTTAGTCAGTTCTGCTACTGATAGAATTTGATGAAAATATTATTCTGATATTTTTTTAAAGAAAAATAAGAACTAATTTCAGACAATTACGTCGTTTTTTATTACTAGTCTTTTTTTTTAGTCTGTTTTGCTGCTGATTACATTAAAAAAACAATCATTGTGTCTGAATGTAATTTATTAAGCTAAAGAAATATTATTATATATCTGTCATAACTGCAAAATATGATGAGTACTTTTTAGTCAGTTCTGCTACTGAGAAAATTTGATGAAATTGTTATTCTGATATTTATTTTAAGTAAAATAATATCTTATTTCTGTTTATTAAGTACGTTTTTATGACTAATCTTTTGTAGTATATTCTACTAATTACATTTGACAAACTTATTATGGCTGTATGGGATTAATTAAAGCAAGGACATTTTTTTCCCTGCCATAACTGCATAATTGCATAATATGATGAGTACTTTTTAGTCAGTTCTGCTACTGATAGAATTTGATGAAAGCTATTATTCTGATATTTATTTAAAGAAAAATAAGAACTAATTTCAGACAATTACGTCGTTTTTTATTACTAGTCTTTTTTTTAGTCTGTTTTGCTGCTGATTACATTAAAAAAACAATCATTGTGTCTGAATGTAATTTATTAAGCTAAAGAAATATTATTATATATCTGTCATAACTGCAAAATATGATGAGTACTTTTTAGTCAGTTCTGCTACTGAGAAAATTTGATGAAATTGTTATTCTGATATTTATTTTAAGTAAAATAATAACTTATTTCTGTTTATTAAGTACGTTTTTATGACTAATCTTTTGTAGTATATTCAACTAATTACATTTGACAAACTTATTATGGCTGTATGGGATTAATTAAAGCCAGGACATTTTTTTCCCTGCCATAACTGCATAATTGCATAATATGATGAGTACTTTTTAGTCAGTTCTGCTACTGATAGAATTGGATGAAAACTATTATTCTGATATTTTTTTAAAGAAAATTAAGAACTAATTTTTCTTTATTTTATAATTATAAGAACTTGTTGTTTATATGTCACATCTAAGATAAGTACTTTATAGTCAGTTTTGCTACTAATTGTACTCGATGAAAATTATTTCTCTGAGTTACTTGATCATATTTTTTACTGTAAAATGCAATTTTGGGTTAGGCAGTATACCCTGTCTAACCCAAAATGTTTTTTCTTTACTTTCAGAAAATCATTTGTTTATTATTTATAAACAATGTTTAAAGTAAAATTTCTATCAATTTAAAGCCATTTACACTTTCAAATATTGTTTTAATCCTAGTTCATCTTGATTTTCCCTGGTTTAAACTAAGAGTAATTAGGAATTTTATTAATTTACAAATAAAACTTAATACATTAAATTAATAAAAAAAAAAATTATATCTCAACTATTGCTTACAGCTTACCCTCCTCAAGGCTATGATTACTACGGAGGTGCTGCATACCCGGGATATGAAGCTGACTACTATGGAAGTTATGGCTATGCGGGTTATGGTAAGATAGTACTATTATTATTATTGAAAGGGTGTTGATGGTTTTTTTTTTTAATTAGATTACGGTTATGGTTATGAAGCACCTCCAGCTCCAGTTTCTGCTGCCAGAGGACGAGGTAATTATTATAAATAATATTAAAATATGAACTACAAAGGTCTTTTCCAGACTGCTCATAATTATTTATTACAAATTTTTAATTTAAGCTGCATTTAATGGTGCCGGAAAAGCAAGAGGTACTTCCCGAGGATCAGGAGCCAGACATGCTCCATATTAATCAATTACACAAACCTTTCCCATCTTATTTGATATATGTTTTTTTGTATGTGTGCGTGTGTTTATATGTATTTACACTTTTAGGTGACTTAGTCTTATTTTTTTTTACAAACAAATTCTTTTTCTGACAATAATGACTTGTTAATTTAATAGACCATCCTTTTCTCCAGTCCTATTATTATTTTGTATGTTTTAAACATAAAACAATTCAATGTACAAACAATAAATTATATATTTAATCATAGCACTAACAATATAACAAAAAATACTTGTAATGTACGTACATTTTTTACTCTACTATAGATTAGTTAGTATTTATATTTTTTCCTAATAAATAAATATACATAATAATATACTAATATATATATATTATATATAAATGTATATTAATATATATACACACAACTTAATATATTATTTTAAAAGCTTTCATGCTCTACATACATTTTAGTAGTGTTCGATTGTTTGTTTTTTATCCTACATAATGATTACGTATTGATAATTAAATTGCATATGTATATTTATATATGGTTTAGGGCCATTGCAATACCTTAAAATTATCCAATAGTTAACAGATTAGGTTCAGAATATTAATTATGTATTTCATGGTAAATTGAATAATAAGAATTAAATTTAATAGTTTGCTTTGTATTAAGTTGAATTGTTGTATATACTGTTCTCAATACAACTAATGATATTATTTGTCTTTTCTTTACAAGTAATTTAGGAAATTGTATAGGTAATGAATTATTTTTAATTTATACTTGATATTATTTAATTATATGACTTGCTAAGTATAAGAAATGTTTTTCTTTGTTTTACCTTTATTAAGTAGCTTACTGCTATCGTAAAATTGTATACAAACTAAAAGAAATTTAATTTATATGTATATATATTGTTTCACAATTTAAAATATAATAATACATAATTTATATTTTGATTTGTTAAACAAAAAAGTTTTGAAAGGATACTGTATGTAGCGAACTAAAGTGTATGATTGCTCTTTGTTAAGAGTATAATAATCAAATGGGATCGGAAATTATTTTACTAATATTTTTTGAAGAATATCCCTGTTATTAATCATTAAATAAATGTCAATAGTAATTTGCTTTTGCGTACCCCTAAAAATATAAACCATGTAGTTGTATAAGTAAAAAGACTAACATAACATTAATAATCCGAAAGGTCAGGTTTTTAAAATTTATTATCTCTAAAAGTTATTTACATAAAAAAATTTTAAATTTGTATACTCTGGTCAGAATAAAAACGGAAGTGCAACGACCGAAAATGGTTGGTTGTCTGCTCATTGGTTATTGAAAAATTCTGCATGACAATAACACAAACAATGGATAGGTTATGGGGTGCCGACTTGTATGTTCTTATTCTGGCTATTTATTATAAAATTAAAAATATTAGATGAAAGTTTGTTGTCTGCTATTATCACTTTAAATGTTAGGTAATAGATAGGTTTAAAAAAAATCTATTACTTATATATAGTTATTCGATCAATTTTTTTTTGGCAATAATAGTGCTCGATAAAGCCTATTGCCCAAGCTCGGTAAATTGTAGGTAATAGACATTTTTAGTACTATATTAAATTGCAAGACGTGCGGTATAGAATTAAACAATCATAGGCGTGTTTGTGGTGTTAGCCTTGGTATATACACCTTCAATAATCTTAATATTCCATAGCTATACATCAAGTATTTTGAACTTAAATTTGTTGCTAAAGTACCAAAAGCCATGTTAATAACAATATTAAAAATTAAATGTAAGTACAACTAATTTGTGTTGATTAAAGTCCAAAGTTGTAAACTATTTAAAACATTAACCCGTTATTGCAAAAATAAAACTCATCATTTTTCTGATTTTGAGAAAAATCCAAAATAATTTTTTCTTGTAGTTTCTGCTCTAAATAAAGTTTTTTTAAATATACTTTAATGGTAAATTATGTAAATACTTGACAAGAATCTACTCTACAGACTACACGTTTTCCGAGACACCACAGTGTACTGTGTTGTTTCTGAAATAACGGGCTTATTTTGTTTTTTAAAACAAATTCTACGTTATCTTAGAAGTGAGACAACTTCTAAATTTAGAGAATTTATTCCACTGCAGAAATTGCTGCTACAAAATTTTTTTTTTTTTAGAAGCATTAGAGAAAATTCGAAGATTTGGATATGGATTTTACGAGAATATATTTTTTTTGTTTTTAATACAAAATCGTGTTGTACACTATTATTTATAGGTAAATATGGGAGTCTTTCAGTTGCCAAGTTATGTCCCATATTCTATTGAGCTCTGAGCTCCGCATCGAAGCTAAAACCCTTACTACAGACTTAAACATCCATTTTTTCTTCAATTACCAAACTTGGCCAACGGACCAGGAGAAGGAGACTCCTTAAAAACCCAGCCACGAGAAGGACACTCTTAACCAACCGGTTAGGTTTCCTGGCCAAACCATCATTTCTAACATCTTCTGGCCTGGTTACATGCAACTCAACTTAACCTAATCTCAAAACGGCCCCTTTCAGGGTAACCAGACAAAGTAGCTCCAACATTGATACCAAATATCTTAATGTTATAGTACTCGTAGGTAACACATGGACGTTTTATTTTTTAATTATTCTACAATGAAGACAGCAGTTGGAGATTTTTTAACTTTTTATAAAATGAAGTAAATGACATTTTTACCTCAACCGCTAAGTCCTCTATTCTTGTATCCAGCTTTCCTAACTTGAACCTTAACATATACAAAAATCGGTTTTGTATCTTTGCCTTGCCCAATTTGATAAGGAAACCATATCACATATGACCGATCCATATTCAAAAGTTGACCTAACGAGGGAACAATATAACATTTTTAAGCACTACTAGGATCATTAAACTAAAACAATTTTTTTTTAAAAATCCAAACATTCTAAAAGCTTTATTTTTTATGTAAGAAATATGTTCTTTAAATGACAGGTCACTTGACAAAATATCACCTAACTCTTATACATAAGAAACAATACTTAACACAATACCATCAATATTGTAATTCAAAACTGGTGTTCTTTTACTCCTACAAAAGGTAATTCGGGAGCATTTATGGCCATTAATACAAATTGCTACTACACCAAGCTTGAAATCTATCTAAATCACCTTAAAATTTCATACAATCATTACCTTAGTCATCAGCAAATAAAAGGTAAAGGTACTTACAATAATAAAAAACATTACCTTAATCGTTAACAAAAATATTAAACTATATTGGAGATAAATTACCACCCTATAGGGTTCTCCGGAGGTAACTTTAATTCACTTAGATACATAATTATTAATTTTTACAAACTGTTCCACTCACACCTTACTGTTCAATTTTAAAATAACTAACTGTGATTTACACTGTTGAAAGCTTTCCTTAAATCTGTATAAATAGCATCAATTCTACCATTATTACTTATAACAAAGACTAAGTCTGAGTAAAAAACTAATAAATTAGTAATAGTTAATTTTTTTTTTAAAACCCATGTTGGCATGACGTAAGTGTATCATTTAAAAAAACTGTAATTATTGTTTCTTTTGTTCAAACTATTTCCAAAATTGTGATTTAAACTCTTTCTATATTTTTATTTTTTTAGCTCTAGCGTAATTGTAGGACTTGGGCGCGAAAGTTACACTGAAATAGTTAAGAGCATAGTTATTATTATTATATCTGTAGTTGCTTGTCAATATTTTTTTTTTATTAAAGAACTATCAAAGACTAACCACCCTAATACTAATAATGCTACTTTAAGCTCATTTTTGTCTTTACATTGGCTTTAGAAGGTTCACAATTAAAGAATTATGAATAGTATACTTTATTGAAAATGCTTATTTTAAATGTAACAAAATATATTTTTAAATGATAATACATGACATAGAAATTACAAGTTGGCGCCCCGGTAGAAAAATGACAGCTGCAATAATCTAAATTTTGCAAGAGATCCAAAAAACCAAATTATTTTCACTAAAATGTTAATGATTTATGAATGCACACTTAATTATGAAATTGAGGCTTGGGAAATTATTACAAGAAAGTTCACTAATAGGTCTACATTTTTCTGTACGCTATATCTAAACACATTGAAGCATTTAGTCCATTTTACCAAATTTTGTAATTGTTTCATTGTTCTACCGGGGTGGCGATGTAATAATACAGATTTATGAATTTTGAACTTCGTTCGTGTCAAATTAAACAAATGCGTTTGTGATTTATGGCATCGATGTATACTGAACTAAAAAACTTATATGGTTACACTCTGTTTAATTATGCTACTTAATGTATTCTTCGAACCACTATAATTTTATTAGATTTAAATATAAAATTAATTATACGTTTTTCGTTACTAATAGCTTGTAAATGATTCGAATTAATTTTATTATATAATATTATTACTCATTAGTGAATATAATATCTCCGCCAAATAAAAAACTCTAGGAGAATAGAAATTACTAGTACCTTGGTATATAGTTTATGATATAACCCTGGCGGTAACATAGTGTTTCGCCGGTATGCGCCGCTGCTGCTGCGGATATTCCAGCGGCCATTTTTTTTGTTTACGAGACGCTATCTCGTTCATGTCTGTAGCGTCTTCACATCCTCTTAAGTTGCTGTTCTCGTTCCTATTTTTAGACCCGTTCATTTTTTTATTAAATAAAATTTTATATTGTTATTTAGTTTTGTTTTCATCGTCATATTATACTTGGACGTTAGTTTAAAATTATCGTAAAACGTTCAGCTAAAACAGAATGGCCGACAACCAACAACAGCAGCAAAACGGCTCGCAACAATTTGAAAACGCAGAAGGACAGCAGATACAACACATAAATGGTTCCGCCGATAGTTCCAACTCAAATAACGATTCAGGACAATTTGAATGCGTCAGGGATGATGACAGGTTAGTTTTAAGAGTCGTGTGAAAACGAAAAAAAACATTATTTTGTTTATTATTATTATTTATCGTGTTGAGTATACCGTTTTGGGCATGCGACATATCGACTTCGCGGCTCTCGGTTGCAGTTTTTCAAAAATATTTCTATACGTTTTATTGATATTAGTTGTCCTACTTCTAAGTATTTGTATCAAACCCGCCAATGTTTGTTACTAATGCGTTATATTATTTATATTTCATTTAATTATTATAATTTTATGTAAAGTTGTCACACAAATAATATTAGGTTAGGATTTTGTACATCAATTTGGTGTAACTGTATAATGTGTTATTTCATATTTGTTTTATTCTTAAGTGATTTGTTAAAATAATTTTAATTAGAAATATTAACTTCTAATTTAACCCTAACTCTTTTGTATTAAAAATGAATTATAGACATTTGTGGTATTATGAAATTATTAATGTGTTTACTGCCATATTGTTTCAGAAAAATTTTTGTTGGAGGTTTAAAAGGAGAGACCACAGAAAGTAAGCGTAAATATAATTCATTAATTAATCTCAAATGTCTAACCAAGTTTAATGTGCATTGTAGAAGATTTAAGCGAACACTTTGGCCAATTCGGTGAAATCGAAAATATAAATGTTAAAGTAGATGCTGCTACTGGCCGAGCAAGAGGGTTTGCTTTTATTGTATACAAGACTATGGAGGGCCTAGAAAATGTAAGTGTATTGTAATTTTCTAACTTTTTTACCACTAATTAATTTAAAATAAAAAGTTATGGTTTATTGAAATTAGTTAGCATTTATTAATAGAACATAAATATACATTTCAATAACAATAATTATTTCCTTTTTAACAAAAGATAAAATTGTTCTTAACATCCAAAAATATTAACACATGCTTGAGTATTTGGTACCCTTGATCATTCTTAATCAGAACATTTTATATGCTATGTTATGTATGTATCTTATCTATGCTCTGTTTAGATAGAAATTATACATAATGATGATAAATTAATTAAGAATCATGAATAACGTTATCGGGTTATCATAATTAAAACATTGAAAACTAATGACATAGCTTTTTTAGTTCCTAACGTTTTGTTTATTATCATCCAATTGTTATTATACATGAAACTACAAAACTTATTAGATAATAATTTAAGCCAAATAAAATTCAAAATGTAATTAATTATCATGTCCCGCCCATTTTAATTTGGTGATCAGAATGGTATTGAGGTTTTACTGTAGCAGCTGAAGTACTGTTATCTTAAAAGTATATTTTCAGTTATCTTGTTATTAAATATCTTGACTATGAGGAGAAAAAAACTTGCTTTGTTATAATTATTTGTATATTACAAGATAACATTTATTACCCATTATGAACTTTTATTTTTGGATATAATAGAAAATTTTTTATTATGCTAATAATATTTTGTACATTTATAATTATAGTAAATAATACTTCTTTTGTTTCTATTTTACATAGGCCTTAGCGTGTACTAATCATGTGATTAATGACAAAAAAATTGACCCTAAAAAAGCGAAGGCAAGGCATGTTAAATTATTTGTCGGAGGACTGTCTCCTGATTTGACAGATGATGACATTAAAGATTATTTCAAACGTTATGCGCCATTAGTAAATGCTGAAATGCCATACGACAAAGTTAAAAACCAACGGAAAGGTTTCTGTTTTGTTACTTTTGATTGCATGCAAGCGGTAACTGAAATATTAAAGACTCCAAAACATGTCATTAATGGAAAACAAGTAAATATGATGTTGTGTTTAGTTTACTTAAAATCATTATTTTAATAATGTAATATGATTATTAAAGGTTGACGTTAAAAAAGCAGCATTAAAAGTTGAACCCTTTGGTATGATTCCCGGCGGTTCCGGACCTATGAGAGGAATGAGAGGGAATGTCAGAGGTCGAGGCGGTAGGGGAGGTAACTATCTTTATTTTATAACGGGTATATTCACTTGTTAACTAAATTTTAATATATCTTAGGATTTTTACCTCAATCAGGTTACGCTCCTGGTGCTCCTGGATACGGCTTTGGAGGTAAAAAATAGGCCTACAAATTTAAATGTTTAAAAAAAAAATCAAAATTATTAATCTTGTTTCAGGATATGATTATTACAATCAATATACTGGTTATAGTCCCGAGTACAGTTACAGCTATGGTTATCCTAGTTATGGTGCTGGTGCTGGAGCAGGTAGTTTTATTTCCAATAATAACTTGTTAAGCAAAACATGGAGTACTTATTTTAACATGACAAATAATTAATTCTAGATTATCAATTTGGCGGTTATGAACCACCTGCACCACGCAGTGTTCATGGAAATCGCGGAGGAAAAGGTAAACCATAACCTTTGTTTTGATTGCATTCCCAAAATCATTGAACATAGTGTAAAATAAAAGTATTATTTTTTTCTTTTTGAATTAATAATTTTATTTTGACATTCAATTTTTGTTAGTTGTATATTATGGAGAATTATAATTGATAATTTATCCACTCCCTGTAATTATTTATTTCACTATATTATTATTAATTATATCTTAGTTGTTAATCATACATTATTCATTTTATTATTATTAATGTTTATATTCGTGAAAACCCAACTAAAATAATTATTACTGGGAGTGGACTACTCGTGAAGCAATGATGATAATGATCTATTTTTGATTTGAGATATTTTGAGCGTAAATGTGAACAATCGCTTAACATTGTGAATGTTATGACACGGTTAATAAATATTTAAAATATGTAAATCTCTTAATCGGGGACGGACTGGATAGGCTTCAGCCCAGTGGACAATTTTAACGGTATTTAGCTAAAAGCAACTATCCCTAAATTGTTTGCCTTATTTTTTTTATTTTTAAAAATACAAAAACCATTTAGTTAAAAAAAAAAAAGATAGATTGTGCAGCTCTGCAAAACTACTTGGTTATCTTATACAAGATATGGTAAAACTAATTTTCTGGAAAATTTGTTTTTTGTATCTGGGGTTGGGTGTAAAACCACTATATGTATTCTTATCAATAAAAGAACTGCTTGGAATTCTTCTCATGTATGTGTGTCTGTTCGAAAGTAGCGTCTAGAATTTGCACAGTTGATGTTGTGGGATGAACTCAATTTTACGTTTTGAGGAATGATTGCTTTTGCTTAACGCTGTTTAATTAAAAGAACATTAGAATTGGCTTACTACACACGAATTTAGTTTACCAGCATTGATTATAACAGGTACAGTGCCACAGCAGACACTGGTGTTGGATTTAGTTTCTTCCTTCTAGGCCATGGTGGACACCAATGTACGCCTGGAACCTGATAAGTAATATGATCCCAAACCTAACTAGATAGTAATGTAAAATGATAAGTATAAGTTAAAAAAATATTTTGGTTCAGAGAGAAGTTTTAGTGAAATATCTTTGGTAAATACTATAATATTTACCATCAATAGTATTGACTAAGTAACAAAAGAACAGTAAAACGAGAGAGGATTAGTTGAATTTGCCCACTTCAGACAGTCCGCCCCTGACTCATGACATGCTTAACAATGTTTACTACATTCCTCCAAAGTTTTATCTATATGACGCTTAAAATTAATTTATTTATAATATAAAAAAACACGACTAAGAAATTAACTTTCGTAATATGTATGTAGAGCATAAATAAAATCCCCTAATTAAAGTTTGTTATAAGGGGGGAAATAATTATTGGCTGATAAAATATTACATGCATTGTATTTAACATAACTAAAAACATGGTTATTGGATTTCACCAGATTTTCCTCAAAGAAAGCCAGTCAAGACTTCAGCTTAAACACCTTTGCTGAGCCATTTACAGTCGTCGTAAGCTATACTGTTTCATGAGGGCAGTATTGTTGATTTCGTTTGCTTATGTACAATTATATATAAATAAAAAGTTGAATAAAAAAAATTATAAAATTGGATCCTTTGGCCAAAGTGTATAGAATACTTGGACAAATGTCTATCAGGGTCTAATATATTACAATATGTATGTATTGTATGTACATAAAAGAATGCCTACAATTTTTGATGTTTATCTCAATTTTTTTTTTGTGTAATTTTTTAATTTATTTATATTTTGTACTTTTTTTAATACAAAATAAGTCCATAGAATTATGTTTTTGATAGGGTGTGCACACGTTTTTCCTTCCTTATACTTTTTTTGGACAGCTATACATTTAATATGTATTTGCTGTGCATTCGAAGAAGGTTGATCTAACATAAGATTATTTATGATGTTTCAATTTTTGTCAGAATTAAATTTACTAATATTCTTGGAAAACAAAATTAAAATTGTGTAATTTTTTTTAATTTAATAATTTAATGGTTTTAAATATTCAAAAGTATTGCAGTCATTAGACATTCAACAATAAAACTTATACGCTAATATGACATTTTTGCGTTCAATGTTTTAAAGCCCTATTCTTGATTATTTAAAGTGTTATGTTGTCATCTGCTACACTTGTTCCATAAAAATAAATGTATTCCTAACAAGTAGAAGTAAATTGGGAATTTAAACTTAAATGACAGTTTAAAACAAAATTGTATGATTAACATTTATTAACGTATGATAATTCTGGGTTAATTTACATGATACTAAGGTTTACTAATGGATTGTGTTTAATTAATATAAAAACAATATGCTAGCTACTATTTAAACTATAAGCAGCTGGTTAGCATACATTTACAATTTTTAAGAAAAGTAATTATGCAAAAGTGCCTTTGATGTAACATTTTAAAAGTTATTATATTTATACCAATTTTTAAAATTCAAACTATAGTATAATATTCTAAAACTAATGTTTTGTCCTATTTTTAATTAAAAATAGTTTAGCTTAACCTTAATTGATATCTCTTATATCTAATTCTGTCTAATCTCTAATTCTTATATTTAATTCTGTCTTATAACTAGTTACACCATTATATACTAGGTAGTGGGAGAGTTTTTGTATTATGGATATTCACTTCGGACGGACGTCTTTGATAATTATTCAGGCGTCCAATAACATGTTATGTTAAATAAAGCCTAAAGGTCTACTATTATTTGGTTATTACGAAAACCTCTAAAGCTTATTTCAAAGTAGTGAAAAAATTAACATGAAATTAAATTATCCCCTATACATTTATAAATGTTTTTCATCGTTATAAATTGTGTAGTCGAGGAGTTCTATTGGTATTTCTGAACCTTTCAGTTATACTTTGATTAAATTCAGTGTCCACTTTGGACAACACAAAATTAGGTGTTTAGTCTTGAATTACTTTTGACTAGACAGTGGTAATGATGTAGGTATTAATATGAGAAAACAAAAAGACAAGCCGCAAGAGCATACTTTTAAGTGAGCTGTGGGCGCAACGTCAATCCCCATATTTTGTTTTACCTTTAGCGGAACGTCTGTTCATTAGAATCGCTTCATATACCATAGTGCAACTATAAAATTTAAAACAAATTACATCTTAGTACTACTTGATGTGTTAGCTGATATTTTTTTTTACAATGATTTTTTTAAGTTGTGATGAAGTGAAGTAAGAAGTTATGATAACTTTTTTCCTGTGAATCGATTTACTTGAGTAACAATTATATCGATCCGTAATCGTATGTGATTGGTACTTTAGTAGGTTAGAAGTAGAAAAGTTTACCTCATCCCCTTCAAAATCGAGAAAACGCCCAAAAATGTACACATTTTTTATAACTTAAAATTACAGCGTTCCATAACTTTTTTCGGGAGTAAAGTCTGAAAATTATACTGAAGGTAGATCTAAAATGAGGCTATAGCATTTACAATTTTATAAAGAATCTGTAGTCAAAACTTTTTTTTTATTAAGAAAAAACAAAAAAAAGGGGAAATTTACACGGTGATCGTAGTCAGTTTTTAGGTTGCTATGTGTGGTTTTAGGTTCGACAAGTATTGAAAATATTTTCATTGTATTGTTAATTACAATGTATGGGTAACAACGACAATAAATTATTATAGACAGACGGTCAACCTCAGTGGCGTACATTCAACGTTCTCGGAGGAGGGGGGGGGGTGGTGGTGTAGTATAGTTATTAAAGAAAAATGTATATTAGCAAATATGCAATTGAATGTTGGCCAAACAATCAAAACCATACTAAACAAAATTGGCAGAATTACCTTAAAAGAGATGGGAGAAAAAGTAACATTTTTAAAATTAAGTAAAAAGAAAGGCAACTTAAAAATAATTAAACACACACAAAATTATAATATCTATAAAATACGCGACAAGACCCTCTTCGTAACAGAACGGACGCTTACGGGAGAGTGCAACCAACATAATAGTTTATGCGGCTTTAAATAAGAAGCATGATTGAAATTTTTACTGTGTAGACAATTTTGATTGTTTGTCCAATATTTAATAGCTTATTCGCCAATATAAATTTGTATTTAAGAACTATACTAAAGGGGGGGGGGGAGGTTGTAAAAAAATAATACTGCCTAACCAGATGCTTCAAGATGATAATCAACTTTTTAACAACCAAAAAATAATTATCAATTAAGTGATTTGTTGGAATATTTTTCCGACCAAAAAAACTCGATAGTTCAATTTCAAGAAATAACGAAATTTCTGGACTTAGTTCCGAAGATATTTTAATTCTTGCTTAGGTGGCCGCGATTCCCCCACCTTCCCCTAATTTAAAAATAAAAAAATTGCATTTTATAATTTTATCTTTAATAAAATTTTAAATTCCAAATAGAACACTTTAAAAAAATAATTTTACTTATACATTTTGTGTTTATTTTAACTATTTTAAACAGGGAGTAAAAAAGTTTTTCAAAAAACGTTTCTTTACTACATTTTCTTTGCACGAATGAAATTTCGGAAATTTCTTTACACGTTTTTACTCCCTGATTTTAAATGCAATTTTGCATTTGAGATGCATTTTGGTAACTAATTTGTTCAACTCTGATAATATATTGATTAATCAAAATTAATAATCACAATAGTTGTTATTGTGATTTGTGTTATCAGTTATGTGTACCCCCTCTACTTTTTTAAAAACATGCTTTTCTAAAAAAATGAACTAAAAAGTAAAAAATAATTTTACTACAAGAACAATTTACCAATAAATTGTAGCAAATTATATTTAAATTGTCAATTACTTTGAAAACAACCGAAAATTAACTACAATTTTAAATAATGGTTAACATCTTTAATTTTTGACTAAAGAGAAAAGCGGGGGTCCTATTCAATAAAGTCCAAATTCATTGAGTTAAGTATTATGAAATGTATGTACATTATTTAAAATTGTAGTTAATTTTCGGTTGTTTTCAATGTAATTGACATTTTAAAATTTTAAATTAAACGTGCTACAATTGATTGGTAAAATTGTTCTTGTGGTGAATTATTTTTTACTTTTTAGTACTATTTTTTATTTGTTCTTAGCCTTGTTTTTAACCTATATAACATTATAGATATAATACAAATTTGCATATTTAAATTATTTATTATAATTAAGGATATAGGATAAGACTGATATAAAACAATTAATAATTATTTATATAAAAGGAGAACTTGAATATCAGAATTGGAGTAAAAAAGGATTTGAGAAAACAGCTAAATTATTAATGAATTTAATACTAATTATCCAAGCTCAACTTTAAACATAGCATACACTAGACAGTAAGACAAATTTATGAAATTGAAGATGGGGGCATCAACTAGACTTTTTTTTGGGACAATCGGGGCTTATTATAAGAATTTTTTTCAACTGCGCATTTTATGGAATCGAACCTGTATGAATCTAACCTAAACCTGGCTTAATAAGGGTGTTTGCACTAACATTTTTACTTCTAAATAAAGCTTAGTTTATGTTTCACTTTAATCTAATTCAGCCTACTAATATAAATAACAAGGGTTTAAAAATGTCTTTAGCTTCGATGCACTAGCTGAGAAGGTATTATATTTACAATGATGTGTTTTTATTATTTTTTTAAATATTTAAATATTTTTGTTTCTGTATCAACGATATCTTATAAGCCACTGAAACGATGTTTTCGTGTAGCAGCTCTTGCCTCTTAAGATCAGAAATTGTACCTATAAGGTACTTTAATAGACTAAATTTTTAAAAAATTCATCCCTTCCCCTTTAAAATCGAGACCAAAATTCGAAAAATTGTACACCCTTTCTCCTAGAAGGTGTGGAATTTTTTTCTTTCGCTTTTTCATGCTAAGTCATAGAGGCTTATGTATGAAAATTAGACCAAAGGTAGATTTAGAATGGGGCTATAACATATATAATTTCCTCAAAAATCTGTAGTCAAACAGTTTTTTTTATTAAGGAAAAACCAAAAACCAGGGGAAAATTACACTTTGACTGTAGTCAGTTTTTAGGTTGCTATGTGTGGTTTTAGGTTTATACATACTACCCACAGATTCGCATCGAATCGTTTATTTAAAAGTGATTTAATCACATTCAATTATAATAATTTCTGTAGACCTGTGACCTCTCCATCCCCACTATGCCCCGACCTCTTTGCACTAGCTTTTTTTATTAGAGTTTTACTCTTTTCTTGATTAAAATAATATTTTGTTGTAATTAACGGGTATAAATAGCATAATGGTATTTGTATTTTAAAATTGTTTTCTTTTATTTGAAGTTTTACCATTTTCTTGTTCTGAATTTATTTTTGACCCTTCCTCAAATAAACCACGATATCATGCTTGTTTCTTAGCTTTTTTCCATATCTGTGGAAAAGAACTGCTCGTCTTGGATCCCAATTTTGTAGAGGGGGCATGTTAAAATTTGTTTTTATTGTTTGTCAACAATAGTTATATTAATTAAGCAGTATTTTGTATACATAGGTTAGTTATTAGTCCAAAAAATATAGAAAAGGCAGAACGCTCTTAAAACGTGTGTGCGCGACGGAATAACGACGCTAGCGTACAATTAAAGCTGTTATTTTGTATTTGGTTGTATTTTTACCTTTAAATAACTGTTTAGATAAAAATTAATAATTCATAGTAGAATATTTAGACCGAGGTCAACATGTAAACCAGGTAGATAATATTACAATTAATATAAACGTGCAACGGTCAGTGGTCACACCACGTGTTTGGCCAACAAAGGCACAACTGCCGAATTAATTAACAACTCACAAGCAGCTTTTACACAAAGTGCAGTTTGGCTTTTGTGTTTTAAACACGCGATAGTAAAAATGTATAACATCCCCTACTTAACAATAAAATAGAATGGCAATGGACATGATTTTATTATATTCGTTGAGAGATATTTAGGGGTGGTGCGGGCCGGGGAGTCACAACAAGGCGACCTTGCGGGTTCAAGGTCAATACACGAGCGCGTGCGCGATACAACAATCAACACACAAAGGTCAACGTTGCATATGTCTGCGGTCTGGGCCAGACTAGACGCATTGGCATTAACGGCGGTGGCGACTAGCTTTAACTAACTTTTATGAATAATTCCTACGCCATCGTTGCAATGGCTATCACAACCCTACAGCCGCTAATGAAGCCAACAAACCGCTTGTCTTATTGAAAAAAAATCATCATATTAATATTATTGGTACGATCGTTTTCAAGTAAATTGTGTTTGCACATATAGATGGCGTTGCGTTGCATGGTATTTTCTGTTCTGTAATATTCGGCGGCGGCGGATAGAGAATGGTCGACGGCGGCGGCGCCTCGTATGCCCTCACTGCTGTCAAACCCAGACGACCTTCATCTTCATTCCCGTTCTCCCTAGCCCGTGGCCGTCGGATTCGTATTACTCATACCCGCTGCGTCCGTTCGACACACCGTACGCTGCCGTCGTTGTAGTCGCGAGTCCGTGCTGTCGTTGCGTTTTTTATACACACATACACCGTTTTGTAACGTATGATACGATAAATGTGTATTTTATAATATTTAATTTATGCAATGTGTATTTATTTATTTCAAAACATTTATAAATTGTAAATGAGATAATATTTTGTTTTAACGAACTTTACCTAATTGGGTGTAAGCTCTAGCGTGTTTATCAAAATAATTCTTATCGTGGTTTAAAATAGTGCGCGAGTGGTTGATACGCGACTCTTTCTATTGCTGTTGTTTAGACGTACTGTCGTTGTGCTGCCTATCAACACCTTACAATGGAATATTACGGACACGAATCACGGGTAAATAATAACAACAGGAATGTATTATCAATATGTTGTTATATTATACAAACTATTTCAATACTATTTTGATTAATATTAATAATAATACAATATATTATAAATACTATGCGTAGGCGTACGCCTACCGACTTTATTGTTCAGCGTTTAGGCTATGACGGTATTTTTTTTTTTGCGGACACATTATCATTATTTGATGATTTTTTTATATTATTATTACTATATATATATTCGCGTGCGTGCGTACATATTAGACGGAATGGACACATATACACGAGTTGTGTAGGGGCACCGTGCGGGGTTAGAGGGGGGCCCATAACGGACGTGGCCAACAGAGATGCCGGTTGACGGCCTCTAGCTGCGGATGTTTTGTAACGGTATCGTGCCATTCTTTGTGAACTCTCGTCGTACCCCTGCCGCCGCCACCGCCGCCACCGCAATTCAACCGGCCTCTTCCCCGTCACCCTATGCTAGATTTCAGACCGTTGACCTTGAACGCGCGGACGCCGTTCACGCACCGTCCTTATAAGGGCCACGTAACGTTATTTCATATTGTATACACAACGACGCGAGACGGCGCACCGTCGTCAAAATTGAATTCTGTTTCGTTAACCATTGTGGCCTGGCTCAGGCTGTAAATGTTTAGTACTTTTGTCTTCACGTTTAAATTTTACGAGTGTTAATAAACATTGTATATTGTATAGTATCATATAGTGTGATTGTGCATTCGGACGGTGATAAACAGGACAATAATAATATGTCTTGGTGTAATATGGTAGTACGACGGTGAAGTCAATGGCCTACAAGCGCCGCCCCACGGTCTCGGTCATCCTTTCCTAGGCCACGTCGATCTACGGTCAAGGTCACAATTTTGCGGCTGATAAACGATATTATTCTTGGTTTTCTATTATTATTTTTCTTATCTGATATAATAATAATAATATTATTATTATTATTAACGCCGACAACCGGCTGTCGATTACCGCGAGACGAACCTGTCCGCATTGTCCTACTTGTTTAACGGTGTGAAAAAAAAAATAGATAAATTGCGTTGATGGTTTTTTGATTCTAAGATTTTTACATAGATTTACATGATTATAACCCATTTAGTGAACAAAAGACGACGAAGACATGGGTTTCTTACATTAATAACGTGTTACCGCGGTCCGCGCGTTAAATAACAATCAACATTTTGGTAGATGTAGTCGGTATTAATAGACGAAGCAGGTTGATGGTTGGACGTACATCGATATAATATAGTCGGTTTCTGCGTTTTCACAGAGAAAGGCAGCTGTTCTAAAATGTTATATATTAAAATAGAAATAATGACGCTGAGAATAAAATGTAAACTATAGTACGCCGGCAATTTCAATCAAAACATTGAGATTGAATGAAACGTACTACGTTGACGCCTGACGAATATTATTGGCCCGTGGAGAAAATTTAACCGATTTAAAATATAATGTAGTCCCTAGTGATAACATTCGGTAATGACGACACTAACTGGCACTATGTTTGTATCGAGATGATCAATTGGTAGTAATATTGATTATATTTATCGGTCACATGTTTCTAAAATTAGACGAGACCATTTTATTAGACTACGGCGTATATATAAAAACATCTATAATGTGAAATAAACAGCTCTGATGTAATCGAAATGTTAAGTTAAATGGCTTGTTGGCCATAATCATAGACGTTATGAGGACACTTAATTTTAAAGCCAGAAGGGATAGCTAAATTTTTTATAAAAAAAGGCCTTAAGTTAAAGTAAACAGGATTGACTCGAGGAAGACTTCGCTTTTATACATTATACAAAATGTACTTATTTTATTATATTATTTTTATGATGCACGTTAAATACATTTGTTTTAAATTAAAATAAACAATTTTTTTTAACACTGGAAAATGTAATTTATGTTAAAATATGTATAAAATGTATAAATCCCGTTCATAATAATTATAAACATATATTTTCAAGAATAATATGTTAAATAATAATAATTCATAAATTACTCTAGATATTGTTATTTCTATTATTATAAGTCGGAGGAAAAATGTAAAACAATTATTGTTGTTTTAAACAACCCCAGCGCCGAAATTTTAATTGGCGGTAAAGCTATAGTCCAGCTCACGAAAACTGAACGTTCAAGGCCGATGGGCGGCGGCCAAATATTGTCGATGCCAGTGGTTCTCCGTTTGTACGTATTATTGTTGTTGTCAGCTGTTGGATAGAGTCAGCTGTTATGATAAAATATACATACTAAACATATTTTTATTGATTGCCATATTCTTAACACGTAACGTAGTACGCGAGACAAAATAATAAAATATGTACATTTAAACATTTCAAAAAGCCCGCCAATTATTTTGATACCCACTAATGGAAATTTGCCACTGGTAGCGCTGATGTCAACGTTGACGTTCAGTTTTCGTGACCGAACTATAACTGTGTATGCATATTATAAATAAACCGTCTTTAATTGTTATCTTGAAATACATACCGACATTATATCACACCAATTACAATTTGCAGTAGCCAATAATTACTTCGTACTAGAATATCCAATACTTTGATAAGTTAAAAATAAATCTCTCGGTGATTTTTTGGAGTAGGCGTATTCAAATCTATAAATATCAAGATGTATTGAAGTACTAAATAGCAAAATGCCAAAATATTATTTTCCGTTTGGAACAAAAAAATAAAACTCAGGTTCTTACCTAGGTAGAACTGTTTCGAACTTCAAATAACTTGTTTTTCGAAAATCAATTGTGAGTTTCTTCTAATTTCTTAAAACTTTGAAAATCATGTGTTTATGGGCAAACAATAGACTAATAAATCAATATACCTCAACCTAACTTCCTCGCAGAAGCCACCCGCTACGGATGCCTGTCAGGTAGTAAGGTCACGTACAAAACCTCAGCGGGCCTCTGGTTACATTTAAAAATATAACATATACCTACGACATGGTAAACAATGCCTTGTGTGTTGGATTGCGAAAATTATTTAAATTCAATATTATTACATTGGTAAACTAACAAGACCGCCGATACAGTGTGATTGTCTCGCTTTTATGCTCTTCTAACTGAATAACATTCAGTACTCTCTCTAAAAATCACAAAAAATCTTTTTAAATCGGTAATCACTGAAAGAAACAAATGATATAATTTTAGAATATTACTGCTATTTGTCGTGTTCATTGCTCGCTAGTTTGACTTTATTAATTAAATATTGAAATTAGATTACCACCATTGTCGTTTACTTCAAAAATTAAATGAGTTAGACATTTTAAGAAACATAGCTTACATAGGTATATAACAATCAAGAGGAACTAAAGTTTTGACAATTTTATTTTACGATTTACTCAGGGGTTTGTCAGTTGTGTTTGTGATCGAGGATATTTATTTATTTATATTATTTACGGGCTGAGCCCTATATTTACAATAGGTATATACAATAATTAATTATAGTAAAAAATATTATAGGTAGAACAAATAACAAAAAGGTAAGAAAAAATGAACATAAATATTAATAAAGAAAAGTGGGGTCCGCGTTGGCGATGAACATTAATCGTCTAATTGGTTCGTTTTTCATAAAATTACTCTTAAATTGGGGAATATGGAAGGGTGCTAAAGAACGGGATGAGTATTGCGGAATAAAAGACAGGATATCAGGAGAGTCTATATTGTTAGATAGCAGATCATTAAACAATTTTTTACCTAACATCCTTCTACGATCAGCTAAGGAAACTAAATTATGTTGATTCGCAACCGGAGCGTAGTCATGTGGAAGACATGGAATGTCCAAAATGAAACTTGCATACGTCAGGAATTTACGCTGGACTCTCTCGAGTTGTAGTGAACCATTGGCAGTATGTGGGTCCCAAATTATTGAGCCGTATTTTAGAATGGGCCGCACTAGTGCACAAAAAAATATCTTTATCGAACTTTTTAAGGTAAAATCCCTGACTAGTCTCATAATAAATCCTAGTACTTTGGACGCTTTACAACAAATCATATGTGATCATATATCGATGTGAATGCTGGGATCTAAAGAACTGCAGAGCTTAAAGCCAAGATCAATGACACAGCCATCAACACGCAGAAGTTCAGAATCCAAGAAACGATAGGAGTATATTATTGGGGATAGAATCCTATTGAAAGTCATAATTTTACACTTAGAAATATTTAGAGATAGACCTAAAGTATTAAAGAAGAAAACAAAATTATTTAGATCGTTTTGAAGCTTATGACAGTCGTCATAATATTATGAGATTCATAGGGATATAACTATAGAAAGTATTTTTTTTAAATGTATTGATATCTTAAAGCATATAAGTGCTACGTCCACGTTATATTGTATGGACACACTTGTGTGCTTTAAGGTATCGATAATATACACTATTATTACAATTTTAATGTAAAATCAAATTAACTATTGTGAACTGTCTGCTTAAAACGTCAATTTATTTATTTCAGAAGTTCTAACTGTTGAATATTATGTATTTTGAAGCATTTAGAATAAATATATATTAAAATAAACTGATTTTCTTAATTTAATAATTATTATAATGTGCATTAAATTAAAAATTTTAATTTATACAGATTTAAAATACTAGCGAAATGTTTTTTTCATATTACTAAAAATATCTTTTACTAATTTACAAATGTTACATAATTTGTTTTCGTATTTTATTATACTTATGTAAATTTTGTCTACAACATAATTCAATTTCTTACGTTTTTAACTTAAATATGTATGTATCTGTTTTGTAAATTTATTTATTAATATTCACGGACTCAAAGCCCTAAGGCAGCGTACAAAATATTTAGAACAAAACAAAAAATGTTTAGAAACAGAATGCGATGAAATCAAAATTGCATTATTTAAAAAATATGTATGCTGTTATAATTAAAACCGATTATACTATAGTTGTAGAAATCTTGCTAATATTTGTAGATAAAAAGTAGTCAAATCTACTCAGTCAGTGTATGTCTCAGTAAATAGTTAATAAATTTGCACTATCTTGGCCTAACGTATGGTAATGATCTTCCGACTTGCAGCAAGTTTTTAAAAAACGTTTCTTAAAATATAGTTTTTTGCGAACGATACAAGATATCTGAAATTGCACAGTTTAATATGTAGTTGACTGAACTCAACATGTATTAAAAAGTCGGCTTTCTTTCTTGATAATTGTAAAAGTCATGACTGTTTTTGCTGTTATCAGTCGCTTCATTTTGACTCTAGTAAGATATTTATTTTGGTTATGTTAGCATACAAAAAAGTATGCTATAGTCCGATAGCCTTTATACAGGGTAGGGCGGAGCCGACTGACGAGTTTTGAGGGGCTATAAATTACGAACAGTAAAACTTAGATAAAATCTGTTTGTTTTATTAAAATCAGTGTGAAATCCCGTTTATTAAGTTAAGTTTTTAAAATTATGCCTCCGAGATGGCGGCCATCAGCAGCAATATATTGCTGTAGCCGATATTTGGAGTTTACTCATCGATCTTTGGGTCTGTGAATAAACAGAATTCTTGATACTGGGCTGAAAATAACCCACGGAAACTCCATGAAAAACCATTCTACTCCACTAGTGACAATGTTCCAATTTGGAAAATACTGTGTCTCAATTTGGGGTGTTCGGCCGGTACTTTTTTGAGGAGGACAATAGGACTGTCACTGTCACTTCGGCGCGATATGTTCTAATGTTGGAAACTTAACTGCAGCACTGGTTAGAGGAAATGGATGAAGAATATGACTTGGGGGATGTATGGTTTCAACTAAATGGGGCTACAGCGCACACAGCTCGAAATTTGCTAGTTTTTAATTCGACAAATGTTCCCTGGGCGGTTGGTCCAAAACTTCAGAAATCGCTTACAACAATGTATTGCTAATGACGGCCGCCATTTTGGTGATATCATTTTCAAAACGTAACCTAAAAAATGGGATTTGTTAATGATTTTAATAAAACAAACTGTTTTTATCTAAGTTTTACTGTTCGTAATTTATAGCCCCTCAAAACTCGTCCGTCGGCTCTGCCTCATCCTGTATAATATTGAAATTAAAAATAAACTAAAATACTTTGAAAGTTATGTGCCAATGATTAAGCAGTGGTTTTTAATCTGTCTTGCTAAAAATGCCCACACATGATTTTTTTGGGGGTGCTTTTATATATGTTGATTAATATTGAGTAATACGAATTTAGTTTGCAATTCGACTGCAGATCGTATTGTGAACAAAAAAGAAAAGCGGAGAAGCGTTAGGAGTGGAAAATGGCTGCCAACCAGCCTTTGGGCTGTTAACAAAAAAAAAAAATGTATGAAATATCTACAAAGATATCCTTCGAGTTTTGTAACTGCCAGTATCATGCGTAATGCGTGTACAAACTACGAGTGATGAGGTGAGGGGGACACGTCGGAGGGAGCTGTACAAGACATCGATACCATCATCATCATCGTTGCTATTATTATTATTATATTTATTTATACAAAAAGCACTCATTATAGTACACTGCTTTTTTTTTATAGTATTGTATACAAGAGCAGTGCGCATGCGTCTGAGCCTGACCTTGGCAAGGTTGAATTTTGAGAGTCCGACGAACCGTGCGGCAACGTCGCGCCTTCTCTCATTACACATACACGCACAATACACACTATGTATCGCATTCACACAATCACATACACGTAATACATTATAGCGTTGACAAAATTTGTAACGTGTGTTCACTGTTGTCGTCGTCCTTTTGGATTTATAAAAATAAACAATCTCACCGGCTTGGTGTCGCGTTGTTGCTAGTGTACTGCCAACGTTTGGCATAACCGCAACTGGAAAAATATAAAATCATTATAGCTATGTTGGATGATGATTTATTATTCACCGATACGTTGGCAGTGACCGGCTCTAAAGATTATGCCGTTTAGCCACACATTCGACAAAAATAATGATAATAATAATGGCATATGTGTATGTACGTAGACGTAAATGTTTAAATGAGCAATGAAAACTGGTGGTATTTTCAAAATACTTAAACCGTTAGTCGTTGCAGCCTGTAGGCGCTGCTTCTACGTTTGCACGGAAAACAGTGAAATGTGCAGTTTTGTCACGCGTATCGCATTCCCAGTCTATTATATGGTTCAAAACAAAATCCAATGAATTCATAAAATAAAAAGAAAATTTTTTTTAATAGTAATTAGAAAAAACTATATATTCTAATATTCACTTTTAATGTATAATTACATCATTTTCGAAAACATCTCTCTATAAGTTGAATCAAGTTATAGATCTTCAGAATCTATAGCTAGAAAGTGTCATACTGTTGAACATGTGATTTGCATGTTTTTCCCTTCACGTGTTGTCACTGATAAAAGTAACACGTTTTACTGTAGTCTGTGACACAAACTAATTGTGAAATATCTTTCAGTAAGCAGTTTTCTGGAGAGAAGAGGAGATTTTACTCGTAAAAAAGATAATAGGTACTTGTATATTTGCATAGCATAGGCGTAAATAGTTAGGGGAGTGTCAGTTGTGGAGCGCAGGGTAAACTTTTGCATTTCTAATTGCTTCTATTAGTTTTTAATGTGCTTTTCCCGTATCATATATCATAAATGCCCTGATATTTAAAAAATTCATATAGAACCACTGCTTACCAAGCATAGATTTAACGTACATAAATAGACCACGCCATTTTTGACGCAAACCTAACTATCCATTTCGTTATCAAAACGGTTGCCTTATATGCTCGTGGATAATTTATGTATGTATTAATCTATGTTCCTGGTCACTGCGCCGCCTGTGCAGATACACATATCCCGGTCTAGTATTACACCATACAAAATAATTTTGTTTTAAATAGTAACCAATTGAGTGGAAATGAGCTAAATGTTTACACCCCTATTCAAAAACTGAACGCCTGGAAATGGGGAATGACACATTTTAGAGCGAGCAAAATTAATATTGGGAGAACTGAAAACTGAGGCACACCAAGTCTTATTTCTTAGTTAGTACGCTATGATGCATAGAACAATTTGCATAAAACGAATGTTTTTGTAGAATTCTAATTTAGAGCGACAGGAATGACCTAATTTTTGAAAAAATATTTTATTAAGTTGTTATTACGACGAACGAGTGGTGTATCGGCTACCGGCTTTGTGTCGCGTACTAAACGCGTCACCGTGAGCGGTGTGGAACTTGTTGCGCAATTCGAATTACAAGTAGATTTGGCATTCCTCTCGCTCCGGTTTAGTCAGCGTGTGTGGTTAGATTATCCATTCCCCTGTGTTGTTCATTTTTTTTGTATATAAAATTTTCCGTGCACGATGTAGTTGGTTGAGAAACAACGGGTGCGGGTCGAATAACGTTAAATCTTTGGGCTTAGCTGACGACACAAAAATCGATGGTTTCTAGAGGAATAATTGCAATAATAATATAAACCCACAATCAAACGGCCGTATGTGTATTGTTAAACATCAAAATAAAGTATACCTACAGTTTATGTATAAGGCGTATAGCGAGCGTTATTGCCAATTATAAGCAATGCAACCAAGACATCAATAACCCCTTCGCACTAATACCACCACGGCTGCCACTTTAACCGTATTGGCCAATTCACTTGCCCGTGTCAGGTCACACAACCGGTTTTTGTCCAGTTGCGCCTGCTTCACCGCGCCGCAACATTAGCAGGACGCAGCTATAACGTAGTAGCCATTTTAAACATTGGCCGAACACTGAAAACTGCATTCGTCCGTTTTATTAATAATCGTTTATAAATTACATTTTATAATATATTTACAACGTACATACTATAAAATACTGCGTCGTTAATCGATCGTTTTTTCCTTTTTTTTTTTGTTTCTAGATTTCACATTAAGATCGTAAGACGTGATGGATATCTGCAGCACTAGTCGAGTGTATTTATGTGGAATGATCTTAAGGAATCAAGGGTCTCGCACGATATTACTACACCTCACTTGATTGCGAGACTACTTGCAAAGTTTCAGTACGGCATTAGTGTTCGTCATAATGGAACGCGGTCGAAAATGATTTCTAGTTGTCCCATGACTGTTATGTGATGGCCAATAGTGACGCCAGGATGTGGGGTCACAGTGTGGTGTCTTCGGGTCCAGTCACTGTTACATCGATCAATCTAATTGCTCCTCATTTGCCTAATACACAAATTACAACTATTAAAGGTATTGATTAGTTGTTTTACTTATTAGTGGAATTTAAATTGCGTTTATTTAATCTTGAACAATTCACAAACAGAAGAACCGCGTGACGGAGTAATCAACGAAAGGAAAGACGATGCCATAGATGAAGTCGGTTCAGAATGTGATAGAGAAGTAAGCAAAATTGATTTCTCTGGTGTGACTATGAGAAGTAAAAAAATGAGGGCTGTCGAAGAAAATATGCCTCGACCAATGTCTTGGGAAGGAGAGCTTTCGGACACGGATATGAAACAAGTATGATTCAGTGACTAAATAATTTTTTATTGAGTAGTATTTGAATAAGTTAATATTTTTTTAGGATGAAGATGATAGGTCCATGGATGTACAAACTGGAAATCAAAATTATTTATTTCCTAAACAAGAATGTGTAAACAATCAACAAGAGTCTCCTGCAAAACGTGTGATTTTTAAAGATAACAATTTGGTAAACACTTATTATTATTAAAGTCATATTAACTATTTTTTTTTCTATTTTTAATTCAAAATTTATTTATTTGATTATTGTATTATTGTTTTTAGATGGATCGAGTAATGGAACATGTTAAAAGTAAAGTTACTTCGTCAAATTCTGAAATTCCATTGCTTGTTGATAAACTGTTAGGTGGAGGTTACAGTTCACTATTGCAAAATAAGACTAATGGCGCTAAACAGCAGCCAGTTCATATTCCTCCAACTCAAAGTCCAGACTCAGCCATACACTCATGTTGCTCACCTGCACAATCTCCGATTACTTCTAGACATAACCCACCATCTTCTTCAGGATTTTCTTCACCATCCACGTTCACACCATCATCATTGTCGAGGAATAATAGCGATGCCTCACAATATGGCGGATCCCAACATAGCTCATGTTATAGTCAAAGGTTTTTGTCAAATATTTACAATAAATGTGTCAATGAGAACTCTAACACTAAAATATTTATATTTAACTTAGTTATTCATCAGTATCTGTTTCACCAACACAATTTTCACCATCTCAATCTCCGATTCAACCTAGGCATGTTCAGAGGAATTTTCATGAATATACAGTTGTTGAAGAAACCAATGGATATGAGGAAAAGATGTCTGATATTGGTCAACAACATAATATAACATCAGGGATTTCAAGACAACAATTGATCAATAGGTATGTTTAAGAATAAAAAAAATAATTGAATTCAGAAATAATGATTTATAATTATTTGTTATTTAGTCCCTGTCCAATTTGTGGTGATAAGATTTCTGGTTTTCACTATGGTATATTTTCCTGTGAAAGTTGCAAAGGCTTCTTTAAGCGTACTGTTCAAAATCATAAAAACTATGTGTGTCTTCATGGTTCTGCATGCTTGATTACTATAGCGACCCGCAAGAAGTGTCCCGCATGCCGTTTTGACAAATGTTTAAATATGGGTATGAAACTTGAGGCCATAAGAGTGGATCGAACCCGTGGTGGTAGAAGTACATATCCATTTACATACACAATACCAACGTCTAATATTCAGCCACCGCAAGGTAATCAACATACTGGAATGACCAATGTTGTAGATAATAAGGTCAAGCAAGAAGAGCGTGCGTGTCGGTCTCCTCCTCAAGAAATGGCCAGACTGATCCCTCCGTTATTGCAAGTGAGTTATATTGTACAAAAATAAACAATTGAATCACAATAAAATCTTATTTGTTGTTTATATTATTTAAAAAATTAATAGGAGATAATGGAAGTGGAGCATTTATGGACTTATAATGAAGGTGCATTTGATTCATCAAATGCAAGTGGAAGCTCTACGAATCATTGTGGTGGTGCCAAAGAACTAGAAAAAAGTCGTCTTATGGCTGAGAACTCTGGAACGGATTTTCTCTCAAACTTATGTAACATTGCTGATCATAGGCTATATAAAATAGTAAAATGGTGCAAATCATTGCCATTGTTCAAAAATATTTCGGTAAATTAACTAAACATATATTTTCATAATAAATATTTTTTTAATTAAATATTTTTATTCAGTCCTTTAATTATTAATCTTTTTATGCAGATTGATGATCAGATTTCTCTATTGATAAATGCTTGGTGTGAGCTTCTACTGTTTAGTTGCTGTTATCGATCAGTTAGTAGTCCTGGCGAGATAAGAGTTAGTCTAGGTAAATCAATATCACTAGGTCAAGCAAGAGACTTGGGTTTGGCACCCTGCATTGAACGAATGTTGAACTTCACTCAACATTTAAGACGCTTGAGAGTGGACCGCTATGAATATGTTGCGATGAAAGTAATCGTGTTGTTATCATCGGGTAAGAAAAATAACATATTTTAATACTTTTTATAATTTATACATCTCTACGTGTTTTTTTTTTCTATGGTTATGGTTATAGTTTGTATAATACACTCTTGACAAACACTAATTTATAAAAATATAATTGACAATTATCATTTTAATTTAACTTATCAGCAAAACATAATTTTTCTGTCCAACTTTATGTTCATGGCCTAACTGGCCTTGTTATTAACTACCCATGATTTGTCAAGTTATATGATTATTTAACAGTGTTAAATACTAAATGAATAATAATGGAAAAAGCTGGGAATAATATCTAAAAGAATATATGTGTATATTTATATTTTAAAAGGATAATATGATAAATGATTTAAATTAAATTGCTAAAAATTGTGTAAGTCGTTTTAATTTGTTTTATTATTTTTTTTAGATACAAATGACTTAAAAGAACCAGAAAAAGTTCGAGCATCTCAAGAGAAAGCATTGCATGCATTACAGCAATATACTATAGCACATTATCCAGAAATGCCATCTAAATTTGGAGAACTGTTATTGAGGATACCTGATTTACAACGTACTTGCCAGGTAATTATAAATACAGTTATTAGAAAAATTTCATAATTCTTTCAATTAAATTAATTTAAAATGGTTTCTTAGCTATCTTATGAAATTGGATTTATGGTGAGATTTTTGTTTTATTAAAATGTTTTTACTATATATTATTATTATTTTGTATATTTTTTACTTTTTTCCAGACCTCTAAAAACTTTTTAACATAAATGTTTAACCAACTTTTTGAATTAAGAATAATTAACTGAAAATGTTGACTAGCCAATAATCAGGTTTTGGATAATTACTTTTTAAATTAGTAAAGATTAAAATTTGGAACAAGAGGTATGATAACAAGAGGACTGTAAAGTAATTCAGGCAGATAATAAGAAGTCTTCTCCACCCTACCTCCAATCCTAAAATTTTAACTTTGATAACTTTAAAAGTAATTATCCAAAACTGGTTATCTACCAGTCAAAATTGTCAACAAATTATTCTTAATTTAAAAATGTAATTAACTACGCATGATTACGATACGGTTTTAAAGATTGATAAAGCTCTAAAAAAAACAAAATATATTTAAATATTGTTTAGTAAAATGGCATTACTAATTAAACCCTATGAGATCTATGAATATATTCTTATTGTTAAATAATTTATCATATAAATTACTCACAATTTTCATCCGTTTGTTGTAACAGCTGATTTTTATCACATGTTAACCCTCCATACAATTATTAGATTAATGAAATATGTTTGTAAAGATTAAATATAGGATACTGTTCTTAATTAACCTAAAAAAATGTTTATTTATTCTTTTTTTGCAGGTCGGAAAGGAAATGTTGTCGATAAAAAGTAAAGAGGAGGGCGAAGGACAAAGTTTTAATTTGTTAATGGAATTATTAAGAGGTGATCATTAATGAAGGATCATATGGGTGATCATAATATGTTGTAATAAAAATGTCTGTGAAAGTATTCTATAATTATAATTAGTATAAACAATTAGTTTGGATCAGGAATACGTATGAGTTTGTAGTTGAGAAGTACGTACAGTTAAAATTTTTTTTTTTTATAGCATGATCGATAACAATACTTATTTATATTTTCATAGACCAAATTAAAGTCAGATTTTATTATTGTAATTATAATTTATATCGGTTAATTAAAAAATAATTTAGAGATAAGTAATAATATTTATAAAAATTAAATTCAGAACAGTCTGAATACTGTGATCTTATATATAAATAGAATTAACATTATTTTATATATTATAGTGTGTATCGTACACAAATTATTTCTGAGAAATAATGGTAGTTTTCCTAAACAGGGTTTTAATTTTAAAACAATCATTTATGTTAAACCATTGTTCAATCCAATTAAAAAACTTTGTACTTAATAATTCTATGCGTATAGTGATGGGCTTGTTTATTTTCTATCTCGCTGTTTTGTACTTAAATTACATATTTTTAACACTTTAAGCAAATACAAATAGTAGTATTAGTACTACATAATCTAATTTTATTATTCTGTCAACTTTACCAAAATTCATATTTTTAAGTGTTAAGCCAAAATATCTATTTTAAATTTAGTAATGTTATCTTTAACTATGTTCATGTGCAATAAGTTGTTACCAAAATTATATTTCTGTTTCTTTGTTTTTATTTAATTTTTTCATTCTAAAATTGTATTTTGCCCATCACTCTAAAACAAATTTGGTATCACTGCAATTTTTATAATTAGGTGCATATTTTTTTTATATTTATTTTAAATATAAGCTTATATTTTTGTATGTAGGATTTTTCTTTGAATAGGCCAACAGTAAAATAAATGTTAGACCGATTTAAATAAATTAAAAAATATATATTTTTTACTATACATTTTTCAATTATTTGTTTATTAATTACACAAAGCAATATTACTATTTTAATTGATGAGTAACTGAAACTATATTTGTACAACACCATATTTCAGCATTTGTAAGACATGACTAATAATGAGCAATATTTTACTATTATAATTGTATGTATTATATTTTATAGACTATACTATACATTAGGCTAATTACATTTTATTAATATGTTTTTATACATTTTATTAATAAAAATGAAATAAATATATTTTATTTTCTAGATTGGTTTGAGTTATATTATTATTTATTATTAAAATTATAATTATTTAATAAATATATAACCACAAGGGGGAAATGCAGTGCATTTTATTTACATACAAAATTTAATATTAATTAAACAAATCCATTGTTTAAGTCCAAGTCCATTGTTTTGTACTATCCATATGGTACCGTTGGGTGCATATACAACAGTATATGAAACTGCTTTCGCAATAACAAATGGACTAAAACAAACACATTTTACTGTATTAATATAACTATTTATTAAACAAATTTAATTAACAGTTAAAATGTAAATTTATTTTAAAAAACTGATTAATTTTAAGAATTTATCAATAGCTTTTTTATCAACATAAATATATAACTGTAAAATAAAAGCTTTTCTGTTACTTTGAAATGTCATCCTGATGCCTTGTTTAATTGACATTTTCTTCATTGCAGTCAAAATATGGTTTATAAATTGGCTTGCTACACAATGTTAGCACTCTAAGTAGAGGATTTTTATTGTTCTTGTCTTGCTGTTTAATAATAATTAATAAGTGTGTACAATTTTTAATAAATAAAAAAAAATACATTTATAATAATACATATTACAAATGTGGGAATATGTTAAATAAGTAGAAGTAAAATGGAATGTGACATCATAAGCATAACAAATAATTTCACTTTAAACAGCATTTTTACAGTTCAATTTTAATCCTATCAAATTTGACAATTAGACAATAGGTATATTATATTAATTTTAGGTTAAAGTCTCTAAATTATAAGTATAATATACTATTTATATAGTTCTAAAAAATTTGATTGAATTCCTATGTAGACCTCTTTATAGAAGAGGTATAATGTTTATGTAATGATAAGTTCATAATTAATGAGTGATATCACCTGGTTTATAGGTTCAGTAGAAGTAGCTATTATTTTCGCAGCAGCAATACATATTGTTGCAAATTTGAACTCTGATTAAGACCAAGTAACGAAGTAGGATTTATAATTACTCCGCTTTTCATATATTTTCTAGCCAGTGCCATTCCTCGGAGTTGAGAAGCCTGTGTTTTAAAAGTTAAAAAATAATAATGTTTTTTTAATGTCAGCTCTAACTACAGGAGTACATTTATTAGTGTAAAAAAATACTTTGTAAATAAAAATAGTTCAATCTGGCTATTTAACATAAAATTAACATTAGAAATCTCAAATCTATCATTTTTATTTACTCCCTCCAGATAAGTTGTTGTACATTACTAATGAAATATCAATCATGCAGCGGTCCTTAGGGTTTAGAGTTTTATAATAGTTAAACATTATATCCAATTGTTTGAAATATAATTCAATAAATCTGAACGTGTCTAGAACAATAATAATCAACTTTGAACATACAATATTTTGTAAACTGTAACTATTACAATAATATTTCTGTACATCAGAGGTTTACCTTCATACTGCTTATCCAATTTTGCATCCATCTGAAAATATGTTGCCCTATCTTTGCCATAACGGTTATTTAATAGTAAACTTAGTAATATTAATTTTTTGTTAATAACTTTTTAACCGTATGAGACGCACTTCACGATAATTATAATATCACAAACTAAGTATAAATCATTTTGTGAAACCCTTGTGTACTCTATGCACATGTATAGAAACATCTAGATAATGCAATCGACTACGCCAATACACATGTCACTTAAATTTGAGTTACAGCTAACTATTAACTTGTATATTATAATAGTGTGAAATAAGGAAATCTATGTTTATAAATATAAATTAAATACATTTGAACTTTTTTGTTGTTTGTGCATTTATACATAATATCTTTGATTAATGATAATCAATGATAATATAATGTATATTATATTATAGCACCTGAGTTAATTTGGATTGTTTTTAAGAAGTCATGTGAATTTACTACTCTTAAATTATCGTTATAGTTTGACTTGGTTTATATATATTTTAATATAGATTGTATTTTAAACTATAAACTATTAACTCCAGCCTTCCCCTTGTATCTGCCCTTGTATAAACATAAACTGGAGTGATCTATTTTATATATTAGCTGGATATTAGTGATAAGTCTGATGAGTGTATCATATCTAGATCCAAAAAACCATACCGGTTATTTTAGACCCCCAAAAACTACTGCCGGCTTAATAATATATAAACATTTTATTCAGTATCGGCAAGGCGCCAGTCTACCATAGGTTGTCCCTGTTTGAGTTTACTATTATGTAGCTAAGTATAAACAAATACAACAATTAAGCATTAGTAGTGTATATGGAAAAAAAATATCAACCAAAAAATAAAAAATAGCTGTATATTTCAATAACAAATGGAACTTATCACAGATGTTATAAAAATAGTGTAGACAGTAGACACAACACGGTCACACGGCGCGCGTAACACTGTTTTTGTATACTATTATAATTTATAACTTATAAAGGTTCTGTTCAAATAATAAGTGTCAGCTAAAATACGTTCGATGACATTATTTTCGACCTAAATATTTTTCGTAAATATTATTTTCGACTTAAATATTTTTCGGCTATTATATTTTCGGGTAATATATGTTTCGGTTCTAAATATTTTCGGAATTGTTATTTTTGGCATATATATAACATGATAACTAATACACAGGTATGAAAATATATAATACAAAATTAAATAATATTTAACTATAATTTATTATTGTGTTATTGCCTATTGGAAGTTGTTAAGTATTTAAGTAAATGTGTTTAATTTTATTGTCGGGTATCGAATAATTTCGTATGAGGTATTCACGATGTATTGTTTTAAATAGATAGGTATAATATATCGGTATTAAATAATTAAAAAAAAGGTATAATTTCATTGAAATTTTATCAATGAACATTCGTTTTACTTGTTATAAAACGTGTAAGTATCTTTTGAAAAACATTTTTTTTTTTTTTACAAACTCAAGAGACAATTTATTGTTGGTAAATTATTACTATAATATAATATTGTAAATATTGTTTCATATACTTTAAGTTTTTTTTTATATAAATTTCAATAATAAAAACTGATTTGATTATAACTTAAATAAAAAAACTCAAAACTGTATTTTTAAATGTTTAATTCGAAAAGAACTCGACAACGTACTTAAATAAAATGTTATATTTTTTATAAGTCCATGATATACGGCCATTATATCGGGAATATCTGACAAGTCATTATATTTGATAGTGGTCTTACAATTTTTTGTTGGATATTAATTATCATTATTATTATTATAAGTAAAAGTAGGCCAAATATAAGTTGATATTTAAGAGAAAGTAACTAACACAGGAGACAGGTCACACAGTGAATTAAAAATATTCCAAGCCTATTGCATTAATTATGAAATGTACAAGTTTTCCCCTTAAATAAACAATACTAGCCGCACAACATACACGAATAATAATTGTGCAATTTTTATAATTATTGTATATGTTGGTACCCCTTGGAGTGGCTGTTTGTCGAGTGGCTCTGAGGTGTAACCACGATTTAAGATAATATGGTTGCCCAACGGTCTATGTTAAGCCCATTGTCGCATTGACCGCGAAACTGTCTATAATATGGCCGACATGGACAAAAGTACAACAGCGCTCCTAACCGTAAAAGTTGCAGTCCAAAATAATGATAACCCGAATTCCCGCCAAAATATAAATATTTATATAATGAAGTTGTTTTTTTTAGATGAGCCCACGATTTAAGATAAATAATAATACTTAAAATCGTGAACTGTACTTTATTACTAATTACGTATATATAATATACACAACGTATAGTTAATTTATAAATATTAACACTTAACATTATATATCATTATGACGTGTTGTGTACCGATGTGTTTGTCAAAAAGGACAAAAAGTACTTTTAGTGTACCCTAAGACAATAATCTTTTAAAAATTTGGGAAGAAAATTTAGGGGTAAATTTAAAAAGAAACTCTAGAGTTTGCGAGTTACATTTTAAGTCCGACAGTATAACTACACAATGGGTATCAGGACAAGGCTTTAGTAAATACACTGTGCGTTACTGAAATTTCAATATAATTAATAAATTAATTACAAAATTTCACTAGTTATTTAAGTATTTACTAATTGCACTTATTTTTAGGTTTGTTTAAAAAAACCTAGGTTAAAAATAGGAGTTTTACCAATAAAAGCCAACTTGGATTGCAGTGCTTTGGCTAATCCTTTAGTCATGCCTCCAACAAAAAAAATTAAGGTTTCAATCAATAATATACATTTTTAGTGTAACTACAGAATAAATAATTGTAGCCTGCAATATTATGTCTATTAGATTATAAATGATACTGATATTATTGGACATAATCACTGCTATTTCTCTAAGGAGATAAATGACTTAAAATTGGACACATTTTTTGAACAAGTTTTAAAATACAACAAGTCAATGAAAGTTCCAATAGGATGGTTTGTAGATGTATAAAGTGGTTACTCTAATCAACTGTGTGTTTGTTTTCATAAACTCGGTCCCTTTAAAAAGACTATACAAGATACATAGAAAAACAACTTGTTTTAACTAGAGGTAAAATAACAATTATATTATCTCCCAAACATGTATTCTTCTTTTTGGCTATAATTTATGTAAATATTTTATCATACTAACTAGTTATAGGTATAATATAAAATAATTTTTTTAATATTATTTAAACTTTAAAGATTTAGCCATAGTTCTTCAAATTAATGGAAAAACTATTACAATATCAGACATTGATATAGAGTCTAATTTTAAACTTAAGTCCATTGAAGAACTAGAAGATATAATACAATTATTTGACAAAATTAAAGTCTATCAAGGAATAGATTTAGATAGTAAATATAGTTCTATAAAATCAAAATTTGGACCACAATTCATTAATTATTTTGACCAGTGGAGACATGTAAAATGCATAAGTGTACTAAAAGCAAATATGAGGTAGGTATAATTCATAACCATAAATATTGAGGGTTCCAATAAAGCAAATCATGCATTGGTCTTAATGTGGCAAAGTCTAGCAGAAAATGTAGACCAGCCTATTGCTGTATTTGCCTCACATGGAACAATCAAAGGTTAACTATTTATCTAATCTGTATGCTAAATTTAAAATTAAGTTAATAAACTAAATCAATTTTTCTCATTTTCAAAAGAATGCTTTTGAAAAAAAAATAATTGGTTGTAGAACTACTGAATACTTGGCTACAAGAAAAAGTTTCTATAAATGCTGAAATAGTATTGTATTTTTTTTTTATTAAGGTGTTGATTTAGCGAAGCTTATACTAAAAGCTATAATGTTAATAGAGGATTCTGGAGGGCAAGTTATCGGTCTTACATGTGACGGTGCTTCTACGAATAGGACAATGTTGAACCAATTAGGGGTATTATAAAATTAACATTTATATAATGCTATGTATTATATTTTTAATATCACTTTTTATTACTTTTATTTAAAACCATTAGATAAGTGTCAAATCAGTATTAGTATTTTCACCAAGGTGGATTTATAAATCCACGATGATAATAATTATTTTAAATCGTGATTGTTATACAGGTTGTAGGCGTCAATAAAAAAAAGCTAAATATTCTTAAAAGTGGTAATGCTGGTTTTGTGGTTTGTCCGCTAAAAGCGCTAGGAGTGATTTGCACATAGCAATTCTTAGCGAAGACAGTTTGGCGGTCACATTATCAGGGCTCGTTGGGCAACCATATTATCTTAAATCGTGGGTGTAACCACGATGTAGAGAAGACAAGGTGACGCCACTCCACCCAAATCATTGGCTCAAGAAATTACGGCATTTTGGTAGTACAATTTTGTAATGTAGATAGCGCCACCATTCGCCCGGAGGCCGACTTTTACATGGAGCTATTTTTTTATAGGGTTTTTTACATATTATTATACGTTACTGTCATTTTTATTACTAAATAAAAATATATTACATGTAATTTTATTTGATTACAGGACTATAGGTTATATATTATTTTAGAAACCATAATATTCGTATATGTAGTCTAATTAAATGTACTATTTATTCTAATTCCTATTCCACAAAATACGTTTATAGTCGAACGATGACTATCCTTTTATAACAATATATGAAATTATTCTATACGGTATATAATATAATAACACGTATTATGTACAAGAAAACAATTTTCCTCAACCCCTCCCTCCCCCTTCTTATATCGAATTTTAAGCAACAGAGAAGTTTTTTCAAATTGAGTTTATAGTTGTTGAAGGTCTGAAGAATAATTCGTTATAAAGAATAACGAAATTTCTGGACTTATAGTTCCGAAGATATTTTAATTCTTACTTAGGTAGCCGCAATTCCCCTTAACACGTAATAATTAAAATATAATTATTAAATTATTATTTATTTACTTCAAGTTCTAAATTACTTCAGAGAGTAACATTGTAACAGTTATATAATAAATACCTATAATATATTACTTAAAACACAATTTTTTTTGGCTCTGGGGGGTTTAAACCCGGACCCTTCCCCTGTAATACACCACTGTACATAACAATACATTCTTTCCGATTATTTTAATTTACCCCCGAAAAATAAGCATCGCTTGTGTAAGGTGGATATTAATTATTTTAATAAACCCCAATTAAGTGTCTTCGAAAGCCCGACTACCGTGTAATTCAAGCCCAACCATACGTGCAATGCCTAGGGACGAAGTAGCGACATATTCTCTGCATTGTGTTCCTAGAGATGATATTTGCATCACAAATAATTGTTTATATTTTGTGTCTACATAATAAACCGCGGCATTTATAATAATAAAATACTGTTGTTCTTATTCATTTTTACAAATAACATTCATTGACTAATGTAGATCTTTTAGATTTATAATTTATTGGCAATATTTGCTCTACTATAGTTTTATTCTATTACTCTGATCTAGAATTTAGAAATTATGACCATGTATACTAATGACTAATTAGTATTGGAATAATACATTATATTAGTAGAGTAGCTAAAATAATAAAATAAATAACTGTGCTGGACAAAGACTAGATCAGAATAAATTTAATTTAATTAATTATGAAAGCTATATTCTAGTGCTAATATTTACTTAAATGCCGTTAAAAAACACAGTTTTCGCAATTAAAAAGTTAACAAAATAATTACTTATTACTAATTAGACAATAAAAATAATAAAAACTCCAAATAAAGAATAATTAACATAAAAATAAAAAATAAAACGTTTATTGTCCATAAGCCGCATAGAAAATATCGGCTTCCGGGCGAATGGTGGCGCCACCTGTACAGCGAGCTGAACTACCAAAATGCCTGAAGCATTCGACCCCAGATTTTTACTGATAAGAAGTTGAGTGGTGTCACCTTATCTTCTCTACATCGTAGGTGTAACCATATTTTCATATAATCATCATATAGTAGACACAGATATATATATAATAAACTAAGATTGCTAACTAGCGATAAGAATTGAAGCCGACGGTCCGCCATTCTGGTGGGATTTATGTGGGTTATCAATGCATATTATATACATCTGTATATATTATTATATCAATATTATATATATCTGTGATTGTTATAAACATCATCGAGAAAAGAATACATATATTCTTTATCTCGATGATAAACATATATTATTCTCACGTGATAAGGTTCTAATTCCCACCAAGATGGTGAAAAGTGGCTGCTTCAATCTTCTCTATTGGTGGCATGTACAGTTAGCAATCTAGTTTATTATATATAACTGTGGTAGTAGGTACCTCTATAGATAAAATATAATAGATATAACTTACCAATTATCAATTGTGTTTAAAAAATAGTTTTTTGTTAAAATTGGAAATTGTGAGTTTATGTAAATTCCAGAAAATACTATTCATTGACCAGAATTTACTTAACTCTTGTAGTCCTTTAAAAGTACTGTATTCGTTCGGTCGGTCGTGATGTAAATGCGAAGTACGTTTATTAATTATTATCAATCTCTAAAAGGAATATTTATAATGTTAATAATTATTTTTAATAATTATATTACCTAGCACTTGTGCACGTCGAAAATAAAATTTTATTTGTGATCAATGCTTTATAAAGTCGGTTCTATAATGATTAATGAATAAATTCAACAAGTTGTAATTTATAAAATAAAACATTAAGTCACTAGTTCTTTTACAAGTATTATTTCATTAGTATTGTATCTTAATAATTTAAAGCAAACCACAGTTCGTACGTAAAAACAAAACAAATTTTTATGATGTTTTAATTATATTATTTTTAAAACTAAATTTGTAATGAAAAATGTCTGTATATCCACAAGTTAAAGGTTACAACATAATCAAAAATATTGGTAAGGGAAGTACATCGACAGTATATTTAGCACATTTAAAGGTGCGTACTACATTGTTTTACTCTATACCCGTATTCTATTATATCTAAGATCCACCAAAATATTGAAGTAAAATGTTTGTAATAAGAACATTCTTTTTTTTTTAGGAAAATGTTGAGAATACTGTAGCTATTAAAGTCATAGAGCGTTGTAAACTTTCAAAAAGTGCAGAAAATGCTGTTGTTACAGAAATAGGAGTAATGAAAAAATTAAAACACAAACATATTGTTCAAATGATTGATTTTGTTTGGGACAGCAAAAATATTTATATTATATTAGAGTATTGTGATGGTGGTGATCTGTCAGCTTTTATTAAACATCGCACTAAACTCTCTGAAAAAGTGTGCCGCAGATTTATGCAACAACTAGCTTTAGCTCTACAATATCTACGATCTCATAATGTTTCGCATCTTGACCTCAAACCTCAAAATCTTCTATTGATGAAATCGCCACATTTAATACTTAAAGTTGGAGGTGTTTATTTACTAACATTTTAGCTAATAAGTTTTAATTAATATATTAATTTTAGATTTTGGATTAGCAAAATTTATGAGTGAAAAGACGCAAATGGAAAACATTAGAGGATCACCTTTATATATGGCACCTGAAATGCTACTTCATAGTCGTTATGATGTTAAAGCAGATCTTTGGTCTGTTGGAGTAATAACATATGAATGTATATTTGGTCAAGCTCCTTATGCATCAGATTCAATTAAAGATTTATGTGAAAAAGTTAAAAAAGTTTTACCAATAGAAATACCAGTAACACATGTCAGTCCACATTGTAGAGATTTACTGATCAACTTACTAAAACACAACCCATCTGAGAGATTGAGTTATGACAAATTTTTTAAGCATCCATTTTTAGATTTGGAGCATACACCTAGTGAAGAATCTTATGTAAAAGGTCTAGATGCCATTAAACAAGCAGTTCAGTTAGATGCTGAAAAAAATTACAAAGCTGCATTTTGTAAATACTGTATAGGCCTACAGTATTTGATCCCATGTTTACAAAGTAAGATCATACACATTTTAATGAATATGATTTTTTTTTAAGTAAGTATTTCAATATATGGTTTTATTAATGACATTTAAAATATAATTTTTTTTTAGATGAATCTGATGAATCTAAAAAGCAAGCATTTAAAATGAAATTAAATGAGTATACTAAACGTGCTGAAGAACTCAAAGCTACACTATACATTTCTAAAGTTAAAGTTAATAGTGATGAAAAAATGGAACCAACGTCTGTATCATCAGATGTAGATGAGGATCATTCTCAGAACTTAAGTAAAGTACTTTTAATAAGAACTACTAATAAATTATAATTAAGTAATATACTATTAATGGGCATAGGCTAGGTAACACGTTGTGCAGGGTATAGCCAGGAGTCAGCTTGTGAGCTAATAAGCTACTTTCAGTTTAAATGTTATTTCAAGGGTTTTTGTGGCTATAGCATGCCTTTAACAAAAGGTCTGCCTCCAGCTTCCGCCTATGTTTATGGTTATTAATTATTATATTTCTGTAGTTATGTATGAACTATGAAAGTTCAATTAGTGTACTGGGGTTACCTGTTTAATCTAAATGGATTATAAATCTACCATAGGCTTACAAACTTAATAACAATGGTGCCAATCAAATACAAAATTGGTAGTTCAAAACCTATTGACCATCGACTATTCTTACATTTCCACTAAAAATTCATTAATAATTATTAAAAATACATACAGTATACAGACACCCACCACAAAAATCTAACTGTAGCTGGATTATTTGGATTACCTGACATTTTTTTTTTTGTTACTACTGGTTTATTGTAATGTTGACTGTATTCACTGATAGACACCTTTTTATTTGTTGCCTAGAAAATTCAAATTGATCAATTAATTTTTACTTTTTTATAACAGTAATTTATTTATATTAATAAATTATGACTAGCTATATATGCGCAGACAAATAATGAGTAAATTACTGATTTTAATGGTAATTATAATTAATATTAATAATAATTAATTATTATAATTATAATTATTTAATTACTGTACACGCATATAGCTTTTAGGATCTGTGGGACATTGGTTTTGTGTAAAAATAATAGTTATAATATAATGGATCTACAATATAAAATTGTATTAAAAACTGACAATTGTTAAAAAAGTACTTAAAATGTAAATTAGTATGGTCTATAGGAATTAAGTAAAAAATTAAATTATGTCGTAATATATCTTGGGATATGCTGAATAATTCTTAGGCAGTGCAAGAAATGAAAATATAAACAATGTTTAATTAACATTTTGAATAATAATTATTTACAGTGTCTTTATGTAAAAATACACCTCAACTGGCTAGTGCAGTTGAAATTGCACTTTCAGGCCAAATGTACTTAGTGGAAGGACATTATGAAGCAGCTATTGAAAAATATAACATTGGCTTGAATTTATGTAATAAGTTACTTGAAAAAGAACCAGCTGGTGTTCGATATGATTTACTAGTAAAACAGGTTAATATTTTGTTCATTATTTAAATTTTAAGTATAGTTAATACATATATATGATTTTAACAGATTGGTGATTGGACGAAACAGTGTGAAAATGCTTCAGCATTATTAGAATCAAAGAATCATAATGTAAACAATCAGGCTATTGATGTCCCTGACGGTCTATCTTTAAATAAAGGTAAAAAGGAAAAGAAATCGCCAACATTTCTTAAAACAGTTAAATTAGTTTTAAAAGTAAAGAAAAACACTTCTTCTCCCTCGAAAAAATAAAATAGTTCTTAAGAACTAATTAGTTTTTCACTCTTTTTAAACAGGGTTTAGTTTATATACAACATTTTTTTACTATTTACAAGATATTGCTTTTTTATAAGTATTATTTGGGTGATTGACGATTGTATGTATTGGTATTGTCATTGTGAACAATTTATTTAAATTTTATAATGTTGAAAATTAATGTTATTTACATGTAATTTTTTTATTGACTAAATGTGGTAAACATAAATTGAAGAAACACTTCTTCTGTGTGTAATAATTTTATGATATTTAAATATATTTTAAAAAAAAAATGTTAATTGGTAAATCACTTGTTAAAAAGTTTTGTGATGAAATTGTGACATTCCTTATTATTGATTTTATTATTGCAATATTTATATTTTTTTAATTTTATATTTGGTATGTTAGTTGTATTATACAGTATATAAATCATATTTTGTTTCAGATTCCTGTGTAATGCAATGAATGTTAAAGAACTTAAAATAATTTTATACTGCTTTGCTGTACTTATTTTGAGAATTCTTTTGTGCCTTATGACTATGATAATACTATTTGTGTTGTACAATTTGCTACTTATTTTAAATTATTATGACATTTGTCTTGGTACATTTATGTATTTATACAACTAGTATAATGAAAAAAAAAAAAGAAGCGCTATTTGTCTTCCTAGTTCTTCCTGCGTTTGTTGAATAAAGGGAAAAACAACCTTCATTAAAGCGAACTACCCGTCGGTCGGGTTGTGCCTACATGACACAGTGTACACATTTAGACATAATTGTTACAAAATTCAAAACAGATTACATATACAATACAAATAAATCACATAATATACAATATTATAGAGTAGTCTTGAAATACAATGATAAAATAGTTATGTTATGAAAACCAGGAGTAAGTGGAACTAGGTTTAACTTAATTGTGGCATTATAATATGTGTAACAGTAGCAGAAAAGGTTCATTCTGTCGATGTGGAGTTAAGACCCGCGAAAGTAACTACATAAAATTCCTTTGTTAAAGACTAATACGACCTTGAAAGTACAAAAATTCTAAAAGTTATGTGTTTGGATTTTTAAAATGCATAAATTGTTTTGAGAAAAGCAAGTTTAAAACCATTAAACCGACATAATGGCCCTTTTTGATAATATTAAAATTGTCATATCTCTTTAACGGATCAACAATTAGCAATGATACAAAGCGATACAGGTAGTACTTCTATGTAAGTGATTAAACTAAAAAATTAGTTTTAATCTAACATTAATATTGAAAATCACTCATATCTCGAAAACTAGAATCGACAAAATGTACCTTTTTCAATACTTGTATACATAAGTTGGCAAGGCGACACTTAAAAGGTGTGTTAGCGCTCAGTGTCATCAAGTCGAAATTTAGTCATCGGTAGTTCGGTTTTCTGCATGAGAAACCGTAACATCTGAGTTAAAATAGTCGATTCATGTATACTAAATCACGTTAATTGTTATGCTAAGTAACTTGTAGAGGTTGTACCTAAAAAACAATAAAGCTTTTAAGGGGGGTAAGGTATTAAAATTTTTTTTTTAAATTTTTTTTGTTTGTTAACTGAATGCATAATATCTCAAGAATATTGTGTCAAAATTTCAAGTCGATCGGAACAAAATTGACGACGTTATGAGTTGTCGGAATTTTATAGCTGCCCGGCCCGAGCGCATTATCGTTAACTTTAAAGCGTTTTTCCCACAACTCACGTTTTCAAAGTCGGGGACCACCATAACTTCAAAACTACTACACCGATCCTTTTGAAATTTTGAACACTATTTCAGTACATAACTAACGAGGTAACGCTGGAGACTTTTTTTCAAATTTGTTAATATTTTTTATTTTACAATAACAAATTAGCCGATTTTGTTCGCAAAAATCGCGTTTTTCCCTTCAAAGTGTTCCCAAAAAGTGAAAAATTGAAATTTCAAAAAACCCTCCCAGCGTTACCTGGGGAAAGCAATTATCTAACGAAAGAACTTGATTTTTTTAATTTCGGATGATCCAGCATCGAGTTTTGAGGGGCACCGCAATTCTACTTTTTTCCGAGACGCTTCCGAATAATTGCCGCCATTGCCGTATTTTTTAATATTTCTACATGAAAATATTACACAATATTCTTCGAATGTTATACTTTAATGTACCATTAGTTTTAATAAACAGATTTTAACTGTGTCGTCAAAAAAAATTCACAACAATTTGCCGTTTTTTGCGCGAATTAACCATACCCCCCCCCTTAAATATTATAAAATAATTATATCAACGAAGAACATTTGTAGTACTCTTTTATAAAACAAGATTAAAGAATACATTTTTGGAATCCATAAGTCTCAACTAAAAAAACTAGTAGCATTAGCCACTTATAATTTTCTAAACCTGGGACATTTTTGTTGTGCCCTTTCCAAAATTCTAAAACTACTTCAATAAAATACACACGCATTAACAAGCAAGGAACGAAGAACCAAAAAAGTAAAATGACTCAAGAAATTATTATAATTGTTGGCACTTTATCTCACACCGCAATTATTTACCCAGTTGGTTAGCGAGAAAATTAGACTGAAAGTAGATCTATAAAATGTAGGGGCTATATAACTTATAATATAACAATTTTTGTATAAATTAACAATGGCAACGAATTATTATATCGCATTCCATTACTAAAAATACATTTCTTATAACGATTAATCTTAAATAACTTTTACATGCATAATTATGATTATGAATTTCCCCATCATCCGGCATAAACATTTAGTAGGTTATCCACAACCCGAAATTTAAACAACAATTAATCAAATATGTGTAGTCATGCTTTTTTATCGAAGTTGTCCAAAAATGTAAATATCACTATTATAAATGCATTAATGTCAATAAAGTGTTAAGTTAATAGTTAATACTTTTTACCATAAACCGTTTTTTTTAAATAGTTTAATTCGTTTATAAAAAATCGCGATTATCCCGACCCCACAGCTGTGCTGGATATTTTTTTATAAAGCCAGTGCTGTTATTTAGGATAGACCCAAACTTCGGTGCAGCTTTGTCCAAGGAAGAAGACATGATTTTAAATAAACATTCCCACAGCCATTGTGGGTCATCTCCAAAAGGAGTAAACAGAAGGAAAGTGGACTTAGAGCCAACCGGTAATCACATTCGGTAATTGATTTAGGTATAATAGCACGGTTACAAAATATAGACAATGATTGAGAAGCATGTTTTTACTATTTTAATCTAAGCATTCTTTTTTTCTCTCCATGCATCCATTGCTTTCCAGGGGGGAACTAGCCTGGTAGGGCATTACTTCCCCCGTTTATTTCAGGCTAGTTATGCCAATTTTGAATTTGTTATTGGAATTCGCAAATATTTGTTTGCATAATATGTGTAATGTGTTTTTGACATTTTCATGTCTTAGCTCTGGCACATAACCGAAAAAAGCGTTATCAAAAAAGAAATGGGGTTGAAGATGACGTTGGGGGTGGGAGATAGGGGTGAGAATTAGCCGGTACATAACCGAAAAAAAGCGTAATGAAAAAAACGTAACGAAAAAAGCGTTACGCTGTTACGCCCAATTATCGGAAAGACCTGATATGAGATAAAAGATATGTTGTACGTTCAACGTTCAACGTTCAAATTAGAACTAAATAATAAATTCAAAATAGTTTAATTCTCTATGTTAAGTTACTTTTGGCCAGATAATAAACACTACAATTTTAGCCAGAAACTTGATTGTACATAATTTTTTAATCTCCTTGGCTTATGCTGTAACTGGAAGCTCCATGTAATTTTCTTAAAAATTATAATTCCACAACTAATCTAAATTTATTCGGTACTTCAACGAGATATGAAAATGTTCTATCGTGGTTGCAGACTCGGCTGAAAAAAGGCTGATTTTTTAAATCTGTTTTGCTATTAGCTGTAGCGATTTTTCATTTAAAAATGATTACGAGAAAAATTATCACCGTTTTGTTATTTTTTAATTCTGTTTTTTCTATAAAAAGCTAAACAATGTTTGTAATTTTGTTTGTAGGGTGCCACGGTCTTGAATTCTTATTGTATACAATTATTTATAAATATTTCGAGATAGGCAACTTAATACGCATACCTACATGTTTACCACTTTTGAGCCTATTCTAAATCGATCATACATTTAAAAATCAAATCCCGATTTTGTTGGAGTTGTTAGTTCTTACTTTGTCAAACTCAAATCAAGTCCATCACCAAATTATAGACGGGACCAGAAAAAATTGTTTTTTTAACAACTATTGGATATTAATCAAAATTAGTTAATTCTAAATTATAATAAAAGTTACATAGCTATTAAAAATTATAGACATTCTACGTTCACAGCAAACTATTTGTATAAATAATACCTTTATCATGTGATGTAATAGTGTAACTATTACCTTCCATGTATTAATATCATTTTTATAATCTCTAATTTTCACGAGTGTTTATTTGTTATACGGCAGTTTACGCAAGTTTTTCATATTAAATATTATTTAATAATTCTTATTAATATTTAAATTTAAATTGAATACAGTAAAAAACCATATCTGTCTATCTCCAACTCCAGTACATGTTATGGATGTGGAAATTTAGCTACGTTTGGTGTTAATAAGTCTAGAGTACAAAAACGTTTACATCTTGAGTCCCATATTAGCCAATAAATGTTAACAATAATAAATTATTGTATGCAAGATAGAAAATATAAAAAAGAAATTTAAATAATGATGAATATTGAATATATGGTTTCCGAAAGGGTAAAGGGGCGAAAGAAGCAGACCCGGGGTAGGACGTAGGAGGGTTTCAGTCTATTTTTATTAATATAATATTTTATACCACTTATATTTAAACTTATTTTTATATTATATTCTTGGTTAGCTTGCGTCTCAAAATGTGAAATTTAGAAAATCTACTGAGTTGGGCAAAATCCGAATTTTTTAATTAAAATAATTCATAATCAAAATGTTTTAAAACAGGATATTGAAAATCTACATGTATTTTTTTAACCTATAAAATATATTGTAAAATTCTGAGAATCTGGAATGCGTCTAACTCTGCAAAACAATATATAGTATATACCTGTATAGGTATATCGTTTTAGGTATTGACAAATTTGTGGGAAGTTGTTTTTTTAGGCTGTATCATAGTGGCCCAGTCTGTTCTTGCAAAGTAGTCGTGCGCGGTACTGAGTCTGCGATATTATTAATTGATATTATTAGGGTAAAAAGAACTAATTTAATTTTGATACTTAAAAATATGTTTGCTATTACGCCTTTGCGAAAATTTTTAGGTCGGCGTAATCCACTGTTAGCGTGGGATAGAACTGCAGACCTTTTTTTATTTATTATTTATATCATATAAGCACGTGAAATGCCGAATGGATATTGAAAAGGGGATGGTTTTAAGAGAGGCTAGTTCACCGCCACCGTTTTACTTTTAACGGTAATAGATTTCAACAAGGATATTGGAGTTTGGACGGTAAATAATAGCGTTCATATAATAGAAGAATTTTTTCGCGGAATCTCCCCACGGTGGTCGGTGGTGTGCATTGAGAAAGCTTTGTGGGAAATAATATTATCTTACAACATGCGTGTAGTAGCCCTGTCCGAGAATAGAATGGGACGCTATAGAATAGAACGTGGACAACAATACAATCTATTGTAATTTCCGATTTGTGTGTGTGTGTGTGCGGGAGTCGAGCGCAGAAGAAAACGGACGTTGTTCGCAATGTGCGGGGGAGGTTTCGGGGCGGAGGGGGTCGAAGTAAAAAAATGCTCCCGCAGTCAACATTCGCGGTTTCAAATTTGCAGATTGCTGAAAAAAATTGCGGAGGTACGGGGGCCACGGTGCTGGCTCGGCAGCCGGTGCAAAGTGCCGGGGGGAGCCGACCGGTTTCGGTTGGCAACATTGCTGCTTGCAAGAGCCGTTACGCCGGGCCGGCCAATGGGAATGCGCGAATTTGCGAAAAACGGTTCCTGGATTGTTTTTTTTTGCCGTACCATTCTCCCGCAGCGGCGGCGTCACTTTGCCGAACTTAACCAATTTTAACCCTTTTTTACCACTGCCGTCGCCGCCGCCGTCTTCGATTCCATTCGCGGTTACGTGTGCGCGCGTCCTACTGTATGAGTGTATAGTCCTTGCACTTGCGACAACCAACCCACCGGCCGCCGGCTATGTGAAGAGCGCCCCGGAACGGAACGGCTGTATCAAATGAACTACGTGTGTTAAGTTAGAAACCATTTCGCCGCAAAACTACCAGAATACTTCCGCAGGAGCAACTGAAACTATTTTGTAAGTATGGAGTATCATCGCTAGCTATCTGACAATCGCCGATCCTAGATTTAAAGATCCATACGTCAGCCAAGCGCTAAGCCGATAACATCGGGCTGTCAGCGTACTATAAGCCGATAAAGGCTTTAGATGTTTCAGATATGACTTAATGTTTTCTTAAGTGTGTATGTATGTTATATGATTACAGTCAGATATGGAAGTTAAGAGCGAAAAATTGAACGAAACAACAGAGCAACAGCCTTTAAGCGATAAAAAATCTGAAGATCACAAAAAATTAATTGAATATGGCATCAACGAATTAGTCGCAGATAGGCTAGATGAAATATACAAAAGCGGTAAGATGACAGTAATAGTAGTATTATATTATAGCACCTGTGTGTTTGTATTTTGTATGATGTTTATTTTATTGAATTCTAAGTCATTTATTGCTGTTTGCAACAAGCAAACTAAATATAGACCTAAGTTTAGTCTTTAGTTTCAACGTTGTTCATCTACTCTTAACTATAGTTGGTGCAAACAGTCATAAGCCACTTGTGTCATTAATTAAGTATAATATGTAGATAGCCTCTAAAAGTAAAATTATTGGAAACACACTCCAGGTGTTCGGCTCGCATACAATTGAATGGCCTAGCTCCTGTTTATGAGCAGCTAACTTCTGACATTATGTGGCCTAACTATGTGTATATAATCAATGCTTGTGTAACATTCTCATGTAAAAATCAGTCAATAATCAATATTTTTGAAAAATAGTTTTTTAGAAAAGGTATATTCTTTTGGTGTCATTTGATAAAAAATATAATATAAAACAATTAATTTACATTCTATTATAATTTACAAATGTAGTTCCCTTTTTAAGTTTCTAATACTAGACATTTTTATATATTTGAGTATTTAATGTATTTACTTTACCTTAATGTAAATATTATATAAATGATAATATTTTCACGGCATGCTTATTTGTAGTTATTCAATTTTCTTCCTGTTATAGATCACATAATCTTAATAAAAAATAATTTTCTAGTGTCGACTATATTAATTAAATTACATTACATTGTGGTACAGTATTAATTAACTTATTATAATTATATTTTAATGTTATAAAATGTCTATGTGAATTTAGTACTTTGTTAAATGTATATACACAAACAATAACATAAGTAATTTAAAACAAGCCTTTTAAAGTTTGGAGGTCATTCAAGGGGGAAGATTTAAATGTAATCGTTGAACTTTGTATCTATACATACTAAACACAAAATTTGTTTTTTAAAATTATTTTTTGGTTATGTTGTGGTATTATTTTCATTTACATTATTGTAAACAATAATGATAAAAAAAGGAGTTTAAAAATAGTTGTTTAAAAAAATCATGTTTTGATAATGATAATGACATTATGTATCTTTAGTGATAATGAATGTTGGTATAATTTTATTTTGTTGTATTTAAATTATTAGTTTAATAAATTCTATTTTAATTTATACATAGATATTTTTTTCTTATAGGAAAATTAGCACATTCAGATTTGGATACTAGAGCTTTGGACGCGTTAAAAGAATTTCCTGTAGAAGCCGCTCTTGGAGTTCTTTCTCAATTTCTTGATAGTAATTTATTGCATGTTTCAAATAAGTCTGCATATTTGTGCGGTGTTATGAAAACTTATAGACAAAAAACAAGAATTACTCCTCAAGAGCCATTTATGCAACCCCTCAAAGGGCCAGAACTTGATAAAGTGAAGGTATATATAATTATAAGTATATGAATACAAAACATGAATCCTATTATTGAATATACTCTTTAATAAAAATACGTTATGACAAGAAGTTAGGATTAATTTCCAACCTTCAGTGTTCCGGAAGAAAAAAATTGTTTATACCTAAATAAAAAACAACTTTTTTTTACTGTTAAATTATTAGTAATATAAAACTCCATTCAAAATTGTTTTTTGCAGCTTCTTTATGGAGGCCTAATTATTTTTTTTAATAATTACAGGAAATCTTAAATAGGACTAACTATAAATTTGATGTGACTACTGGACAAAGGAAATATGGTCCACCACCTGATTGGACTGAACCCAAACCAGCTGCTGGATGTGAGGTAAAGTATAATAATTTTCTTATAACATGGCATTTTGTGTTAATTTTATATTATTTGTATAGGTTTTTTGTGGCAAACTGCCCAATGCAGTGTTTGAGGACGAATTGATACCATTATTTGAAAAATGTGGAAAGATCTACGATTTACGATTAATGATGGATCCTTTGTCTGGAACTAATCGTGGATATGCTTTTGTAACATACACATCTAAAGAAGAAGCAGAAAGAGCCACTGTTGATGTAATTATTGATGTTTATTGTAATATTTTTTCTATACATACATTTTGAGTAAGTTCAAACTTAATTTACAGCTCGATGGGTATGAAATAAAGCCTGGAAAATGTATTAAAGTAAATATAAGTGTTCCCAATCTGCGTCTTTTTATTGGGAACATTCCTAAGTCTAAAGGCAAAGAGGATATTATGGACGAATTTGGAAAAATAACTAGTAAGCCCATCTTAATGTTTTTAATTACCTATTTATCTCACATTGGTTTCACAAACTATTGTTTTTTACATCCAATCTGTTGCACTGACAAATACTCCACATTTGTATATTTTCAGGAATTAAAAAGGTTATCTAGCCAACATTTACATTATTTGTTATAACTACAACAAATAGTTAATATTCATAATTATTAGTATAATATTCTGATAGATTAACTGAAAAGAAACTTGTAAAACAAAGAAAAGTCAATTAAACAAATATTATAGTTAAGTAATGCCTTTGAAACTGTATAAACGTTTTTGTTCCAGATGCAATATCTTATGTTGTTCCAAAAGACATATTTTTAAAATGTTTTAAATTGGCTTTACATTTTTAACAAGTTTAAACTCAACTAATCTTTCACAATATTATACTAATGATTATTTTTGTTGTATTAATTCATACATTACTATAAAAAAACTTTTTTACTTGTAATGTTTTCAATCTCTGTATTTTATTTTGTATTTCAGGTGGACTCACTGAGGTCATAATTTATAGTTCGCCTGATGATCGTAGAAAAAATAGAGGATTCTGTTTCCTCGAATACGAATCACATAAAGCTGCTTCTGTAGCTAAAAGACGTTTGAGTGCGCCAAATTATAAAGTCTGGGGTTGTGACATTATTGTTGACTGGGCTGATCCTCAAGAAGAACCTGATGATGAAACAATGTCTAAAGTAAATAATATGTTATGCCATAGCATGTTGTTTTCAATTTTCAAGTTATTATAAGTTTTATCATTGATTTTAAAATATACAGAAAAAGTATGCTAGAACGGTGATTCTTCTCTGCTGTTCTTGTGTATAGAACTGCTTACCTGTATATTGTAAAATCAATTATTCGTTAAAAAGTTAGAACAAAAATTATTATTTTGTTTTCAATTTGAAATTGTGACAAAATCAGGACCTTCTTTACAATGTCCATTGTAGTATTCTGCTAAAGTTTGTGACAATTGCGTACAACCAAAAATTAGTAGTACTCTACTAATTCCAAATTAGACACAAAGTCACTTTTTCTTGAAAAATAATAATAACCTATACTTTTATTTAGTTGTGTTTTGTTAACACAAAAATTGTTATTTTAGGTTAAAGTTTTATATGTAAGAAATTTAACTCAAGAAGTGACTGAAAATCGTCTGAAAGAAACTTTTGAAGCTTATGGCTCTATAGAGAGAGTGAAAAAGATTAAGGATTACGCTTTCATTCATTTTAATGATAGAAACTGTGCTCTAAAGGTAATTTCAGTAGTACTTCTTTATTGTACCAACTATTTTGGTTATTTTTTTATTTATACAGGCTTTAGAAGAATTAAACGGTAAGAATTTAGATGGCGCTACATTGGAAGTTTCCTTAGCTAAACCACCTTCTGATAAGAAAAAGAAAGAAGAAATTTTAAGAGCTAGGGAACGTCGTATGTTTTCAAATATGCAAGGCCGTGCATTTGGGTAGTATATTAATTAATGAAAATTTATAATGTAAATATATTTCCTATTACATTTTATTATTATATTCAGCCGTGTAAATTTGGTAAAGGATTTTAAAATTAAAGCTAAACCCAGTGCTTAATTAATAATTATATACATGTATTAATTTAGATTGATGCCACAACCAATTTCTTTAATGGGCGGTCTTCCTAGACCAGGTTATCGTGCAGCTTCAAATAATATTCGTATGCCTGGTCGTGGTGATTTTGGTAAGTATTTTATAGTTTTTTTATTAAAAATTTAATGATTTTCTGTTTTTAACATTTTATTTGTTTATTGAAAACAGTATTGGGATTGGTCTGAGGTAATAAAATTGAAGAAAATTATGCATGTTCGCTAATTTTTAGTGTGTTGTAACTTGTAAACATGAGATTTATTGATGTATTGAAGTTTTCTTTTTCTAAATAAGTTTTTGTAGAGTTCATATCTCTTTAAATAGTTTTATTTTAAAAATATGTATTTTGCTCTTGTAATTCCATACTAATTAGTAACTACTATTTTTATTATACATTTTTTTAAAGCTATAAATTTATATTTATTGTGAATTGCAATAAAAAATTGTAATTGGGGGTGTTATTATTTAATACTATTATAGTAAATGATAACAAGCTCTAACTTATTTTATATTTGTTTAGAAATTTTGTTCTAAAACTTAGTCAATTTTTGGTTGAAAATCTTTCAAATTCTATTTAAGATAAAAATTATATTGACAAGGTAAGACTAGGAGATGAGAGTATAGGGATATTTATTCACAGTTATAATTTTGTTTTAGTATTATTAGAGTTTTTTGCTTCATGTATCTTTAATTGGTTGTATTGAAATATTTAAAAACTTTGTATTGTAGTTTGTAACCGATTGTAATTTCTGTAATTGTTTTAAGAGTGGACATCATGGGGATTGAACTCATGGATGTGGCCTTCTGCCCGCTGGGATGCTGGGCCTAACACAGGGCACTGGGGAGCTGCACCAGCTAGTGCTAGACCATGGCATGGAGCAACTCCGAATAATAGGTCATGGGGAGGAACCGGTGGAGGTGGCCGATTTGGTGCTACTGGTAATAGTGGTGGTGGCGTATCAGGCCATGGAAAGTTTACAAGATAAACACGGTTAGTTTTAGACTTGTTATTAGTATTCTGCCCTGCAGAAAAATAAAATAAAATATTTGTAAAAACCGATTAAGGGAATCGTATGCGGTCTGTTTTTTTATGTTTTAGACCAAAAAGCCTGACAAAATGTCCACTACTAGGGAGTGTTATTCAATTCTGTAAAGATATAAGAGTTTTTTAGCTACTTTATTGGGTTATGTGGAAAATAGATTTTTATCTGTGCTTTTTTTATGTATAAAATTTGGGTTTTAATATTAAAAAAATTGCAAATTTAATTTATTTAACTACAAGAAACTGAAATTTTTAAATGAAAATCGATTTCCTACATAATATAGTAAAGTAGCCAAAGAACTCGAATCTCTTTACAGAACTGAAATTGGACCATTTTATGTAGTTAATATTAATTGTCTGACTTATGTCTAAAATAAACCAAAATGGCTTTACTGATAGAAAAAATATTTAAATTAAAAATAATACATTGAAGTAGCTTATACTATTTAATTGGTAAATTAATTGACATGGTCGAAATTTTTATTAAAACCTTTTTTCTTTCTTAAAACTATTTAAAACTCCTTAATAATAGACCGCATGCCAAGTAAAAAACATTTTGTACACTTTTTCTGTAGATACTAGTTTTTTTTTCGAGTTACGGCACTTGCTTAGCAAGTCATGATACTGGTATCATAACACTATTAATAAAATATATTAAAAATATCTTGTGTATTTACAGGCGAAAAGAGTTCTGATAGAAGTCTCCAGAAAGCGGGGGGGTCAGCGCTTTCGGACCTGCAGCAGCCATAGACGCATTGTTGTTGGTTTAAAAGCTACTGGATGGTGCAAGAGCGAAAGCGCTGAGCACATGAAATCAGCGTCTCTGATCGCCAATGGGGCACAAAATTTGTCGTTAATATCTCAATTTCTCGCTCATGTTACCTAATTTCATTGTTATTTAGATGTATTTTTTTTTAATTATTTTTACTTCCACCTTGTCTTTCGATTCATATATCTTTATCTTAAAGCAACCAGAGCTGTGTTAAAAATTTGTTTTTTTTTTTTAAAGAAACCAAACTGTCGTGACTATAGAAATTTTTGTTATTTTTTTTCTAACTTTTTTTTATCTTGTTAATTTGACTAAATTAATTTTATAGACATTTACCAAAATTCTTCCCCCTACTTCTGGAGGCATATTATATTGTTTAGGGGGACTAAAAATTTGATTTATAAGTTTTCACTAAACATTTGATTTCTTTTCGTATAATCAGTCAAAAACAACTCGACTCGTGTATTATAGTTTTTTTTTTACATAATATATTTTTTTTAAGAGACTATACCTCAAATCCTTTACTATATTACTGAACATATACATTATTTAATTATTATTATTATATATTATTTTTTTTTAACTATGCTTCACTTTCAGTTTTTACAAGACAATAGTTTTAAAATAATCGCAATACATTTATATTATTTTATTTTGATGCTTTATAATTTTAATTGATTATTCATGTAATATTTTTTTCTTTTTATTTATGTAAAAACCGGTTTTTCTTTTAGCAGGGTTGTCCTTAAAAATGTTATTATTTTTATCATTTTACTAGTATCCATAATTAAATAATAAATAGATAATAATGTTAAAAATAAAATTGAATTGTTTTTTTAAACTCATCGAATCCTTTATTAACCTTAAACAATGATTGTTGTGTATTTTGATGAGCTCAAATATTTTTGAGTAGACGAGTTCAAACCCATTGAACCGAAGTTGGTTAAAACTGAACTTTTTTGGAAAAAACCCAACCTACTTGGGTATTTAGGGGTTTTTCGTTGTAAAACTCCAAAAGATCCAGTAACCCGACAAGTTTTATATGAAATTACCTGGACGTTTTTTCGAAAAAACTTTTTTTTTCTAATTCGATTTCAGTAATTTATAATTTTTTTACTGAAAAGTGACCAATAGTTTTGTGATTGATGTTGTGTACTTGTGTAATTATTATTTGTATGCAATATAACTTATAAAAGCTTACTAAAGAAGAATAAAAGTACCAAAGAGATGTTTTTTTTAAATTAAATATAGAAAATCAGTCCTTTTCAAAGTACCTATTTTTTAAAAAAATAGTGGGATTTTACCTGAAAATCGGCTTGGGTTATATAAAACATGGTATCTTTAGCTTGGAAAAAGAACAGTCCGGTTATTAAAACATACGAGTGTGTTTAGCCCGGGAATTTTTGCGATGAGCTTTTTTATGCCAGCCCTGATTTGAACACTATTATTTTATTACCCGACTGCGAATGAGAGTTATGTGATAAGATATTAAGGAATTTAGGAATTAGAGATTAAGTAAAGTTGAATAAATCTAAAAAAAAATTATCTTTGAGTCTGATGAATTACACCGGGAATTATCATAATAATTGGAATTATGAATGTGATAAATAATGGATTGAAATATTATTAACTTGATAATCTTGAGATGTAAAAAAACATAAATACATCTAAAGATTATCAAATTAATAAAGACAGGAATTACACGTCTATGCTTGCAATAGCTAATTGAAGCAGTGTGTTCAGCCCGAATGGTCCAGTGTTGTAAGAACTAATAAGCTTTTTTGTATATTTTTCCAGTCTGTTAGAAATTAATATCAAATTATATAGGCCTAATATATTCAACTATACATTTTTATTATAAAAGTTTTTTTCACTCTATCATAATTGTTGACGATAATAAGTGAAATGTCGTATTGTAAATCCAGATGTGCTATTAAAAAACAATGATATCTCCTACGATGCTATTTTGAGAATATAATCTAGTGGAGATTGCAATAAATTATTGCTGAAACGTTTTTTAATGTTTTTCATTAATTTACAAACAATTATAAAATACAAATATTATTTAATTATCTCTCTCCCTCCCGATTGTAAAATAACTTTGGACACCTAATTTTCTTTGGAATAAGATCTAATATCAAAATACATGTCCAGTAGTCGGAGAACCCTAAAATTTGAATCTTCTGTTAAAATCATTTAAAATATTCAAAAGTAAGAGAAATTTTTCTAAAGAACAAGAAATAAAGAAGGCAATATTTATTTTGATTTCCTAATACATTTTCCAAAGAAAGTTAGGCGTTTACAATTAAAAATGTTTTTGGGGATTTTTTTAGTCATTAAAAAATATTTATATACTATAAATACCTACGAGTTTGCTTATATAGAAAAAAATAAAACCGTTTGAAGGTAAATAGTTAGTATAACTACAAATGCCGTGGGTTTTTTGTTTTAGATTAGATAAACTTTGGTAAAGTAGACGGAAAACAGCGTTTATCGTAGGTAATAAATGGCATTTATAATAAGTAGTTGATAGTGTCAAGGTTGACGGCCCTCTCTTTTCTGTATAAACTAACAGTTTTATTTTACTTGTGAATACAACCGTAACATTATTAATTATTATTATCAGTAAGTCAGACGTACAAACGCGTTTTCGTCGTTAAAAACTACACAAAGCAAATAAATCGGTTGTTTTTAACTTTAAGCGAGTAGGAAAAGAGGTACCATCGACCATCCGCTTGGAAGCTTTGGAGCAAAAGAATTCAAGGATCCAACGCTTCGCGAGCGTGAAAATCAATTATAGAAGAGGTAATAGTGAAAACAGCGTTTCGAGGTTTTTAACATTAATTAATTAAAATTTGTCATTGTTGACGGTTGAAAACACAAATGACATCCTTCATAATGGGTCGGGGTTACGGCCAGATATTGGAAAACGTACCAACAGATTAGGCACGTTTAGTAAAACAAACAAACCGTTTCTCATAAGGCATATACCCTTTCCACCTCCTCCACTGTGTCGCGATAAAAAGCAAACTATTTATAATTATACTCGGGTTTCTAGACTCCGATGGTCGTTAGTTACTTACCGGCCGTAGTGGAGTATAGCAATCACTTCGCCTCCTCTACAATGTCTGTTTTACGGTGTGCTGTACTGTTCCTAGGGTATGTAATAAAACAATTCTTTGGTAACTCCAATTGTCTGTTGTATTATATGATTTATTTTGGACAGACTTAGAACGATAATAATATGTAAAATCCAAAAATGCATTGTTGTGAAATCTGATTTTGTCAGTTTCATCCATTGTTAAAATATCTAATATTTAAGAAACCATGTAATCGGTTGGGTAAACGTTTAATCATGATCGCTGACACTGCGGGTGATTGGATTTTTTTGTTTTTTGCAGTTTCTGGGCAACAATGGGAGAAGCAAAGGTCAACTACGACGGGGCTTCGGTAAAGGAAGTGGCTGACGAGAGAATGGTACACGGCGAAGGACCGTTTTGGGATTCTGAGAACAATGTCTTGTACTTTGTCGACATAGCCCAACACCGTGTGTACAGACTATTTCAGAATCGATTGGAACACGTTCAGCTCGGTTGGTATTTGTATTTTTCCATTTTGAATAGCACCGTTTTGTGTATTGAATTAACCTAAGTAAAAATTATTCATTTTGTAGATGAAACCGTGAGCTTTGTCATTCCCGTGGCTGGACAACAGGGTCTGTTCGTGATTGGCCTGGGTACCACGCTGGCTGCACTCCGGTGGAACCTCAACGAAAACACCTTCCGGGTAGTGGAGTTGACCGTGGTAGACGCCGACAAAGCAGGTAACCGCTGGAACGATGCCAAAGCCGACGCCAGCGGATACCTATGGGCAGGTGTGTATATTATGTACAATGTATAATACATTTTTTTACTAAGAGTTAAGACAAAACTCACATTTTATTATAAAACTAAACAAATGGAGTTACCTAAAATCAATTATGTTTTCAAAGTGGATAGTCATTTTACACTTTTAATCTAAGGCAAAAAAAAAATATTTTTATTAAAATCAAATATTTTGTTTCTCTAAACGGACCACAATAATTTACACATTAAAAAGGAAAATTAAAGAAAAACATTAATTGATCATTTAATTGTATTATTATTATTGATTATTACATTATTATTATAATATTATCAATGATGTAATCAGTAATATTAATAGTGTAATGAACAACGATATAGTTTTAAGTTAGTAAATTTTGAACTGTATAAAACGATTCCGTACTTTCGGGACTTTTCGTTGGATGGGAGCTCACGTCTCAAAAACCCTAGAGCGAAAAATAGCTTGCCTAAAGGAATAAACTAACCTAACCCACTGCTCTGGAAGCGCCAGCGGCCTAACGAGACCGATTACTGAACCTATAACCTAATCTATTCTTGCGTCACCGACAAATGTATACATTTCAAGTAGCTAGAACTAGAACTAGAGGAGTTCGCCTAATTCTGACTTCAGATTCGTAATCAGCAAAAAATCACTATAATATGGCAAAAAAAAAAATCGCATAAAAAAAAAGGTCTAGACTCCGGTAAAGTGAATTTATACCTTGTTTTGTTCCCAGTATGAAACGATTTTTTCTGTTGTCTCTGTGATACCATTTTTAATTACAATTCGATTGGTATTTGTCTACCATTGCATTGACCCGTCGTTTAGACTAGTCGAGTCATAGTCACAGCCCATAGGTACATCTGCACTATGTTTTTCAGGAGTGCTGACATTGTTTATAAATCATTAATTCGTCGTGTTAATATTGGATTTCAGTGTGTATAGCAGAAAACAAAATAAATGATCTTTAATTATAACTATTAAAAATAACAAGGATGGAAATTAAATTTTTTTCGTCTACCCTCAGTTGGGCTTTAGGGTTTGTCGTTTCGATGTAGTAATAACTAATAAACGCAATTAGGTTAGATTAGGTTAGGTTAGGTACACTACATACACTACATTCTATAAAACAAAAGTGTAATTATATACAGACTAATCGCTATGGTTTATCTAAATCATAACTTGTTTCAAGATTTCCCTATTTGCCCAATGCTTTATATAAGTTACCCAAATTGTAATATTACCTTTTAGCTAGTAAGAGGAAATCAGTTTGAAAAATTAGGTTAAATACATAATAAATAAGTGTATTCAATATATCTGGAAAAATGTTACTGTTCAAACCGATTCCGTCGTATAATACCTGCCCGAAAATAATTATCGTCATCAATACATCATTATAATACTATTATTAATCACCACAATATAGAGCTATATTCATTATTCAGTGGTGAGTTTTTAATTCGGAAATAGAAAGTAACGGAAAGGGGAAAATGTTATTTTTTTAATTAGTAATAGAAGATTAAAAAAAACCAATTACTGTTTAAACCAGTACAGACTATACCAATTATTAAAAATCAGTATAGAACAAGTTAGCAAGGTTGGGTAAAAGTAATTATTAAATCTGAATGTGATTTCATCACAATCAAACGCTTCGATGTGAATTTGCAAATACGAATCCAACACAGTCTAAACCAAGCTCAGTATAAACCAGCACAGTAAGAAAATACTAAAGTGGGGTCTGGTATCCACAGACTCGAATCGAAGCGTTTTCTTGAATGTGTTTTTTTATAGGAACTTTGCGTCTACTGACTATCTTTATTGTTGTGTGGTAGCTTCTTACTATGTAAGATATATACTATACTATCTTATTAAAGTTTGAAGATATTCCAGTGAAACAAGTTTTATGGTACAGAAGGTCAGTGGGGACTAGCTTTTAAACTTCTTTAAATATTCATAATGAAGACCTTCTCTCTTACCCTTAACTAACACTTTTTAGAGTCAATGTAAGTGTTGCAGAACAAGCTAAAGTTAAGAATCTAGTTAGCCGGCAATAATCTTATTCAGAGTAACCTCTTACTCTTAGCCAGAGGTTGGCTTTTTTTTTTGCCGAAAATCGACATCGGTTCATTTCGACCTATAAGATGCATAAAACTCTCAAATTGCTTTTAAAAAATGTACTATATGGTTCAAATTACAATATTATAGCATACAAAATTATTGAATGATCGTTTGATTAGGTATTATCTCGTAATAATATATTGTAAAAAATCGAATTGAACAAATATGTGGGCAACAATATTTTTTATATAAAATAACTAATATTAAAACAAATGTTTTTATACTGGAAATTGCGTTAATGAACCAACAAACTTGAAACTATCGGTTGATTTTACTAATGACAGTACTTTGAAAATACTATTTAATTTTACGTTTACACAAGTATGGAAACTGTGATTTGGTTTGGACATTTTGGTTTTTTTTCTGTCTGTTAGAATTTCATGTATTGCTTTTGATTTTTTTTTTACAGGCACTATGGGCTTTGAAGACTCTGACGGTGTTATACCTCCGGGCCGGGGTACCCTGTACAAGTTAAACCATACGTCTGGCTGTTTTCAGAGTATCGAACCTGTTTTACCAGGGGTGTCGGTGTCAAACGGTTTAGCTTGGACCAAAGACGGATCGAGGATGTTCTACATCGACTCGCCGACCAAGCAAATAGCCGTATTCGACTACAATCCCTCTAAGGCATCTATATGTATGTGTTAATATTAAAATAATATTATACATCAGCCATTATTTTTCAACATTTTTCCTTATTTAAACGATTTTATTATTATTGTGTTTCGCAGCCAACCGCAGAGTGTTTTACGACTTTAAGACCGACAATTTGCCAGGTGTGCCGGACGGAATGACCATAGACGACCAAGACGACTTGTGGATAGCCAACTATGACGGCGGTCAGGTAAAACACCAATACATTTATCATACACAGACCTATTGTAGTTAATGTGTCAACTATTCAAACTCCATAAAGTCTAAAAGCTCATCGATAAAGCTTGACTGTAAACCATTAAAAGTTAAGTTTATAAGAAACTGCTAAATTGCGGATATTTTACCACAGGTTTTGCATGTTAGCGGTTCTTCGGGTAAGTTGTTGGGCAAACTGAAGCTTAAAGCGCAGTACATATCTTCAGTAACTTTTGGTGGACCCAAACTGGACAAGCTTTATGTGACTACCCTCAGTCGGGGTGTGACGTCCGAGCAGTTCAACGAGTACCCGATGTCCGGTAAGGTGTTGGAAGTAACCGGTCTGGGAGTGAAAGGCTTGCCAAACCGTCGTGTCAACGAAAAATGCTTCAAACTGCTATAAGGGTAACGCACCTCTCCTTCCAGTGTTGAACCGTCTATCATAACTCTTTGAACTCTTCGTATTGTTATAATCGCCCCGAAAACAGTTTTTTGGCCTTATCGTGGCGATTCATTTTGACTCGGTAGTCAGCTAGACGTAGAGTATAAAGGTTAATTAATTTTATCTTATCGCTGTATTCAACGACCGTGATGGTTTTAATTAGCCTCGGTTTATCATTACCGATTCACAACAATAAGTATTTATAAAAAAAAAAATGTTTTTCTCACATTATCAAAGCATGTTTTTTACATTTTATTTTTGCATTTATAAGATTTGTATTATACCAATAATAAATATCATATCATAATTATAATTTCTTTGTTTTAATGTATTATATAGGGTATTCCTAGTCGAAATATAAAACATGGCGATTAAATAATTACTTGTTTAGGATGAAATTAATAATACTTTATAAGAAAAAAGTATAAACAAATTATGAAAAATTGAATTGATTATTTTGCTCACGATTGTGGACTTGTTTTAAGTATAACCATTAAGAGGACGCCATACCGGCCATTTCTAAGGAGTAAAGTATAGGCAATTTTACGAAAAGTCTTAATTTAGAGTTTGAACTATAATTTATACTTATTAATACAGTAATGAGGTGAGGATACTTTGTTGATTGCCATTTTTTTTGTCAGCTATCACAGTCGTTTTATAGGATAAATTACAATTTTTTTCCCATCAAACTGCTTTGCGCGGCTTAATTTTTCTCAGGCTTCATATTATATAGGTCAAGGAAAGAAATTCATACATATTATTTATGACAAAATTATCTGTGTTCCATCATCCGTAATTTTTCGATATACCTAATACAACCAACGCTATATCATTTTTAAAAGTCAAAAAAGTCCTATCTTAGTTAATTAATTATTCATTAACTGGTTGAAAAATTAAAAAAAGGGCAATGGTAGAACACAGACAATGTTGTTGTCTATATTATGTAAAAATTTGGTTTCTTAGTTTTGATTATGACCTTTGTAAAATTAATCGGCGCAAGGTGGGTTTTGAAGAGAATAACGGGTGTGTGACGTCCTTTTAAGTATATATTATACTAATTGGTATAACGTATGTTAGTAGTAATTTAGTAGAAAACAAAATCTTTACTATTACCTACTAAATTGTTCTAAATGTACGGAATTAAACGTTGGTGATCAGGGAAGAGTTATTGTAAATAATTTTCTAGTAATTATTTAGCAATTACCAATCAAGAATTGAGCAAGTTTAGGTAATCTTAAGTATTGGTCAGTTATAATTGTTATAAATATTTCCAAAATTACATTTTGTTGTATTCCTTTTTTATTAATCAGATAATAATATTATAATATAATTATTATTATGTATATATATTTTACATTTTGTTTGATTCTGATTTATTAATAATTTGTATCAACTTCTACGCCTTTAGAACTAGTTTAATGCCGAACTCAATACTAGATGGTAGATGGTAGTTCAGTAGATGTGTATTTTCAACTGTAGAGAGCAAAAACGATGTCCTTGTATAATATAAAATGTTAAATGGCGGCGTCAATCGTGAAACTTTATGTTGCCTCGAGCCTTGGTCGTTATTTGTGGTATTTTTTAGTTAAGTTATATTTTATTTATGAAAAGAAGACAAATAAACGACGATGATGACGCCGACTTTGACAAATACATTTAAGACAATGCATACTAATAATAATAGTTATATCGGTGTATTAAAACATTTGTAAAGTGTCTAGTTAACAAATTAGCCATGGTAATAATAAGGCGTCATAAAGGTGTTTATTTTGCCACTAGGACATAAACGGGTAATTGTTTTATAGATAGTTAACCGCGATGTTTCCTATTAAGATAAAAATCAAATCGGGTTTAATGGTTAATGCAAATTCCAAACGTCACCCATGCGTGTAGAGTTTAATTAGACAAAGATACATCACGGCCGTTCACGGTCGCCGAGGTAGTGCCATTAAACTTGACAAACGCGCCATGCGGAATAAAGTCTCCCTCGATGGTTGGTTTCGCCAAAAACAGAATTATAGAATACTCTTTCGAATAATAAATTGCTACCTAAATTAGATTAGGCTGGTACTGTCTACTAATCGACGGTCGGCTATAATATTGTGCGTAAAGTTATCGACTGTTATAAGTTTTTGCGATACAATTTAATGACGACTATTGCATATCGTGGGCTTAATTCTCCGGAGACGACAACAGCTCACAACAGTTCTTTTTGCCAGTTTTTAGACCATGAATGGTCTGACAGTCACGCCATCACCATGACCACATGACGTACATAGAAACTACAAAAGGAATTCCGGTTTACATACATTTCTAGTTGCGCATTGGTAGCAGTGTAAGTATTGTGGAATATTGACAGTAATTATAGTCGTGTGAATTGAGCACCTGCAAAATAAGCCCTAATTTATTTTTAAAAAAAGGAACAAAATTAGAAAAGCGTTGTGCAAAGGGCGTTATTAATAACTGCGTTTCAGTCTCTATAATATGTCGGTGGTGTGGTATTGGTTGAATTATGCAATTCGAGGTATTACAACATTGTTTGCGTTTGTAGTCGGTAAACATTTTTTATGATTATTCCTTAAAAGGCAACTCAGTTATGCGTTTTGTGTTTTAGAACAACACTCGCCAAGGTCTTCCAATAATAAAACCTACCTGTCTGTTTTAATTATTTGGAATACTTATAACTTATAAGTCTTATACATATATTTAACAGTAAACTTAACAGCAAAATTTGCTTATCGACTCGGCGTCCGATCTTAATCAGAGACATTTTACTTTAATACTTAAAGTAAAATAGCGTTTTCTTTTTCAAGTTACCTTGTACAATCTTAATTAATGACGGTGATAGTTGATATGATTGAATATAAATGTTAAAATATGAAAATTAATATACAAGGACAGTGTTTACCTACATGAATAAATATCAAAATCGTTTTAACTTTGATGTGGATTAACATAGATGGGTTTTTTTTGTTATTGTGTCTGTAGACACGATAACGTTTTTCCTGTTGATCGAATTACTCGTTAGCACCTATATATTTTTGTTTGCTTTTATAGCAATTAGCAAACATTTTACATACAATCACGCATGAAAAACACATTCTAGTGCACATTACTGCACTTGAAGTTTAAGATTTTGTGTCGCGATCGGCAATCGGATGCGTATAATGTGCTTATAGTTTCAAACAAGCCCCACGATTTTTCTTAAATCTAAAAAAACTGAATAAATTAAATTTCTTGGCTTTGGAACGAGTATAAATGCGAGTTATGTGAGTATTCGTAATAAATTTAAGAAACGTTAACATAAAAAACGTCAATTAATTTTGGAGAAAAACTAAATTATCATTTTATGGAAGCTTCTTTAATTGAATAATAAATTTAACTGTTTGTTATAGAGCTATTTCAAAACCAAATATTTAATTGATTTTAAAAAAATATTTTCATTTTTTAAATGTAATAGGTAAAATGCGAAATTAATATAATGTGATATAATACATACTAACGTACATTTGGTTTCATTTGAAAGGTAAATGTAAATATTTACAATAGATAAATAAATAAAGACTTGTTTAGGTTAAATTTCTTTATACCTTACATAATAAAACTTTTTTTACAATTGAAGCATTTTTAAATACTTTTTTTGTAAAAGTAAATACTTCCGAGTACTACAAAAAAATGAATACAAATATTTGTTTTACTGTTAAATGCAAATTTGGCGTTTTTTGTAATTTGAAGAGTAAAATAACCGGGCTTAAGAGCAGTTTACTAGAAAACCCTCCTTCTACTGTCATCCGTTAAATTATAAATATGCGTAAACTACAATGATAATATTTGGGTATTATATAAACCTATTGTATAAAATATTTTGAGCACGTTCACCGTGGTATAGTTTGTGTTCCTATTAGGCTTGCAATAAAGACGACGAAATTGGTAGGTTAAAAGCCGACGGATTCACATAAACGAATATCAAACAGCAGTTCGCAAGCTTGTTCATATACATAGGATGGAACACATGGGCGTGTTAAGAATTCGTTGGCAGATGTTGCTAGAATACATTGAACAGCGACAAATTCCAATTGTATTTTTCCTCAGAAACAATATATAGTCGTTAGCAATACATTTTTAAAGGTCCCATACCGCACTTTTTGTGATCTCGCTTATTTTTTTGTTAATCTACGTGGTTTAACTGTACAATTTGGGTAGCATCATTAGTATTTATGTAGTGTCGATCTGGATGATTTCAAATTCGAAACTCAACCCTACTCTAGCCGGTTAACCGCATATTTTTGCACAAAAACATAGATGACGCTTCGTAGAGTAATAGGATTTAAATAATTTCTATATTTAGAAATAAAAGTTTAAATATTACAACATTTTTAATGATTTAATAAAAAATCAGAGATCAATATGTCGGTATAGTAGGTATTTTGTAGGTAATCTTTACCTACAAGATATGTCTTGTAAGTAGTCTGGCTCTTCAAATAATCATCAAATCTAAGTACTACGAGGTGTCACCCCTATTCTCGTAATAAGTGAAATTTGAAAGTGAAAAATTGTTTATTATAGGACAGATTTTTTGGCAGTGAAAAACTACTTTTAAGTTAGCATGATCGAAAATTGTTAAAATTAATGTTTTGGCAAATAGTACCTATACTACCGGACAGCGGCCTTTAATATTTCACATGAAATGTAGTTTGTTAAACGCCGGATACATGGTATTAACATGACTTGTCTACCAAAATGCTTAAGTTTGACAAGGTCAAATTATAAACTTGTTTCGTGTAAACGTCTTATACAGACAAATAAATGTTTTATTTGTTCCTAAGAATGGCTAGAAGTCAATTAAAGCTAGGTTATAGTCGTTTCAAAAAATAAACAGTGTCATAGTTCACCATAGTGGCATTCAAGACAGGTTTATTAATTTACTACATGCAATGGCTACAATATATTATATTACATTAATATTTTACAATTTAATACATAAAAACTTACATTGAAAGTAAAATCTTTAAGTTTAGATGTTAAGGGTATGTTTGCTTTCTCAAAAATGATGCTGCAGCTTCTTAGAAATTTGCTTTTCAAATCTTGGCATGGGAGGAAGACCATATGTATTCTTATCGAAAATAGAACAACGTAGCATTCTGTATTTATTTATTTTGTTTGCGTGTTCGTCTATTTGCCTGTGAAATTTCTATGTCTGTTAAGAGCAATTATGTGGATTGGATTTTTTTATGGTATGTTTATGTGATTGCTAGATGAACTAATTAAAATTTAGTATGAAGAGGTTTCTTTTTTATGGCGATTTTTTTCTCGCGATCTATTGAACGTTTGGCACTTATGCTAAGATAACATGTTGGCTATTAGCTCCCTCTCTGTCATATTTGTTTTTATTTATAGCCTAATCAATAACAACATGAAGTCTAAAATGTGGTTTCATAAAAACAGTGAACAACTTTATTATCATTTTGAATAGACTTTGTTTCTATTATTTTTAAGTAATTTTTAATAGAATAGTATAAAAAGTATTAAATTTATTAGAAGCTAATTTAGCTTTGAACATTTTATAGTAATATAACCACTCTGGTAGGAAGTATGATGATATATGATGACTATGAATGCTTTCATCTAATACATATTTTTCGATTTAATTTTGATTGCCAGCGACTCTCAGCAGGGTTTTGTGACGCGGGGCTGTGGGAACGGGAACATACGTTTTACACCAGGTGAGAATCTAATTTTATACCTCTCTATCCATGCGGCGAGCTTTATATATTGTACAACGTAGGTACCAAACCTGTGTGTTTAAAGCTGGTATTTATGTTGAGGTAGTGCTGAAAAATATGGATAATATAGATTTATTATAATATTGTTAGTATTGTCATTGTTGTAACACTACAGAGATAAATGAGGAACTTACATATATGTAGTATACTAATTATGGCTTGTGTTAAGTGTTTGTACAACAATAGATTGTGTAGGAATTTTAAATTAAGTGACATGCTAAAAACTAGCGGTGCGTAAGTTAACTGATAATAATTGTCTCTTCTAAAAAATGTTTCAACCGCTAATGTGATTTAATTAGCACTCATTTATACATAAATTACTAATAGGTTAAATAGTATGGATATGTACTTGATTATTTATATTTTCAATAGAGTACTGTAATAAATAATCATAGGCTGTCTGCTGTAATAACTAAAAAAAATGGATATCGTTTTGAATACGGTCGGACCGCGGACGTCAATTTTAGATTTTTTTTGTCGTGCTAGCAATAATTACGACCGACCACTTACATCATTCGAATGCAAAAGACAAATCAATCGAAGCCGAAGTAACGAGTAATCTTAAAAGACAATTTCAACTGAGTGCGTAACAACCCCCTAGGGTACAGCGTCCTACTTGTCTGCGTTTGAGTCCTTGTATAATGAACAATACGCATTATATAAATATAGGACGAGTCTTTTATTTTCAACTGCCCTGACAACGTAACGGTGCAAAAGTACTGTACGACAAAAGACTCACCCTATACATATCCATTTCAAATGTCCACAAAAAATCTATAAATAAAAGACGCTTCTGACCGTGCGGTCCATTCGAAAAAATGAAGTCGCTCAGGTTGTGTTTTACTTTGGTATTATGTCATCTGGTAGTGTTGAACGTTAAAGGTAAGACGCTATGGTATAGTATTAGGGTTTATTATACCGAGCTTTGTTAAGATTTAGTCCGTCACAGTGGGGCAACCGAAACCTTTTTTTTTGTCCATAAGGGGGTTGCTTGCTAGAAAATCGGGATAAGTACGCAAGATGAATAATGTGCTATTGTGTTTCTGGTATATTGTTCAATTTTCAATCAAAACTGCTCGAGAGAACCAAACAAACCACCCTTCGGTTGCACCGTTGGTCAGTTTAAAAGTTTAACAAAACTCGGTGAAACCTGTTATTATATGTTTTTTAACGGTTTGATAAAAAAAAATTAGAAACTACTCAGGACAGTGATGCAAGAGGCGATGACGACGTACCCAAAGATATATCGAGTAAGTAATCATTAAGAGGGACACCGAACATGTCGTTTTTTGTGTGAAAACAGGGTTAATATTTTGTTTACATCTTTGAAAATATAATGTACAATTAATGATAACGATGTTGATGTTGATATTAACAGAAATATCAAAATCTATACTATGCCTCCTCTTATAATATATGTACATTAACTAAAAAATTACGTAACCTCATAAAAAAGTGGCATGTGTCAACTTTAAAATAGTAATCTCTATTACACATTTTTTTAATTTAACATATTTTTTGTGTACTATTTTTTATCTTTTGTAGTTTACTTCCGTAGGCCGATTTACACGGATGGCAGTGTGACGCCTAAAGAGGTTCAAACACATTTGGCCTATTGTAAGTACCTTCATTTTTTAGTTTTGTCATCTATAAAAATATACTTATACTATACTTTCTTTGAAATCTATGGTCAAACACAGAATATAAACATCACGTGCTTGCAGTATAATCACACAGACAACGCTTGTTGAAATGCCCTTTTAGATTGTTTTCTTGTATTCGTTTTGGTTCACCGTTCATATAAACAGCTAGAGCTAAAATTATACTAACATGATATATTTTACAGTGCCCATGTCCGCCAAAGGAAGAGCTAGAGTTGCCGTTAATTTTGGCAGCAAACGAGGAAACCAATTTAAAAGTGAGTTAGACTTTATGATCGCAAATTAATAACAGTTGATTTTAATATAATCGTGCTCACATCCGTTGATTTTTCATTTTTTTTTTTTTTTGGTATAATATTATAGATTTTATGTTGGCCAAAGATACGTACAAAGGTAACATGCATGTCTTATATCCCAGTGATGATATTCTGCTTTACATTGTGTTTAATTTTGTTGTTTAGAACCGGACCAGATAAAAAAAGAATCGTACATACCAGTCAAGGTGAACGGAAAACGAGGGGATGAAACTGTTTTTCCTGAACGTTTAGGTATGTCATTTTTTGTTTACTGGTTAAACAAAACCAAGTACTGGTTTACCAGTACTTTCGTAGTATCACTTTTATATTAATAGATACTCTCAACTCTGTTCCTTTTTCACCAATACACTACAATGTTTCATAAAAATGCTTTGTTTGTTCATTGGACATTGGTATACTATTTATCCAGACATGACGAACATGAGAGGGCATTTCGTTTTACCTATACGCGGGGGAGTAAAATTCCTGTGAAGCATGTAACAGTATAATTGATATATATATATATATATTCTCAGTAAGGTTCAGTTTATCTGTTATTACTGATTAATATTATAAAGTTATAAATAAAATAAAATTATCAAAACAATATTGTGCATTTTGGAAAAAAATGGCCATTTTCATCTAACTCAAGATGTTCAAATTATTTAAAAACTTCAGCTTTCTACTTATTCAGTTGGTCGTCCAAAGTACTGAACGCAGGTTGGCAAACGCGTGCATCATACAATTTCCAAACCTAAAATTATGTCTAAAAAAATTGTTGTGACTAAAAATACACTTGAGTGGTTTGTATGGCTATATAAATTGTAATTACAGTAGAAACTGTTTGTATTACTTAACGACATCGCTTATAACAAATCACAGTGGACGACGACCTCATTTTTAGGGTCACGATTAAAAGCCCAACTTTAATGTGTTTATAACGATCCGCAAATAACGACAGGAATCTAAACAGTGACCTATAAAATGAATTTTTAAACTCAAAGAGTTAACGATTTTTGTTTATTTTTTATAAAAAAATAACGACTTGATGGTTCTGACGGATATTTTTGTCCGTTTTAATCAAATTAGCTTATACGTAGACATAATAATTGTTTGCTATTTATAAATTATTTACTAATTTATCGTATATGATACAGAATTGAGTCCCTAGTACCTCGTATAATATTTTTTAAAATTATATATCTTTTTAATTCATGAAAAAAATTAATTTTCTATCGATCCATTGTTATTTCAACTTTTGGAAATCTCCGGTCCTTTCAATGCCGTTATAAATGTTTTTTTACTGGTTATAATTTATGTATCAATACTTTAGAGCTCAATCATATATTAATAAAAATATCTCTTCAACTGAAATATTTTACATATCAAAACCATAAACCAGACATTAAAACAAACCCGTATTCTCACCTCATAATTAAGTGATTGATTATAATATTATCCACTGAATTGATCCCAGTAAATATTTTTTATATTTTCGGTGTGGGCGCACTTACTTAATTTTAGTTGTCAATAGTTTTACAGTAAAAAAAAAGGTTAAACTATTGTCAACAAAAATTGAGTTACATGTGTAATTTAAACCGATTTTAATTAAGACATTTATATAGAATTATATCGCTGACTTTGGATAAGTTGATTAACGGACTTTGAAATATTATTCTTGTTTATTGAGTCGAAAAAAAAGATTCCCAATACCGGTCAGTTGCATCCGAATATACATATACATTTTTTTAAAAATGTTCAAATATAGAATAGACAAGTTTCAAAATTGGAAACATTATACATTTAAACATTTAAGCACTTAAATCATCTAGCCCGTAATTTTCATAACCAATTGACAGTAATACCTTGGAAATAGGTCCCGGTGTACTCGCTGTATTTTCATAAGCCATTCATATATTTATAATACAGAATATATTTGGAAAAAAATAAAACATATACATTATACATATTTGTAATATAAATTTTAAAATGTTGAAAATTTATACGTGTAGCTATATTTTTGTTTGTACTTATGTGCAGGTATTTACACAGATTCTAGTTACATGGATCCATTTCAGAAATGGATATTATCGTCACCGTATTATCAATAATAGCAGATGCAGCGGTCTGTTCTCATTCATAATAGTTTCATCAACGATAAGATAAGCATGGTTGTAGAAAGATTCTTCAATTTTTGGTGTCTGCAATTAAATTAAAAAATAAATATAGTTAATTAACATTAATTATTTTATACCTTACATTATGAAATATATTAGTCATTTAACTATTTCCAATGGTTTTACGTGCTTTTTTATTTTATTATTCCAACACTTTTACAACATATTTTACAGTCATTGCACATTAAACAAAAATAACCTATACAAATTATAGCCCATACTTTTATCATATTTTATCGATCCATATCCTAGAAATACATATTTGAAAATTCATCAAAAATTCAGAGTAGGTAGTAAAAAACGTATCAATTAATTGTATATCAATCTATATTTTTTTTTTGGGGGGGGGGGAAGGGGGCTATTTAAATACTGCGGATTTAGCATTTTTAATTTTCTCAAACTTCCGCCTTCAGAGATAAATTATTGTAACATCTCTGGCCAGTCCGTTATTGTCGACAGTTTAAAAAATATAGGTACTCAAGAAAGTAAATTATGAAAGTGATTATGCTTCTTTTAATTAAAATTGAATTTACAAAACAACTGTTATTTTTACTAATAAAGTATTTTATATTGTTATATAAATAAATACAATTTGTAGATGATATAAGTTTTCTTGAGTAGACACTAAATGTATCATTATTTATAAGTACCTATGGGCTATGTATAAGACATAATGTCTCCGATTTTTTTTATCATCTAGGTTTTTAAATTGTTTATGTAATTGTACTGGTCATTTTCAGCAAATAATAATTGTAAAATTATTTTAATTCGGCTTTAAGCTATAAGGGAATTATTTTGTATTATTTAATCTATTCTAACTCCAAAAACAATAACATTTAACTGTTTTAATTTTAAAATGTGGTTATTGTAGCGTGAAACTTGATTATAAAATGTTTTTAAGGTTTATGTTGACATTTTATTAATGCATTTTATTGTTTTAAAACAATACATTAACATTGCAAACTTTAAACTTTAAATTATTTGCATTTGTGTGTTGTTTAAATGTAATTCGATTATCGAACTTCGCGAACATAGTTGTAGAATTAATACTTCAAGTCCTATTGTTATTAAACATATATGAAGTACAGAAAGGGCTATACAAATATTTAATTGTCGTTGTTTTCATTTAGTATTCCCATAAACAGTAGTTGATATTTCTGGGAATTACATTTTACGGCCTATAATAATATGAGTAGAGATTCTGATATATGCTGCAATAACCTGTAATACAGGAGAATCAAGAGGATTGAAAATTCATTAGCGGCACGTTCGCTTCAGCTCAGAAATTAACTTGAGTTCGACTAGCACGGTCTATGTTATAAAATGTTTGGGTGTATAACATATAAATTCAGTTTCACCAACTATTGTTAAGTCTTAACTCTTGCGACAAATATAACCATAATACAATTGTAATTTTATACTCGACTAATGTTTGTGTAAAATGATGTCCGAGTTTATGTATTTTATGATCAATATAAAATATATTAATAACAATTAAGTTATATTATAAACAAATAAGTTTGTAATAAAATAAAACATTTAAAACTGAAAGTTGTATGGTAAGAAGTGGACTTTAATGTTGAAACCATTATTAAAATGTACAAATAGTCAATACAAGTGTCATACGTGTAGTTAAGTGGCATATCGAGGGTAAAATCACGGGCTGATCAAATAAAAAACAAAATAAATTAAAAACTATACAATATTGCTATAAGAACACGAACACCTTGTCCGTTCATTAACAAAAAAAAATATTTTTATATTAATTATATTATTAATACTTTATTAATTATAAACAACTTATGCTAATTTCATGATAAGCAAATAAAAATGTCAAAATATAATTAACTTGTAAAAACTATAATAGATAACTAGTGCCTCATTCAGTGAGCTCTTATGATGGCATCGTATCATATTAAAGCAACATTAACATGTATTTATCGGCTATTTTAGGTACCTATCAACTTATTTATGTTAATTATTATAATTGTTATATTAGATGTTTAATTGTAGATCAGTTGTGAATTTGTTATATATTTTATCATAAACGTATAAATTAAACGCATTTTATAATTAACTTTTAGTGTTTATTGTAAATATTTATTTTTGATAGTTAAGAAAAAAATAAGATAGTAAAGATAAAAAAAAGGCAATTTAACTTGGATTTTAGGGTTTTTATTTTTTGGTATATGAAATGCGGTGGTCGAAAGACACACGTAAAGTCTTTGATTTACTACTCACACAGAGCATACAATTATATATAATCTTGTAAAATATGTATTTTAAATGCAATTTAATGGATGGTGCACTTCAAAACTACTATAAGGACTATGTTTTTGACACAATCATAATTTTGTAATACCAAATTTTTTCTAATTTACTTTCAATATATTAACAAAGTGTTATACTGTTATTTATGCTTATGAACAGTTGTTATGATTCGCTAAATTGAGGTCACGTCGCCGCTCCGGTAGAACAATGACCTAACTGCAAAATTTGGTAAAATGGGCTAAATGCTTCAATGTGTTTAAATATATCCAACGCATAAGGTAGAAAAACGACGTAACTGTAGTTGTAATAATTTCCCAAGCATTCCCATTTCATTAGAATTACATTCCATAACACTTTAGTGAAAATAATTTGGTTTTTTTCGTTCTTCTGTAAAATTTTAATTTTTGCAGTTGAGTCATTGTTTTACCGGGGCGGTGATATATAAATCTATTAAATAACTGCAAACTGAATTGATTTAACCATGGCTATTGGTTAATGTCATTAGATGTCATTTTTTTGTTATTTATATTTTATAAGATCTATTTATACTCGTGCATCCCTTAACTTATTGTCTGATAGTACTTAAAATCATTTTAAAATCTACTTAGCTTGAATATAAGAATATTTTCTTGTTAAAATTACCTCCCACGTGTTATGTTTTCTGCTTCAGTTTTTTCGGTTTGATGTTTACATTGATGTCCTAGCGTCTTCGGTTGACAGTGTCCTAGTTCGCTGAAGCCTCTGGATAGACATAATACTTGAGTTTCTGGTTGTCGCGGTAAGCGTTGGGCTCCCAGTGATGCTGGACCTGGTTAACCGTTCCACTATACAATGTCAAAATCTACTTAACCTCAATGTTATTTTCAAAGAAATTGTGATGTAAGCTCATCAAAGCTAGTAATTTGCAATCTGCAACTATCTGTTGAACTAGTTCTAGTTCACGAAACAATACAATATTTACAGTCGACATAAAATAAGTATCATGCAATTTTGGATTAGTTACTTTTAAAAAAAGTTGCTTTACTCGCTACGTATAGTAATTATAATGAAAAAATGACCTCTGTAAAATAGAATCGCAGTGAAATAATTTCCGCGTTTCAAACAATGTGTACCTACTTTTTCGTTACAAAAAAATATATATACATATGTATAAAATATCCTATCGGTGCAAAATATCCTAATTATTACTTTAATCATTAATTGCAGATTATTATAATTATTACAGCTTTTTAATATTAGTGGTATTATATATATTTACAGATTATTAAAATATTTCTAAAAATGTTGTTATAAGGGTATAATAATGATTTTCGTAAAGGGTTTCTGGTCTAAATGATTATGCGTTGCAATGCGTCTACAATGATGATGATGAATTATGAAAGAGTAGATGAATTGAAATTAACCAACACTACTTGGAGTAATCGTCCTGTTCCGATATAAAATTCAGTCTGTGCAGATATTAAAACTACAAAAATTAGTATTTGTGTGAATTAAGTGCATATTAAGGAATCACATAATTGACATGAGCATAATTTTGTCTGTCCGTACGTTTTGAAAAGGTACAAATAACAATTTCAATGTACGAAAAATGAAAATATTTTTTTAATGACATTACCTGATTTGGACCGAGTCAAATAGTAATGCGACGTGTCTCCGTTCATTCTTATAACATTCAGGTCAACAGAACTTTGTTTGCACTTCCTCATGCCTCCGCAATAACATAAAGCTACTTTGAAATATGTTCTGAACCTGTAACACATGTGCAACGCATGACAATCTTCTACAAAGTATGTGTTATTATTTTTATACATAAAAAGTTTTTAAGCACAACTGTAATGTTACATTTTGTGAATCGAGTTTACATATAAGTTTGGCTGCCTAAGGCATATTAAAAAAAATGTTCAAAACTTAAAAATTAAATTCATTCCTTGTCCTAAAATACGAAATTAATGTAAATTGTACGTCTTGTTTTCAAGCATATCTATCAAAAATACCAAAAAAAAAATATATATAGTACAAGTTATACGACAATTATAAGTAAAAAGTTATTTAACCAACCTAGGATTCATCCAGTAGTAAATTATTGGATTTACCATGGAGTTTGACATGGCCAACCAATAGAAAGCCAAAAACAGATCTTGAACGTAGGCTTTGCTGACTATTTCTTTGTTGTGGTAGGCGTATACAAAGTAGGAATGATAAGGTAACCAACAGAACATGAAAATTAAGACTACCACTCCGAACATTCTTACAACCTGTAAAATAATATAATGTGAGTTGTCTTAATAATAGTCGTCAATTAATTATTTAGTACTTTGGTCGTCCTATGTAGGGAGTAGAAGAAAGGTTAGTTAGGTATAAGAAGAGGAAGGAATGGTAATGGTGATGAATGTATAAAGAAAAAACGGCACTCAAAAAAGGATAAGAGATATTTGAGAATGTTAAAAGGATTGCAAATAATATACGCGTGGAAATAGTGGAAGACAAACGTGAAGGTAGAATTGTTGAAGATTAGACGGCTAACATCGTACAGTTGGGACAAGTGGCGAAGAAAAAAATAATATTATCGTTTTACAATTATCTTCGTATTTTCATATTTTAATAAGGTGGATAATTATTTATGTCTTCCCATCTTTATTCCTAGTTTAAATAATATATTATTGTTTTGATTTAAGATTTCAATTTAACTACTGAATTGCATGTTGTGTATCGTGGTGTACATAGTACATAGTATGGAGTTGTGACATTATTTGAGGTCGTTATTTTCAGGTATATGCTGTGTCTAACGCTGTTTGGACAATTTTTCACTGTTGTACCTCTTTAAATCGATCAAAACTACTAAAGATATCCTGTACACTGTATGTAGTCCGTAATAAACCCGGTAGTTATATTGGAACACATTAAATACTATCAGTCCCTTCGTCAGGAAGAAATAGCATAATATAATAGTGAGCTATGCGCTTCGAATTTTTAAAACGGTGCTCACGGTGTGTCGTGTTCGAGTACCAGTATATCTAAACACGGTTGCCATGTAAATATCAGTGAAATTTAACAGTATAAACTGCACGTTGAAAATTTGAAGTCCGGTACAAATGTTTCGGTCGCCTTCCCGTTTTCGGTGAGTAGGGATAATGACACAAATTCGTATACCGTTGTTGAGTGCACTCATTATTTCGTATTTTTCCAGCATACCAACATTGTTGGTCACTCGATTAAACAGACTTGCAATTGTTGCGAACACGTCGTCGTCATCGTCGTCGAACAAAAAATATTTACCAGAAACTAAAAATGATGTCAAGTCGAAGCGATTTAAAAACGCGTGCGGTTCATTGATTTAACACCATCGATTTTCGTGCTACTTAGAAACTTATTTAATAAGTGACGTTAATTCTTTCAATAGGGTGTGCGAGAGTCATTCACAAGTCGATGACCAAGGCGAGAAACACACGAGCCTCTCCGAAAAGACCGATGGCGATTCTTCAGTCTCTAGCGTTCCGAATGACCTCTCTGTTGCGGACTTGGTGGACTATTGTTCAGGAATAAGCCAAAACTATTGGTCAACAGGTATTAAGCTGTCTTCGGCACCAAAGAAAAAAGCTATTCCTAACTTGTATTCGACTTCACCCGTATCCTTAATCGCCAATTCGTCGGCGATCAATGTTTATCACGGATCAACAGTCGATGAAACCAGTTTGTGGGAAAGTCTTAATGAAAAATCGACATCTAAAGCGCCTTTTAAAACAACTCGTTATCGAATGAAAACACCAAAAATCAATTCCTACCGTGAAGGAAACATAACTGATATCAAATGTTTTTCGGAGTCAAAACAGGTAAAAAAATATATAGTACATGGAAAAATACAGAAAAGTCACTTTTTAAAAATAGGGTTTTTATTTTTTAAAATTCGTTTTGACTTACTGGATTTTTAAACATTTATAAACACGTTTTCTTAGATTAAAAAAATGAGACTCTACTGGGATTTTCTTTGTACCATCGATATACAAATTGCATTAGGCTTAGAAGTTGTAGTACAGAACTCTATGAAGCATTGATATAGCTTTAAAATAGTAAACTAAATTATAAATTGTCTACTTAGTTCGATAAGTATTCTAATCAGTAAGCTACATTGTTTTTAAAACCTAACTGCCTGATTTTGTTTCATTTAACAGCTATCTATAATCTCAGCTCTTTAACTGTCTTTTAACAAATAATAAGAAAAATAGGAAAGTGGGGCCGAGCGCGTTGTATATCTGAAAATTTTGACTGTTACAGATAAAATTATACTTACTAAATTGAAAAAAAAATTAGTTGATTTTTTACTTAGAAAACTAAACTGTTCCGAAAACTGAGGTGACATAAGCAATATTTCGATATAGGCATTTTCGTTAAAAAAATGTATATGTGTAAGCCAAAAAATAACAGTTTTGAATTTGTATTCGGTAAAAGTTTACTTGCTTATGCGTGTGGTCATATGAGAATCGATCCCAATTTGTATATGAATTTAAAAAAAAAAAAAATCTCAGATAATCAGAAAGTTTTATCATGGGTATTTGTTTTTAGCTTCTGTGCGGAGCTGAGAAGGTATTGTTTTTACAATAATGTGTTTTTATTTTTTTTTTGTTTCTGGACCCACGATATCTTGTAAACTGCTGAACCGATTTCTTCGTTTAGCAACTCTATAGATCAGAAATCATACCTGAAAGGTACTTTATTGGGCCAAAAATTTTAAAAAGTCACCCCTTCTCCATAAAAATTGAAAAAACACCGAAAAAATTTACAACTTTTTCAACTTAAAATTGCGATGCTCTAAACTGAAAAACATTAAAAAAACAAAAAATTATTATAAATCCTTTTCCCTAAAAGTGGTAGAATTTTTTTCTTTATTTCACTTTTTCAAGCAAAGTTTTGGAGATTAAGATCTGAAAATTAGACCGAAGGTAGATCTAAAATGAAACTATAACATATACAATTTTCTCAAAAATCTGTAGTCAAAATTTTTTTTTATTAAGGAAAAACACAAAAAATAGGGTAAATTTAAACTTTGGCCGTAGTCAGTTTCTAGGTTGCTATGTGTGAGTGAATCAACAGTCAACAGGTAATGAAAATATTTTCATTATATTGTTAATTACGATACATGGGTAACTATTACAGTACATTTTTATAGACAGACAATCAACCCTTATCGTATCCATCCTGCACAAGATTAAATATTACATTTTAAGTACATTATTGCTGGTCCCACGATATCTTCTAAACCGATATAACTGGTTTGAACATACTATCCACAGATTCGCATCCAAACGTTTATTTAAAAGTGATTTTATCACTTTCAGTTATAATAAAATCTGTAGACCTGTGACCTCTCCGTCCCCACTATGCCCCGATCCCACTGTACTGGCTCTTGTTTATTTCATATGGCCGTATCATAAACACTGAAGTAATTGTTTTTCCATTCTGCCTTCACCAAATTTTATTTGGATTCCCATTTTGTTAAAATATGTTAATTACATTTTGTTGCTACCGCAAGCTATTTTACTAGAATTGTTTACACTTACTTTCCGTTTCGACTTGATGGACTCGACGTGCCTTTGAGTCATCTGTCCTATAGTTTTGCTACCCCATAATTCTCGGCCCATGATCGTATAGCACACGAACATCACAAGAAGTGGTATAATGTAAGTGACGCAGAGGAACAGTATGTTGTATCTAAAAAACGGTCATAGATAAAGTTTAGTAAAGCATTCATTGTTTAGTTTATTTATAGGTAATACTTGGAAAATATCTTAAGAAATTCTAAAATTACATTTTTAATTATTTTGACCATTCTTGCTAAGGTTAGTAGAGAATTGAGATGCAAAATAAAATGGCTACAGCTGTAAATACATCCCAAATATTGCTAACCGGAATAGATAAAAAAAATCAAGGTACACAGTAAAGATAGTTAAAAATAATAGTATAATTAAAAATTGATAATACATGTAGTGGTTGATTTGTAAAGTATTTGTAAGTTATTGTAAAATTAATTAATTAATTAATGTTTGATGTATAAAAAATATTTGTTTTTGTTTTTAGTTCTATACTATTTTATTCGATAGTTGTTTTTTTATACGTTATGATAAATTACTTTGTTTTAATTCATCACTATAGTTGTTTTTAGTATACTGTCAATACTCCTTTGTGTCGTTATTTGCAGTATATTTTTTTTAATTCCAATAAAAAACTATAGCGCTATCGTTTTTTATATTTATGTCAATGTTAAAAAAAACTTGCTTTAAAAAAACGTTGTATTTTTCACTATCCATTTACTACATGTTATAGGTACAAATTTCATCTTTGTTTTAGTAAAAATGTTATATTTTTGTTGAAAACTATGTAAGTCGAATGATTCCTGAAATTTTTTTTCATAAAACACTTACAGTTGGCGAGTGAAACAGTATAAAATATATTACAACAATAACATTTTTTATAAAATACTATCTAATATTTATGTAATGCATTATTGAAAAAGGTAATGGGATTCCATGTAAGTAACGAGAAAACTAATGTTGCGGATTGTTTACTTATTGTTTTATTCATGTAAAAAAAAACTATATTTATACTGCGATAAAGTTTTATGAAAAAAATGAACATTTATTTTTAGTCATAACTTTTTTAATGCTAACATTATCCTTAAAATAGTCTGTAGTAACATTTCTCACTAAATAAATAATATGAATTTTTTGTACCCCGACGAAATACTGTTGTTTATTTACTTAAAATCTTAGGGAATTTTAGTTAATTTGAATAACATCTTAACTCTTCTTTATTCATTCATTTAAATTATGGTCGGTTAGACGTTTAGTTTTACGAGTAATAAATAAATATAAATATATATATATACATAAAAACCTAATAAAAATATTCAATTAAATAAATATTATTTATTCAGTCGATCAGTTTTTTAGAATAATTTATGGTGCATTGAATAAAACCAAAAAAACATTTTTTTGCTAGTGACCGAAGTACAAGCTTACAAGTGTATCAAATTTATTATATTTATTACATTGTTGCAGGAGTAATACAAGTTTATGGTACTTGGTTGTTTGTATTGCGGTCTTGAATAGAAGCACAAGCTGCATTAGATTAATTTTCAACTAATACCCAAATATACATTAATCCAAAGTTATATGGTGTGAATCGCAAACAACGAGAAATGTATAGCAATAAGCAAATTAAAAATGAATCGATTTATTTTAGTTTGAAAAACTCAATTGAAAATATCCTTTTAAAATCATAAATACTAAATATTTAGTAAATATTAGGAAAAGTAGTCGGTATCTTATAATAACTGTTCACGTTTTCTTCATACATACATTTATGAATCGAACACTTATAAATCTTTAGCTAACTGTCGTTAAGACTTGGAATCGATCCAGCCATTGTATTTCTTTCAATTTATTTAAGACGTCTAGAATACGGAAAAAATGGGCGGTTTCAATTAAAAATAAAATGTTTGTTTTCTAAAATGGATAAAGATAAAGAGAGCATAGGCGTATGAACGCTGAGTTTTTCCAAGGACTTATCGATCAAAAAACATAATAATATTTATCTATATATATATATTTTTTATGTTGATTATATATTAGGTATATAATTTTTCAAAAAAAAAAATGTTATTTTCTTTTAAGTATGCTCGCGTACGCTAATAAGAGAGATGCATTTTTTAAAATGAAACCAATTTCAGTAATAATGATTTCAGTGAGTATTAAAAATTATATTTTTAAAGTACAAGATAAATTAACTCCAAAATATAAATTCGCATAGATCATTACACTAAATGAAGTTTTTTTCTATCTTTCATTCGTTAAATTTAAATTCTTAAGTGTTATAGTATCAAGAAATATGCTTCTGACATAAATTTATGATTGCGATTCGAATATATAACTTATGAACATTTTAGCTTCGATGCAAAGCGAGAAGGTATTGGTTTTACTCTTAAAAGTTAAAAGTTAGAACTTTTACTTGCTATAATTTCGAGAAAAAGAGTCGGATCGAGTTGAAATGTATAAGAAATAATTATTTGGTATGCCCGCACACGTCAATTGTGTCAAATTTAAACTATACCTATTTCCCACCCCCCTAGGGGGGGGGGTACAAGTTTTTTTGTTTTTCGGGGTTTTTAGCCGTAATTTTAAAACTTTTGGGTTGAAAATTTGCCAGTAGTTGGAACTCATATGTATCCATAACGTATTAAACGGGAAAAAAATTCGGCACTACAGTTTTTTTTTAATTGCCGGGAAACTGTGTTTTCGCAGATTTCGTATATTTTAACAAAAACACCTAAAATCTTTAAAAAAATTGATCAAATCATTAAAACAATTTTATGTATATCTATGCAGAATGATACTATTGAGTTTTGTGCTCAAGTACCACATTTGACTTTAAGTTTACACAAACTCAATTTTTTTTTTTTTTTTTTTTAACTAAAAATCCGGTGTACCAGATGGGAGAAACGAACAGACACTAAAAACTATCAGTTGGTAACATCTATCCGTGTTAAATTAGGTTAGGGCCCAATGATCGGTATCATAATATTGTGTTTATTACATGATATCACAGACGACTAAATCGTGTAACTGATTATAGTAGACACTCGATTTATTGAGAAAAAAACCTATCCGTGTACTTATTAAGACACTTAATGATTCTGATACGACAAAACCACTGTCGTATATTCGTTATTTTATAGCCTGCGTTATATAATCTTACCGAAGGTCAACTATGAGTATATAAGGTCCAACTACCTGCAAATTATGAAGAGGACTGTTGTTTTTTGGATTCAGATTAAGTGTTCGTTTTTATGCAGTATACCGCCTCAAAATGTATTTTTTATTACACAATTTTTTTAAATGAAAACTAAAGTTTTGCATATTGTTATACTGTTATTCATTTAAAGAGATTCACGCTTGATTGTTTAAATTGTCTAATATTAGATAATCTGCTTCGTGCTAATTTTAATTTTTTAGTTTATCAACTTGTAGCTCTAATTTTGTATAAAATATTTCATTATTTTATTACTATGTACAAATTAAGATATATTTTAATAATAATTAAGTCATGAATGATAATACTTTTTTTTATGACTAGATCAAATCTCGTGAACGTTTAAAATTATGATACTGCTCCTATACAATTATTAAAAAACACAATTTTTAAAATCTCCATAAAAGGTTATTGTTAAATAACAGGCAACAGCCGACCGCTAGTGGCTATACACGTTAGTAATATTTAACTAATAAGTAATATGTGTAGGTAAAATTTATTGTTTTCTCCATCGCAGTACCAGTATACGATTTATTTTAATTTAAATGTAAGAAAATCGATTTTTCTTTAGAAAATAACAAGAAATTAATATACAGGATGAGGCAGTAAAACGGCGATTTTCTAATGTATTTAAATGGGAAAACCCGTTTCACTATCCCACCCTTTACATTTTAAGGATCTGTGAAAAGGTTTTTTTAGTTGCATTTTATTTTGTATATTGTCAATCTAGTAAAATAGAAGTATAATATAGCTTTGAAATAATATAATCTATGAAGTATAAATAGTTTGTGTGAGATTGCTCTAATGGAAGTATATAATACATAAATATTAATTTTATTGAGAATAAGCGATTATAATTTAAACTATGGAGTACAAACGATTGAAACATGAATCGTCGACCATTCCGACAAAATATAACAAGACATCGTAGATGTGTTATTCGGTCCACTACGTTTTTGCAAAAAAAAAAAAAACCAGTACAGTGGGGTCAGGGCATAGTGGGGACGGAGCATAGTTGGGTCGGGGCATAGTGGTGACGGGGAGGTCACAGGTTTACAGGAATTTTTAAATCTGAAAGTGATAAAATCACTTTCGAAAAAACGCTTCGATGCAAATCGGTAATCAGTAATTTCAAGCCAGTACAGTCCAAACCAAGCACAGTATAAACCAGCAAAGTTAGAAAGTTTTAAATGAAGGTTCTGTATTTACAAATGAGCATCAAAGCGTTTATTTGAAAGCGATTTTATTCAATTTTATCACTTTTATTTATAATAATTCTTGTAGACCTGTGACCTCTCCGTTTCCTCATTGCTTTGATTACATTATGCCAATACTCTACTGTACTAGTCCTCTCGGATAAAATCACTTTCAAATTAACGCTTTGATGCTCATTTGTAAATACAGAACCTTTATTTAAAACTTTCTAACTTTGCTGGTTTATACTGTGTTTGGTTTGGACTGTACTGGCTTGAAATTACTAACTACCGATTTGCATCGAAGCGTTTTTTCGAAAGTGATTTTATCACTTTCAGATTTAAAAATTCCTGTAAACCTGTGACCTCCCCCATCACCACTATGCCTCGACCCAACTATGCTCCGTCCCCACTATGCCCTAACCCCACTGTATTGGTTTTTTTCGTTATTTTTATAGATGCTTTGGGGAACGGTTTCTATTTAAATTAATGTAACTAAAAGTATCATTGTTATCAAGTAGTACTATTTCTTTATGAAAATACATATAAGTTTGTGAGTGGTAAGAGAGGAGGTGGGCGAGTATTGAGTAGGTGTTATTATTAAAGTTCATTTTCCAAAGTTCGCTACATTTAAAAGATTAAAATGTACATAGTAACAACAAAAGGTCGAGTGAATGCATTCTACTTTCCGTGGAAAACTCAGTTGCGGTCGGCGGAGGTCACCGGTGTTCTGTCCTTTCTCCGAACTTATATTGTATATGTTTTATACAGTTAGTGTATGTGATACATCGATTTACGACAATGGTGCCTAGCAGATTCGATAACAACTCAAAAATACTTTTAAAATTATAAGACTTCGCACCATTAAATACACCATATTATAGTTTATACTTTTGATATTCTTACTTTATTACTTTAATCATTTAAGAGGGCTTGCAATAAACAAAAACAATGCCACTGTTGAAATTAATTAATTTTTCAATACCTTCGGAAACAACGTGCCCTATTCGTCGGCAATGCGATTAGATTCTCTAACCGCGACAAAGTGATTTCTGAAGAGCGTTTTCCATCGAATGTCTAATATTGATTGTCTCTTCGCAAAGGTCATAAAACTAATTTTTGAAAGTCGAGCAGTATCACATTAAAATGTTGACTCGTGAATTAATTTATGACTTAATGCCTAAAAAGGCTAATGTAATTATAATCCACTAGTGTTATAATTGCTATACTGATACGGCTCTATAATAAAAGGAAACACAACTGTGGATTATTCCTTGACTTAGTTTAGGGGTTTGATATAATAATAATAAAAGGTTTTTTTTTTGAAACTGCATAAACAACTACCATACATCTGATTTGTACTTAGGAATTTCGTCTGACTTAACGACAGGTTAAAAATATAACAGTTTGTGAAAAACTAAAATCACGTTTCATAACATTACGAAAAATAAAAATTCAATTACTTATTAAATCCTATGAGATATTGAGTGGATTACTGTATTACGACATTTTCTCAACGCAGTTTGACCAAAACATGACATTGGTTTTTAATTATGTAAAGCAAATATACTTAAATCATATCAATGTACTGTGTTTGAGATACATTCAGTTATGAACACATAATATAAATAGTAATATTTAGAAGGTCTGTTAGCTGTTAATAAGTCTGTGGCTGGCATCTACTTAAGTTTTACGGTCTTACCACTGAAACAGCCTTAGAAATTCTCTTTGGGGCAACACATTCTCTTAACTATACAACCTTGAATATAATACAACTAAACTACTTTGTTATTATACTTTGAGTATAGCTATTTCGAGACTACTGCCTATATGATCATTATCCTCCCGTTAACATTCTTCGTACACGCGTTTTTCGAAGGTGATGGGAATATCTGAGCAGTTCTGCATTTCTGTTTTGTGTCGACCCCCATACCTTTTCATTTTTGACGTGTCAAAGGATGGCGGTCGTTTGTAAACGCTTTGTCACCTTCATACACAGTCTCCGGAAGCCGTTAACCACCGGTGATGTACGACCTAAAACGGTTTTTATTGCATTTATTTCTCGTTTACCGCGGTATGTTATTGTCAAGTTTTCTCCGCTTGTTTGTTGCTTATTTTGAATATATACCAGAAGAAATAAAGCGGAAGTTAACGGCAAACGCAAGAAGCATTGCAGAAGCTATAAAGACTACCAAACAGAGGACAGTCCTAATTGAAATGTAAGGTATGGCGACATAATGTTGTCTTGACATAAAAAAAACTTTATAGGTATCATATTTTGCTATTATTATATTTATGTTGTGCAAAAGTAAATACATAAGGTATTAAGGTTAGAATTCCTATTTTATGTCAAAACCACAAAGGCCTCGTAATGAGTTGGTTGATACCGATGTCGATAGAATTTTTTTCGAATACAGCTATGTGGTGCCATGGATAAGCTGCAAACTTGGTTTTAGAGTTATCGGTTTCTATTTTGTAAATGCTTATATAGTTTCGGGTAGATAGGTTTATAGAATGTACAAATACATAGATTATATTGGTTTTCACATAAATATGTATAGTAAAAACTAATATTACATTCTTGTTGGATTACATGATGAACACTTAGACATAGTACGAAGAAAAGAGTACCTATCGATATAACTGAGTGTTTATAAATAGGTCAGAAATGAAAAAAATGATTGATAGCAACTTGTAAAAGCTTGAATAAATTTTAACCCTAAAGAATATTTAACTATGTCATCAGTATTTTGTAAAATCAATTTGTAATCAAGTTGTTTACATATAAATGAGAATCTTAACCCAGTGGGCGGCATGAAAATACTTCTCCGAAATTGCCGTTCAATAGTATTCTCAATAAATCATTAAAAATACGCCAGTCGTACATTTGATCATAACATAACAAATATAACTGCTTTAGATGATATATTGCACGGAAGAAAAATGTATTGTTTGTCTTAAAACAAATAGTTTTCATTTAGTCATGTGCGTGGGAACTAAAATCATATTTCTAGGATTCTTTTTTTCATATTTTAAAGAATATTTTCTGTTTATAATACTGCTTTTAAGTCACAGTTGCATTTCTAAAATTTAATTATTTTTTCTAATTTCGTCTGTTATAAATAAAAAAAAATTATTACAAAGTACAATAATGTATCAAGATTTGTGTTTTGTAGAATGTAAAGAACGCTAAAAGCCCAATGACGAGTATTAGAACAATTCCGTAAAGTGCGCTGACGGTCAAGAGAAGGCATTAATTACTGAGATAGAATATACAAAAATAATCATTAGAAGACTTTTAATGAACAACAGACAATTCAGAAAAAAAAATACTAATATAAAGTGCCTGGCTAATCCGAAAGAATTATGATACATTGGGTACACTCAGAATTTGTTATAATATACAATTATTCAATGGGAATGACAAAAAGAGAATTAAGTGTCAAAAAAAAAAAATATACGTATAAAATAAAGTTGGCATCAAAACTTGGAATAGGGTAATAATAATATTCTCTTCTTCTCTTCTCCTTAGGTATCGGCCTTTAAGACCATGCCGCTAAATATAAATCTTGCAATCTGTCTCTGTCCTCTGCAGCTTCCCTCCAACTGATTTCCGGCCCTATCGTTTTGATGTCCTTCTTTACACAGTCTTCCCACATTAACCTAGGTATTTTCCTTATAGGGTCTTCTTCTACCACTTGTCTATTTAGGGATCCTTACACCAGGCATGACCCACCAACATTAGTTTTATTTTTGCGACCTTTAACTATAACAGGCCTCTGAAACTGCCATTTAAGTTAATAATTATGTAATTTTCTCCATTCATTGGTTTGACTATCAAAGGTTGGGCCATTATTTTCCTTAGCACTTTCCTCTGGAATATCATTAGTCTCAGTTCTTCGGCTTTTCTCAGTGCCCACATCTCAGAACCATATAGGACAATTGGTCGTAATAATGTCATGTAAATGCTTATTTTAAATTTTTTAGAAAGAGTCCTAGATTTCAGAACTTTTTCTAATCCATAGTATTCCTTATTCGCTAATTGTATCGACAATACTTCTGTTTTAACGTAATTATCCTGAGTAATAATCCATCTCAGATGTTTAAATTGTAATACTCTTTAAGGTAACTTAATGTGTTGTTATAGTCTATAATTTCTGTTACTTCAGCTAACAATTAAGTATGTATTCCGTCTTATCGTCGTTAACGGCTAATCCCACTTACTCCGCGGCATTTATGAGTTTACTTCCCAAACCTTTTATCATCTCTATATCATCCTCTAATAGAGCGATGTCATCTGCGCATGCTGTTAATCCTATTGTTATCTGACCTAGCGCAATGCCTTCTGAAACGTTTATTTCTCGTACTACTTTCTCCAGTACCAGGTTAAACAACACCGGAGACAGTGCATCTCCTTGTCGGAGACCTGTAGTCACCCTCACGGGTTGTGATATTGTGTTTACTATCTTGACCTTTATCTCCGTTTGGACTTTGGTTAATGCTGGCTACAATAAGGTTTACAATTTTTGTTGGGAATCTAAATTCTTAGAGTATATTTATTAGGCTTTCTCGTTTATGATAATAAAGATTAGGTTATCGACACTCGTCTACAGGTGGTCCCTATTTTAAGGCTGGTACTGCATATAGAGAGACTAGCATCCTTCTCATAGGCGGCCGAACTAGGCAATAAAAGTTATTTTCTAGATCACTAAAGCCATACGCAATAATAATAATAATAATTTAAAAAAAATAATAATTTACAATAAACTTGAAAACGTTCTTCAAGTCTTTTTTAAAAAACCGTAACTATTTTTGTTTTTTTACAAATTGTAATATTACTTACATGTATTCAGTTTTAGAATGGGGATACCTGCCGTCCGGCCAGAGCATGTAGCACGCTCTACGTAGTTCACCATTTGTGTATCTAGAAAAAAAAATTGTGAAAGCTAAACATCCGTAATTAAATTTCACTGTTGTACGTAGTAAAAAAATGCAGTACAGACCTTTTGGTTTTGATATTGGAATACAGAATACAGGGCATTGCTAAAAATACACTGATAACCCATATGAGTATAAGAACGGTCTGTGTCCTGGTTCGTGATCTTCTATGTCGGAGCGGATGGACAATAGCCATATACCTGAAAATGTATAAGCTATAAAATAATAGTAACTAAAATTTTCCTAAAGAGAAAATCGCAATTGTTTTAGATGAAATTAGTGTCGGCAAATATGTTAATTAACTTTGAATTGTTCATTCGTGGTGTATTTATAAAGTTAAGAGAATTTTGTATTGTGATACGCAAAAACTAGTTGTTGGCCGTTAATTGCTCTGATTTGGTTGATTAGCGAACGTTAATATCAGGTTTTATATAGATATATTGTGTGGCTTTTGATGAAAAATTATTTTTTTGGCTCGAATTTCATATTCAAACTAAAGCATCGCCAGTGCTATAATTAGCGACTTTTCGGACGAGTTGTAAATTGAGTACGAATCTTCCGCCTACATAAATTAACATTAATAAACTCAAAAGAAAATTCGCCTAGCGCCTGTTTGTTACGTTATAAGATATTTCGGGGAACGGTTCAAGTTTAGAAGTATGTAGGAGAGTGCAAAATTAATTTGAAAACTTTCGTAATCATTATTTTCTTGTTAGGGTGTTAAAATATTAGTTTTTTAAAGGGGGGCCCGTTAGTAGTTGTAAATATGGATAGCGGGCAACCATTATGTGTGTGTGTGTTCGATATTTTAACTTCGGTTGATTCCTAATGTGTATCTTTTTTTCAACCCGTATTCACTCTAATGCAGTGTCCAAACACGACGGCGACCCATCTATTTCGCCTTTCATTTGGTCGGACTAAGGTAAATATTGGCTTAGAGGGACGGGTCGTTACGACCGTCATCTGACACCATTAATTCTCGAATCTCGATATTTGTTTGCACACGCGTGGACTCTTCTATAGGCAAGCTAAGGCCGGTTTGATTGATATACACGTATAGGTATACTTATAGATTGTGCATAGTTAATGCTGTTAAAATTTCGTATTATAGTGGCGATACATCGATAGTAAGTACACAAGTTTAATCCGATATAGGTTTTGAGAATAAAAGACAACAATACTAAGCGGTCGCGAACTTTGGGAAAGAATTATTCGGATATCGAGATTGCAAACGCTTTGTAATTATAATGGATTATTAAGAATAATAGATTGAAGAATCTTGGAGGTATGTCGTTATTTCTATCCATCCCAGAGAGTAGAGGTAAACGTGCACGGAAATTGGAAGGAACAATTGTCTGAATGCATATGCCTTGGATACGGTAACATAATATTATAATTATCGACAATGTTGTCCTCAAAACGGTTTTGGAAATGTATCACATTTTGTTCTTTAATCGTGAAATAATACTCACATAACAACAACGAGAATGTGAAATTACACACGTGTAGTATCAAAAACATTAATGAGAATACACTGGAGGATCTCACTGTTATCGAATTAAAGCCAATACAGCTGCTACATTACAACTGGTAACTTTAAACTCACTTAACGAGATTACTTATGTACACTGAGCGTACATTTAAATATTATTATAATTGAGTAGTCCAGTTCTGAAAGTCTGTGTCTGTACCACCTCAATTTGAGATAATTAAGAAAACAGTTACAACACATCAATGTGGCACTGTTAAAATGTAACATAACAGCTTTATTTTCAGAAGGATAGAGTGGGTGGCAACAAAACCACTTCACCACTCGATCCCTTGCCCTCCATTTAATTAAAATTCATCTCAATTTCTTAAAGCATTTGACTTAGGGTTTTTGGAATTGGATGACTCAACTGCGTATTACCATAAATTATTTTTTAGATTTAATATTATTGATTTTCCATTCATAATATAAAAATATTATTACAAGAAAAACAATTTAATGTAGGAGCAAAAGCAGAGCGATTGAAAATTGATTAACTCTTTTGCGTAAGAATGCTTTACCGCAATTGTTGTTTTCTGGAAACTTAATTAATAACCACTATTATAAAATATAAATATATTCCTTTCGTTATTTTCATGGTGTTTTGAACATAAAATAAGAAAGCTATTCAGTGCCCAGTAAACACTTAATAGTTAGTTGACCAGTTGACATAGTCATCGACTATCTTTTGAGATCGAAGGAGGGGTTCTTTCACGACTACGAGTGGTATTTTAAACATAGAACCGTTTTTTTACTGAAAAAAATACATGATTTTTTGATAAAAATGAATTGCCAATATCATAATCTATTTTGTAATAAATAATTGAATTTAGCATCAAATCTTAAACGTGAAAAATTAAATACGAATGTGTATACACTTATATATGTTATCCAGTATGCTTATGATTCATAGTTTTTAATTTTTCTACTCCAGTTATTTTTTATTATACATTTACAGTATGGAGTTTCTGTTAAAATTTGAAGGAATTATCACCGATTTCGTCTAATATAATAACATAAGTGGACTGTATTTTAGTATACAACAAAAATACATACATTAATGAATAAATAATATTCGGGACCTTAGAAGCGATGGACTACAATGCGTCGAGCTTATCGTACACAGTATTACATAAAGGCGGCTCCATCAACTGAGTGGACCGGTTATCAGTAGATAATATTTATAATAGTATTTGATATAATTAATTATATAATACGAACAGCTTGTTGTACTGACCGATATGTATAAAATATTTTCTAAAACTATTAAGCAATTCCAACAACTATTGACCAATTTAGATACATAGGCGTCATCAGGTGTAGTAAGACTTCAACGTTTAAACGTGTTTTTAAACGAATAATATACCAATTTAATCCAAACTGTAGGATTTTATTAGTTAACTAATAAACGGCAATAACTCCAAAGGGCAGTAATATGTTATTTTAGCGTACTTGGAAGGTAAGTTAGTTTTTGAATTTAGGTAATTGAAGAGAATACTCGATTTTGTAAAAATAATGTATAAGCTAATAAAAATTCAAAGTAGTTTTTATTAAAGTTTCATAAAATACTTTGTTAGACATAAATGGTTAGCCTTTTTTAAAGCAATTATAAAATTGTTTTAAAAAGCACTGCAGAACAGAACAGAATATAGTGAGGTATTTAGTGAGGTTTGTAGGTATTACTATGATTAAAAGTGATGAAAAAGCAAGGAAGTACACAGGGGTGATTATGAGAGATATACCCGAGTATATTTTTTTAATACTATTAAAATCTTTTGAAAGTCTTACCCATTTTACATTTCGATTTTTCTTTCGTATTTTAACATGGTTAAGCCATCTAAGACTATTATTCCTCTTTCTTTTATTTTGTAATCGCATTACTACAATTATGCCTAATAAATATTGTATTACGATTTATTAATTACGATCCCAGTTTTAGAGATTATTTCAGTTAGTTTTCATTGTTATTGTATGATATCAAACTAAAGGCGGTATCACAGCTATGTCGTCTGTCGTGTCGTGCGATTTAAGAAGTGGGCGTGGCCACTTAAGGTTACTAATGGTAACTATTTAATACCAATTTGGTAATTATCGATCGTGGTTACCTAATCAGTGAATGCCATAGAGTACTCGTGAAATAAATTTTAATTTGATAAAATAATTTCTTATAAATATACCGTATATGGCCCATCAATGACAAACCGGCATTGAATACAGATAGTGATAGTAATAAGCATGATTTAAGATAGAATGGTTACGCGACGGCCAATGCTAATCTGCAGTAACTTGCGGCGGCAAAGGTTCTTATCAAAAATCATGAAATACTCACTGATTATTAGCGCTCCTAGTAGCAAATTCAACATATTGCCCGGCAAAATTTGAATTAGTTATAACCTAACCAGGTTATTACATTATTTACTAGGTATTAACTAGATACATATTATTAACAAAACTTTAGTAAAAAGGGAAAAGGCTTCCCTCGTAATTCACGTTTTGGCCAATGTTTCTAAATATCATAAATTTGTTTTTGAACTTCATAACTTAAAAGTTTTGAAATATAATCATGCTTATTACCATGATTTAAGATAGAATGGTTACGCGACGAGGACTAATATTGCGGCCGCGAAGGTTCTTATCAATAATTTAAGAAACTCACTGTACTACAGCGCAATCTACAGTGATATACTATTATCAATACTAAAAACAAATAATCAAAATCCATATTCGCATTTAATTCAAGTGTAAAATTAATTACTATTAAACGGTTTTAATATTTGTTTTGTTGCTTGCTAACAGGCAATAAAAAGGAATTAAGTAAGTAAAAGAATTTGTGTAGGTATTGTTGTATTATTTTTTATCATATCAATGTATTATCACAAAAAAAGGCGCTGTCTTGTTTTTCATTGTTTAATATTAAAATTATGTCATAACTTGCATGTAACTTCTTTATTTAAAATATATATATATATATATTGTTCGATGTACTAACAATATATTAAATTATTTTAAAACATGGCGCAGTCGCGAACTAATTCATTTTTACACGATTAAATAAGATAAAAAAAAAGTGCACGTGTGAAATAAAGTGTTAATTATGGAATTTAATAAACCAGAATGTTTGAAATTAACTGGCAATGTGGCTAAAAATTACAAATTATTCAAGGAAGAGGTCCTGGTATTCTTCGAAGCCACAGAATCAATCTTAATATTTTTAAAAATATCACTAATAGAAAGTTATAAAATAAATTAAGTTTTAAAAAGTAATTTGTAGATATATGTTTGACCTTTCTTTTCTTAGGTTCTGGTGTTAACACATTGCTAGTGTCTGATTTCACATACCGACAAACTGCATTATAGTTATGATCTAATACAATTGTCTCATTAGAATCAGATGGAAATAATGTCAAACATTTATTATGTGTACTACCTAGTAAATTTATGGGGACAGCATCTTTTTTCAATTGTAATCTTTTTAAAGCAAACTTTCGAGTTAGACATAACTATGTTTATTAAATGCAAATTTACTACAAAAACACTCAATGTTTACTTACAGTATATTTACTACATCCTTGACCCGATTCCCAATTACTAATTATGTCTCTGTTTTTAAAGTGTTTAGCACATACTCGGTGACTTTTTTAAAGTTTTATCCTTAATGCTTCTTCCCACAAT